TTTTAGCCAAATATTTTCTATCCTGTTACTGTAGCCATAGTAACAGGACAGACAGATTTGTATAGTTATGAAAGCTGTTCTGAAATAACTACTCCCTTATATGCAGTGATAATGTTTTGGTCCTGGTTTCCAATATATTTTATATGCAGATGATTCTGTTTTCATGGCAGAATCGAAAGACGATCTCCAAAAGAAACTTCAATGCTTTAGCGAATATTGTAAAATGTGGACATTAAAAGTGAATGTCTCAAAAACAAAAGTATAGATATTGGCAAAGGAAGACAACCAATCGATTCGAAACTGTATTTCGATGGGGAAGATTTAATTCTTCATAATAGAACAGGGTCATTTAATAAAGCTAAACAAAATAAGCTGAAAACGCTACCAAAACTATGTACGGGGCATTAAAAAAAGGTAGAAATTACAATCATTCGAAAAAATTTCAAATTGATTTGTTCGACATCATTGTAAAATCCATAAGTACATTTGAACATTTTAAAACACTTTTTACATATGAAAAGGCGCACCCCACAATATGGAGAAACTGGGCGATGCCTATTAAGCATATCTATTAAAACAAGAATTATTTCATACTGATGTAAACTTGTAAATGGAGGTGAGAAGTTGTCATCAAGTATATATAACTTGGCATATTTTCATAATATAATTAACGGTTTCAATCTGTCTTGGATAAATTAGGTTTATTCAATTCTCAACGAATGCGGACTTACTTATACTTTCCACCTTCAGAATGAACATAAGTGGCTATCATTAAGCATAAAACAAACACTCGGTGACCAGTATAAACAAATATGGTATGCAGACATTCAGAAGTCCCCGAAATGTCTAAATTACAGGATTTTAAAAGAAGACTTGAATTTTGAAGATTATTTTGATATTCTCATGACAAATTAGAAAGAACATGTAATATCTGTAATATGCAAGAAATAGGCGAGGATTATCATTACATCATGAAATGCTCTGCTGTAGAAATCTAAAGGACAAATCTCCTTCCGTCATATTATTACATAAAACCAAATTTCACTCTCTGTTTAATACAAAAAGGATTTCAACTTTAAAATGACCGTGTAACTTTATTAGAGTAATAAATGAAAAATGCAGTCCCTCTGGCTAAAGGACATTTTATTATGTATCTATTTCTATCTTTTAATTTTCATTAATATCATATTTCTGGGATTCTTTTTGTTTCTTGTTTGTTTTTTTACTTTTGTATTTTGTATTTTGTTTTTTTGTTTTCTATTTTGTTTTTGTATTGTCTTTTGTATAAATTTACTCCATGTATCACCTTACGCATTGTATGTTTAATCATTATGTTTCCTTCGTTGTACCTATTTTAATTGGTTTTAGAGAATAAAGTATCTACATGCAACACGTAACTGCTCTTTTTATAAGTATAATGCTGTTGTCATTAATATATTTGCTAGTAACAGCATAGACAGATAAAAAGGTACACACATATTTTTTTCACTAAATGTCTTGAATTTTCTACACTAAACTGTTATGAAACGTATCGTGTTCAATTTTTAAGATGCTTTGTGCTTTTGAAATCATTACTTAATAGTTTGATATTCATAGTGAGAAACTATTTAACGGTTGATCTAGACTAAGTACTATTACCGACTGGAACAAACTACCGGACAACATTGTAAATTGCACTTCAGTAGACTCTTTCAAATCTCCAATTTCAAAGCATCAATATTAACTCAACTATTACATCATACTTAATTATACAAAGCATTTTTTTTTTAAATTTTTTCGTATTTTTTAAAGATTGTATATATATCAATCTATGTCTTGTTGTAAGTTTCCTCCTGTGACATAATCTTCAATTTGTTGAAGGCGGTCACTATATGGTAGAAGTAGAAGTAGAAGTATCGGTAACAAATTTTCAAGTGAGTGTCACGTATAAGCTTGTTTGAGTTGAATTTCATGTGAAATTTAAACGTGAATTTCACGTGAGATTCATGTAAATTTCACGTGAGCAAAATTTGCCTGTGTAGTTCATTTTTTGCAGATTTCGAGGCAATAAAATAACAGGCAAAAATTCATTTGAAATGTGTTACCCTGACACTGTACGCACATAAATTACAAAAATATATTCTAATCTTACCAAAATTGATCTAAATCGTGTTTATTATTGATATATAGGCTCATAAATCATGCAAACTTTCATTTAAACGCTTACAACTTCATTTTCCATAATATATATATATATATAAATGACTTTTAGCATAGGCGTAATGAAATTTTATAGATATGACCATTTATTGTATTTCGGGAGACAGCTACAGGAAACAGAACTATATTTTTTGTCTTACGACTGAACATGTATTAAATGATCCCTTCTGAACAGCCGCCCTCCAGATATTTTAGAGTTCTCGGCATTGTTATATAATAAACCAGCATATTTTGATAGGGGAAAGAAAGAAATATGGGAAGGGGTTACACAAAAAATAAAAAAAATAAATGATGTTCTTTATTGGGAAGGGCTTTTATTGCTGTTCCACATCTTGAAAGTTATTCATGTCCTCACATGAGCTTTCAAACAACATTCACATTACAGCTAAATCAACAACACTACTCTGATAAGTCGAAAACACTAGAAGGCTAAACACCGAATATAACGCTTCTTTTTTTTTAGTTTCCTTATTTTTGCCTGGTCGTTTATCAAAGCCGAAAACGCGAAATGGCTACATCCAGCCAACACACTATAATTTACCCAACTGCTGCTTTATTTAAACCGAGTCTGTTATCTGTTATGACTTTGTTAATTCTTGGGGTAATTTGAGTGCCTCTGTGTCTTGTTATTAGATCTGAACTGTTGGCATTTATAAGTTATAGCTATATCCTTGTCTACGTAAATGAAAAATATCACATTCAAATTTTATTTTTAATCAAATCATCATCTGTAAAACAAGTCAAGGTCACTCACACAAATAACTGTCTAGATGTCATAGATCATCAATTACAGTTACTTTATTAATTAAATTCACTGCTAAAAGAAAGTACATAACTGATGGCTACAATTTGAGATTATAAAATAAAATTAACATGGTTAAAACAGTCTGGAATTTATCCTAAAAATAATGTTTTCATAGTTTTCGAAGTATATATCTCCCAGTTGATACGGTATTCCAGGGCTTGTATTTCCTATCATGATTTCCTAGAAAGAGGGTTGCTGCTCACAAGGAAGCTACTAAACCAAGAGTTCCAAGTGGTGAAGTTGAAATAATCCCTTCGTAAGTTTTACAGACGCCACCACGAGTTGGTTGACCGTTAGAGAATATCCGTTTCACACATGATAGCGGATATGTTCCTAATGTCGTTACTACAATCCCGTCCACTTTTCCCGAATGTGACCTACCGAATTAGACTTATCACCGGGTTTGTACTTAGATGAGCAACACGACGGGTGCCTCATGTGGAGCAGGATCTACTTACCCTTCCGGAGCATCTAAGATAACCCCCAGGTTTTGGTGGGGTTCATGTTGGTCAGTATTTAGTTTTCTATGTTGTGTTTTTTCACTATTGTTTGTCTGTTGGTCTTTTTCTTATTTAAGCCATGGCGTTGTCAGTTTATTTTCGACTTATGAGTTTGAATGTCCCTCTGGTATCTTTCGCCTCTCTTTTAATCATACATTGTCATATGACAGTTTAACCTGACTAATGAGTTTTGAATGTCCCCTTGGTATCTCCCACGCGTAACAAACTTCGAACAAAAGAGTAAAAAGAAAACAAGTGTCACAAATACCCAAACTACATAATTTAGTCCAAACTACATAGTATAGTCCAAACTACATAATATAGTCCAAACAAGGACGAAATTAGAAGGAACAGAATACGTCATTGATCTAACAAAACAACCCAAACCAAAACTGTAGCAAGAATTGGTTATTCTCTTTGCTATAAATTCAATTCACACAGTTATACCTTAAAATTGAGAATGGAAATGGGGAATGTGTCAAAGAGATAACAACCCGACCATAGAGCAGACAACAGCCTATTGTGGCTTTGATTGTGTAGTCGATCTCACAATGTATCATCTCTTTTAATTGCAAGGCTATTTGAAGGATATCTGACTGGGCTAAAGTGCATGTAATTGGCTGCGGTAAAGTTTCAGATGTAGTTCCAGTCGTTGGTTGGTATTGCAGAGAGCTGAGGCCTGCAGGGACAGAAGCATGATGAATAGCGTTAGGGTCAACATGAACGGGTGAGGAACCCGGAGAAGACATTGCGAATTTTTTACTTGAATCTTGTTCAGGTGGTGTAGGCTTGCTGTGATGACGGAGCCTGTTTGTATTTACTGGAGTTTCGGGTTGCATTTTGTCAGTGATTAAGGATGAATGTCGTAGTTTTGTAATAAAAAAGGTGGATTAACAGTGTAAGGCTGGTATGCAAAACAGGAACTTGGAATGTTTATATTGTTTGTTGTTGTTTATTATTACACAGTTAACAGTTTTAAACGAATACCTACAATCTGTTGAGAACAGCTCACACACAATATTCCATATAGTGTCAAATCATAATCAGGATAAAAAACTTCAAATATTAGTTCATCGTCACTATCACAATATTAATTTCATCCTTATATACTCAATCCTCCGTTTAAAGTTTAATTATAAATCCATTTTCTTTACATTTTTTTTCCCCAGAAAAAAAAGACGTCTTATCAAGTCAGAGCATGCGCACTGTGAAAAATATGAAGATATGGTATGATTAACAATTAATGAGACAACTTTCCACCTAAGACCAAATGACGTAGAAGTTGGCATTTATAGATCACCGTAGGGCCTTTAACAATGAGAAAAATTCATACCGCATAGTAAGTTATAAAAGGTTCCGAGGTTTATCAGTGCCATATGCATGTATTCGTATGCCTGCAGATAGTTTTACAAATACGTTTGGCTAAAGCTCGATCATGGACTAATTAGTCAACCTAGAAATACTTTTTTTTAAATATTATAAGTAACACTACTTACCTCCACGCCATTTCCACTGAAGCACGCACTGCTTACACGTCACGTCATCTGGCATTAATAATGCTAACTTGTACTTTCTTTCATCTGTTGGAATAAACTTAAGTCCGTGACCTTCTATTGTTAATCTATTCCTGTCTAAACATTCCTGAGTAACAACTTTAGTCACATTATTATGCGGACATAATCGAAATTCAAAATGGCCACCAATATTTGAAGTAATATCGAGTGTTACATTTATAAACTTCCGGTGTTGTCTGTATCTGCGCACTATTATACCATTTGCATATTTCCCGCCAGGCTCGTTTTGACGGGAAACAGCATCATACGGATCCCCACAGACGCCACACTGGCCTTTGTTAATTCCATGCAGTCGCTGCAATTACAAAATGGGTGATAACAACTGACATTCATTTCAGATTTATAAACGTTTGATAAGGATAGAATAGTTAAGAGATTTAAATGATAACAACTTAGCGTTTTGATTGGAACGGGCCACCGATGAATCTAACTATGTATTCTATTTAAGATACAGCATGAGCTAATAGATATAGACGGACAATAATTTTTAATCCCAAAACAACTGTCGGACAAGAGGTAAAGTCCATTTCTATCAAAAAAGAATGAACACTGATGCCTATGGACAATCAGTATTTCCAAAGACCATCAACTTCTATCTAAAATCACCTCGGCATATACAATAGAGGGATTCAGGGCTGCTCTGCACGCAGGCTCTGATAGGAAGTAGTCACAGATTGTATATAGTTTTATTGTAAATTTGAGACTGATTCAATTGTAAATAGCTTTGGGAAGCTTAAGACTGACTGTGATGCCGGCACAAGTTTTCATGGGACCATATACATTAAATAATGATTGAATTCGTTTCTTAACTTGAATGAATAAGACTTTTTAAGGGAGATCGAGGCTCTTCATGGTGTCTTTCATCCAGAAAAATACGTGACTGTGAAGTGTCTATTGTTTGATACTTTGATGTACTCAATACGTCTTTCCCCTTCTGGATCTCAAATTTTAGAATAAATTAGTCTTTGAATTTCTATGATATGACTTTTATGGTGATGACTATAAAGCCTTCACATATCAATCGGAACAACTGACCCTTAACTTCATGAATGGTTACTATGTACCACCCCTCGTCAGTTACCATGATCCTTACATTCAAAAACCGGTTCAATTAATGTTATTTTGTTCTACCACTGTGCCAGGTTAGGTGAGGGTAAAGCCCTCACACATATGTTTAACCGCATTCTACCCGAAGTCAGTAGTTAAGTGGTTGTCACTTGTTTTTCCTTTATTGCTGCATGGTTTTTGTCGTCTGATTTGTTTCATATTTTGTCATGTTTGGCCCATTTTTAGCTGATTATATGGTTTGGTTTGGCCCATTGTTAAAGGGTCTGCTGGATAGTTGTTTCATTGCCAACTATAGCACATGTCATATTATATAGCATTTACCCTTGAAATATATTAAGATGTACAGATGTTTAATACCATATCGCCGTTAATATGCCGTACATACTCATGTTCATACCATCTTAATATGATATTGATATGAACTCTTTTTGATACTAGACCGACAAACTGAGTCGGATTCAATGACATACTTGTATAACCCAATTAAAAAACAGTATTTTGACTCCTAGTGGTATTCTTATTTCAAGAGGCCATTCGCTTTCCGGAGAAGAGGAAGTAATCATTGATGTCTATTTAGACCATATTCTGGATCAAACTCATGATCTCCCGCATTTAAGATGAACACGCTACATCGACACTTTCAATGCGGTTGAAGTTTCACCAGACATTTTTTATATGGAAAATGTTTTTTAAGATAAAAAGAAATGAATTTTTTTGTCCAATTAAGTGACTCGTGTCAATCAGACCCCTATTTCCTTGGTAGTTTCATAATAAAAGTCATATCATTGAAAATTACAAGCTTTTACTTTTAATGCACACTTTCTTTATTTTGTTCATGCATGTTAAATGACAATTATTGTCATAAAAATCACATTCTTAGTATACATGTTTTTTAAAGTAGTTATATTATTTAAATATTGATACACGACAGTTTATGTATTGAATATAGCTAATTTTTCATTGTCAATTACATCCTCATTAAGGGTAATAAATTTACAGGTCTGATTAAATTTTAAAAATGGTGATATGGGATACACGTCTGATCGAACTTTATGTAATTGTTTTATTATCAATATAAACTAAGGAGATGTGAAATGATTGTCAATGAGACAACTATACATCAGATACAGAATGACGTGAATGTTAGCAACTATTAATCACCGTACGGCTTCAACAATGAGCAAAAACCCTTCTTGACATAACAAAATGTAACACAATTCAAATGAGTAAACCTTGAACAGTGGCTGTGTTAAACATGTTTAGGGGGCACATAACCCTCCTCCTAACGTGGGACATTTGCGCGACAGCCATACACAAGAGCAAACTGAACAAAACAATACACTCAAAATTATATTTCTTCATTTATTTTTACCGAGGAACTAATTATAAATCGATGCCTTTTCTTTCACTATTGTTAACTTTCCCTACATTAATGGAACTGTATGGTTGCTCCTTTGTTTTGTAATTTGAATTTCGAGTGGTTTTGTATGCCCACTTTTACAGTGACAATCCATATTTCTTAAAAATTGATTTAATAACCAAACATGATTTACATTTGTAATGTTGATTACTTGTATTTATCAAAACTTTTATTTTGTCAAGTCAACGAAGAAACAGTTTAACTTAGTGGGATAGTAGCAGAGGGAAAAGAGGAGGGCGATTTTTGAAAGTGAGAAGCAAAAAAAAAAACACAAAACAAATTGAAAAAGCTTTTACTGTCTAATTCCCTCTTTTTCCCCACCACCGGCTCCGATGCTAGCGTAACTATACGGATGTAGTAAGAACGACAAAAAAAACCTTTATGGCACTACAATTCATCACTTATAAAGCCAGAAAGTTTTAAAACGTTCTTTTAATCTTGACTTCTTTTTGGTTTGAATAACTTATTTGAACAAGAATATAATAAATCATTACTCTTTTGTGGCTAAATCGTAATATCCTGTTTTGAATAAATTTGGTATGCTTATCTATATTGAGAACATTTACGCTTCAAGCCAAAGAATGTTATAATAGTTTGCAATCACATTTGTTTGTGTTCTGTATAAGATTGAAAGTATACAATTAATTATTTTATGAGATTTCGTTGTTACAGAACTGCGTAAAGTATTTATAGAAAAATACATACCCAGAATCCACCACAATTCAAACCATAATCCTCCAAATTTTTAGGAATCGTTTTATCCTTTTTCCAAGGTCGTACACGCCACAAACTGGATCTCTGAGGCGGTTCTAGCATAGTTCCTCGACTTTCAACGTTTTTAATAAATAATATCAAATGTAAAAAGTTCAAGATTAATGTAAAATCTATAAAGTTCAATGTTAAATCCATATTTTGATTATAAAATTCCTAGAGATGTATTCCACAAATTAAGTGACGTTTGATGTGGACACTAATGGACGGTTCATGTTTATATTTTGGGACTATCCATTTACAAATGTTTCTGAGTATTTATCTGGACTTCGTGTATGAGGAACATACATACAAATACTAAATGGTTACTTAATAGCAATTAATATATAATATTAGAATTGAGGCTCCAATAGGTAGGGACATCGACACTCATTTTCCCATGTCAAACCTGTGTATGTTTTCATTTTTAAATTTAAGTCATAACAATCTAAATGAATCAATTCAAATTTTTAATTTGATTGACAGTCATTTCAATAATTTGTGTTTATGTCTTGTTATCGAGAATTGAAATGTAAATTCTTTGTTAAATCATTTGTCATTTTTCTACTTTCACTTGGTCATTATGTTATTATAGTGCACTCCTGTCACAAAACTATAAATGGCGACTTAAGTCTTTTAATGTTCTAAATGAGGAACTAAAATCTCCAAAGAAAAAAAATCTGAAACAATAATTGTTTACTGACTTCGCAAAGTAAAAGTTATGTTTTGTATATTTGAAGTAAACGTATTGTGAAGACAGTATTTAGTATATTAAAATTCCCCAACAAGGTTATTTTGTTTTTCAAATTGATAGCTTTCAAAATTGACAGAATAAAAATTATACGAAGAACGGATGTTCACTACTTACAAATATAACGATCCATGGTTTTGAAATGTTTCATTTTTTTTCCGTGGTCGAAACTTTTTTGCAAAAATTAACCACATTACTTATTATTAATCACTTTTGGTTTTACAATTACAAGAAATGCATTAATCAATTAAGATAAGAAAATAAACCAACCTTAATTAGATGTCTGCTGTTCGTCACAACCACAGCTTTTGTTGAAATGAATAAATGCGTTGGAGAGATTTATAAGTTTAGAAATTCCTCAATTTTAGTATTTATAAGCTTTATTGTACCATATTGAAAAATGTAGGGAAATTGTCGAAACAAACGGAAGATATTTTCAAAGAGCCTGAGTATAAATCTAATTATAGAAAATGCCTCCCCAATTGTTTTACCTCTTTGTACTAATTGATAATAATAATATCAATTACAAAAAAAGCTAAATAATTGTATGTTCAACATTGCCAGAGGCACTATTTGTTTTATGATAAATTAATACGCCGCAACACCTTCAAGTTGGAGCATTATAAAGAGGATCTAACAATGTAATACAAGTTATACTTATACATGTACATGCACGTCAATGTGACATACTTTGTTTTGTGTTTTAGAAATAGCTAGTTAAAATAATGCCTAATAAAAAAAAAAATATCTACATTTCCGCTAAGATGCTGAAAAAAAATAGGGTAGGTTGGTTATACAAATTAATTTCAATTTTTAAGCAGGTTTTATACTGGTTTAAACAGAAGAAACGGTATGATTACAAAAATCTTTCGGGTAGGAAGTGTTCGCAAAACACAAGTATTTTTTTACTCGGCCGAAAATTAAAAAAAAACATGTTTTTATCAAATGTTTTAATAAGTCTATGAATTGTTTCTCTGAAAAAGGTTTCCTCCCGCCTATTATCACATTTGATCTAAGACAAATTCGAATGACGCTTTTGAAGTATATGGATTTTGTATATTTGGCTTTTCAAACTATTTGTGTTGGTTTATTTGGGAAACAAGTGTCGTTTAGTGACGATAGTATCAACATAAAACATACTGCCGTTTGCCATCATAGTAACATAATTTTGGAGAGATTAATTTACCTTAAGATATAGATACATGAATATAATATTTAAAGGCAAAATATAATGAAAAAGTGTTGCAAAAAATTAATAGATGAATGAAACGTGATTTTAGAAACACGTCAAAGGAACTAAATGAATGGTTTTGATATGACAAAGCTTATATTTTGCTATGGTTTACATTAAACAGTTTTGACAAGTAATTGGTATTGCACAACGTCAATAGGTACAGAAGTTCATAGAAAGTTTCATTAAAATTTTGTCATTTGTTTGGGAATAGGTACGATTTACATTTAAAACACCTACCTCCTTAGCCAATGGCATGAAAAACGTTCGGACATAACAATTACTCTACACACCTACTTCACTAATTTAACGGGGCTTTTAATGTTTATAGAGAATCAGACAGTACACTAACCTCCATTTTTGGAATGCTTGAACTAAAAATACAAAAAGGAGAGGATATGACATTGCCAAAATCGTTTAAGATTATTTTTGGCTGGGGTAAATATTGAAACTTAAGTTTTAGTTCATCTTCATGAACTGGAAATTTAGTCATTATAAATAAAGCGATAAACCATGACATCACCACTGCACTGGCTTAACCCTGACAGTACTACAGCACTGGCTAAACAACGACAATACACAATCCATGGCTAAACCAGGACAGTACCACAGCATTGACTAAATCAGCCCTGGCTATACTATGGCAGTACCCCATCGCTGGTTAAACCATGACAGTACCCCCAGCCCTGGTAAACCATGGCAGTACCCCCAGCCCTGGTAAACCATGGCGGTACCCCAGCCCTGGCTAAACCATGACAGTACCACAGCACTGCCTACACCATGGAAGTACTCCAGCGCTGGCTAAACCATGACAGTACCCAAGTCCGGGCAAAACAATGACAGTACCACAGCGCTGGCTAAACAATGACAGTAACCCAGCTCTAGCTAAACCATGACAGTATCCCAGCCCTGGCTAAACCATGTCAGCATTACAGCGCTGGCTAATCAAGGACAATATCCCAACCCTGGCTAAACCAGGACAGTACTACAACACTGGCTTAACTATGGCAATATCCCAGTCCTGGCTAAATCATGACGGTATCACAACTCTGGCTATTAGGCGGATGGTAGCTTGATCTTTTATTCTCTGGATATTGCTGTTTCCTGGCACTTATTTTATCATTTACTGCCACAAAAGGGTGACAGGAACATAGCGTAGTGTACGTTTATTGCTGTAGTATAATCGTTGTTTAATATAAATAAGAAGATGTGATATGAGTGCCAATGAGACAACTATCCATCTAAGTCACAATGTGTAAAAGTAAACAATTATAGGTCAAAGTACGGCCTTCAACACGGGTCCTTGGCTCACACCGAACGGCAAGCTATAAAAGGCCCCAAAATGACTAGTGTAAAACAATTCAAACAGGAAAACCAACGGTCTAATCTATATAAAAAGCGAGAAACGGGAAACACTTATGAACCACACCAACAAACGACAACCACTGAACAACAGGCTCCTGATGTATGTTATTTTATATACACGAAGGAAAACAATTCATATCACGGGAATCAAAAGGGGGATTGAAAATCAATCAAATATTAGGGCAACATAAAAATGTTAAAAAAATTAAAACGGTGTGCGAGCAATATATGACAAAGTCCAACTGATCCAAAGCGAATCTATAAAATATAAAGACAAAATCAACGTCACGTACATTGACTTAATCATATGATTTTGTTCATATGATATACATTATGTGATAACAAAAATTAAATACTTAGATATATCTAATCTTTAGTGTACAACAACACTTCGATGATTTTGCTTTAGAAATACATATAAACTGTAGGTTTGCTTTTATATACATTTTTAAAAGGTAAGCGAATTCATAAATATGTAATGAAGAGCTATCTACCCAGGAGCGGATCCAGGATATTTGAAAGGAGGGTGTAATTCAAGGTTATCGAATACATACAGCCGAGCGAAGCTACATGTAGGCGAAAAAAAATTGGACAATTTTATACTAAAAATTTATATATACTGAGTCGGGGAACAGCAGTCAATTCTTTTGCGATCAACAATTCCCTCATATAAAATAAAAACAGCGTACCGAAGTGAAAATAGATACTACCACAGATTTTGTGAGATCTTATTTTCTTAAATCTAATCAGATAATCTCCTAAAATAGGTGAATATTTGTACAGAATGCACAGTAAAATCTGTGACAAACGTTATCAAAATTGAATATAAACATGCATGTGATGTAATAAATATACATCGCTGAATATATATGTGTCGTGAAGTTTTTTGATATAATATATTGTAGTTGTTTTTTTAACTTATAGTATTACATTGGATTTTATCCCTTCATATCCCTTTTTTCCGATTTCATCAATCAATTATTTCTATGATTAAACTCGTGTCACATTAGATAAATATAAGAAGATGAGGTATTAGTGCCAATGACACAACTATCCATCCAAGTCAAAATTTATAAAAGTAAACCATTATAGGTCAAAGTACGGTTTTCAACACGGAGCTTTGGCTCACACCGAACAGCAAGCTATAAAGGGCCCCACAAATTAATGTATGTCTGATTGATCCGAAACTTGGTTAAACATGAATTATGTCATTTGTCCGAAGCCTCTATTAATTTATGACTTTAATGGCCTTTATTTTTCAGATGCAGTTGATAGTATTTACAGTATTATTATATTGGATATGTCAAGTCACATCTAACCCAACAACTGAAACTGAATGGAAATTATTTAAGCAGCAGTACACTAAACACTACGATACAACAGAAGACAAATACAGGTACGTACAGCAAGTCGTTCAGACGTAATCATCATCATCAAAAACAACACAAACCGTACAATGAGGTAAAGCATTGCTTTACAATTTAACAGAGACTTATGAAGACTGTTTTCTTAGATACTAAAAAATAATAAAAACGAAAGCATATAAATTATCATTTTTATTTTCATAGCTACAAAAAAGGGTCAAGCTAAATTCACACCCATTTAAAATAAGGAGATGCGGTAAGATTGCCAATAAAACAGTTACTCGTTAACGCCTAAAGGAAGAAGATGTGAAAAATTATATGTCACCATAGGGCCTTCAACAATGAGCAAAACAAATACTGTATAGTAGGTATGGTAAAAATAAAGAGACCCCGGAATAGTCCAAACAGGCTGTGAATAAATTCAACAGGTACCAATTAAAGCTACTATTATCACCAAGTTAACAAATGACGAAAGCCTATGACTCAACAACAATTACTGACAAATGATACTGACTTGGGCCAATTTTAACGGGGAAAAGTACAAAATGTATCATTTAAGCATTTTAAGTGTAATAAACGATGTTTCTATAAGTGATAAGAATTGAAAATAAGTTTACGTTAATTGTGACCATTTTATCTGTATTCTATCTCGGTATTCGAGATAAAAAAAAAATATTGTCCAACATGTTTATTTGCATGTCCCATCTAATCAGTAAGTTTGTCAGCACGTGTTGCGGTTTCTTCTTATTTTTTGTGTATTGCGAATTTGAGTCACATGTCGTACACTTATAGTCTGATGAATGATTTGAAGAATTGTTATGACGTGTTCGTGTCGAAGACCTAACAAATGATGACTTATATATGTCTTTAGTTAAAATCGTATTGTTGGTTTGTACCGCAAATACGTTGGTTTCATATGATCCTGTAATTAGATCTAAATTTATTCTAAATAATCTAGACGTCTGCTGACGGGAATTTTTCTTAATCGGAAATCGTTAAAAGCCTTCCTTGTTAACGCCTTCCTTGTGTCATAATTATTTGGACTTGTATAAACTTGAGTTATGCGCAGACTCTTTTAGTGTATAGCAGTTTTGTGACATAGCAACACAGGCACTTGTCTAAGAAGAAAAAAATCCTATATACCTTAATATAACACAAGGTACTTAACTCGCATTTTTGAAAAATGTCACCCGGTCGTGAAATTCCGTTATATTTCGATTTCTCGGTTATCAACCCCACTAAAACTTGTTATGCCGTAAATCTAAATTGATTTATCTACACAATGGTGTATAACACGCATACCTTTGTTGTCGGAATCATTTGTAGCAGGCCTACCCAAGTATGTCAACCGTAATTATTTCGTCTACCAACACCCATTTGGAAATATAAGACTCGCAGTAAATGATTAATTATACAAAGAATTTAAAAAAAACAGTTAGTTTTTGTCTGAATAGAACTTATCATCCAGATAGTAAATTTGTAAAAGATTCTGTGAAAAAAATCTAACAAGTGTTATTTGAGGTATGTCTAATGAGTTACGAGTTTCTATTTTTAGACTCAAATTTTCATATTCCATCATGTCGTTCAGACTCTCTCTGGACTTTACATATAAAATGAGATAACTCCAAGAAACATTAATTTTTAGCAATAGACCTTCCCATAAAATTTGACCAATCGGAAACCGAGATATATAAAGAGAGTGGAAAGATACCTTTTACTGCGAGTCTTATATTTCCAATCGAGTGTTGGTAGACGAAACAAAGGTATGCGTGTTATACACCATTGTGTATATAAATCAATTTAGATTTACGGCATAACAAGTTTTTGTGGGGTTGGCAACCGATAAATCGAAATATAACGGAATTTCGCGCCCAGGTGACATTTTTTAAAAATGCGATTTAAGTACCTTGTGTTATATTAAGGTATTAAGGATTTTTTTTTTCTGAGACAATTGCATAGCAACATTTACTTTGACATGTGACAGCACCAGTGAATACAGGATACTGTATTGTAGAATGGTTAACAGAAGTCTCGTTTTTATTTCAGACGCACTATATGGGAAGATAACAAGAGATACACCGAAAAACACAATTCGGAAGCTGCAGCCGGTCTTCATACCTATACAATGGGTCTAAATAGCTACAGTGATATGGTAAGGACCGGTTTTTGGAAAACAAATAAACGATCGTCTGCGTATTTAGTTTTATTTTATTTCTATATTCTAATACTGTTGACTGTACGTGATCAGATTAAATTTATTATCTCTTTCTATTTCTCTGATATAAGTAGGCAATGTTTTTCTAACGTTTCAAACATTTCATCATTTTACAATTGGCTTTCGTGGCATTTTTGGTAATAATTGTCTCGCATCTGGGCACCTATCCTTGAACAGTCTGTAAAATATGCATACATATTTTATTTTCAATATCAATTAAATATTATACACCTTTTAAATTTTGCTGCTCTAAAGAAGAAAAAAAACTAATATAGAATTGTACAAAGGGAAATAACTTTTGTGAAGACTTACAAAAGACAATTATTTGTATACAATTTCTCAAAGAAAAGGTTCTGTAACGTTCTTTTTTCAATACCCGACTTGTTTTTTGCTGATAATCACGAGTTACTCCTTAGATTTGTAAAGTATTTTTGTCATTTTACAGAAACATGAAGAATTTGTAAAAATAATGATGGGTTTAAAAATATCGGCCAACCCAATACCGGGGAAACCGTTTGTACCAACAGTGGAGGTAGGACGACTTCCTGACACAATGAATTGGACAGCATTAGGATATGTGACAGAAGTTGGAAACCAAGTATGTACATATCCAAAACTAAAATAGATATACGAGCTAAGGAAAGATCTATGGTCATTCTGAATCATTTTTGTTTCACTCAATGGGTCATTTTCGAAAAGCATTTCATCTGATATCGTTTAAAAATCATTCGAAATATGTACAAATATCCATAGATTTCCATGCATAGAGAAATATGTGTAAAAAGTGAATCGTGTCACATAGAAGGACTTTATTTCTTTTGAGTCTTTTGAAAAATATATTCTACGGATTTTCAAATTGTACAATGTAGACAACAAATTATCAATTTCCACACTTCACCTATGTTGTAATGTACCTACTAGTAGTTAGTTGGAAAGCTGACACAAAAAAAGATCAATACAATGCGATGCGAGGTGTATGTTAATGAGACAGAAACCCAACAGAAAAATAAAAGCTAACAAACAGTCTTCAACAATAGGCAGGTGTCTTTCTATTCAATATGCTCAGCTCTGAATCGTCTCAGATCTATAACAGTTGTGTATAAACTAAACGAAAAAAGAAAGAAAATCTGCAATCATTTTAACAACCCTTTATCAGACCCAAATATTTGCCACTACTTTTTTGTTCACTCCTTTCTGATATTTTATACCTACTATTTAACGCAATGCATCGTTTTCCTGATTACCTTATGTAAATGGTATCTCCCTTTGTTCCACTTTTCTTACAGCATATGTTTAATATTGGATTATCACGTTATTTATTTTCAAGGGTCAATGTGGATCGTGCTGGGCATTTTCTGTGATAGGAGCATTAGAAGGCCAGTGGTTTCGAGCTCAAAGGAAATTAGTCCGATTGTCTGTTCAGGATTTAATGGACTGTTCGAAATCAGTCGGTAGGTCACAGTCATTAATATTTTGCCTTGATCAAGCATGCAATTGGGTACTATACGGTTGAGAATTGATCGTACAGTAACACAGAACAGACGCGGTTGCGAATTGTTGAGGTCAGATGTGGTTCAGATTGATTCTGATATATTACACATCATTTCCAAATGTTTAATTATATGTAGCAGTGTTCCGATCTTGAATTACGTTCTTAATACAAGTTACAACGGAATAATAAGAATTCATATTTTGATTTATTCACTGATAGAGTAAATTCGGATACATTGATATAGTACAACACACACACAAAATTAAGCAGGTCAAAACGATGTACGTTATGTGTCTAGAGTCATTTGTGACAAATCGTAAGGCGTAGCAAATCTTTCGTATAGTGATTATATCAGTGATTATACCAGTTTTTATGGAAGTGATTGTATTTCTATTGACAAAATCATTGCAATCGGCAATTATCGGATGAATCCGCTACTCTTCTGAGGAAGAACGGAATTGGCCGAGTTAGAAGAGTGAAAATCATTGTAGTGTACAGTAATCCGTGGTTAGCAAGAACATAAATATGCATACACGGTACTCTTGTTGTTGTAGGCCTAAATGTAACTCGGATAAGGACACTTAACTATTTGAAGCAATACTCATCACTTTTGTGATGGTGTACTTGTTTTCAAACATCCTTGATGCCTTTTGGAAGGTTAATCTGGGACTTATAGATAAAGGAACCTGCAACTAAATTAATTTTTCAAGTTCATTGACCCTCAAAGTTTAAGCGTAAATGGTTATTTCTTGGTTGTTTTTCGGGGTATTTCTTGGTTCAAACATTGGTTTACAATTTTTCAAAGTCCTCTAAGGATTGCAAATTAATATTGATAAACAATATACACATGACATTGAAGATGAATGATTGTATGGTGCTGAGAGCTAAATTAAATTTCATTTCCAAAATTTCATTATTAAGTTGTTATTCTGGTGACCAAAGTTTTCATTTTCAAGCAAATTATTTAAATATTTGAATTTTAGAAGGTGCATGGTTTATATATTTTCTTTATTTCCTGATATTTTATCATCAACATTTTTATATGGTTGGAAAGGAGACTTTTCATATAGTACAGTAATTTATTTTTTATTGACTTTTGGTTTTAAACCTTTTCAGCAAAAGCATTTAAAAATGAATGGTTTCGAAGAATCTTAGTTAATGATTGTTTTAATGAAATGGGGGTTAACAGTATTAGTTCCAGGGGTAATTAAGCTTTACCGCAGATTTATTTGTTTAGTAGAAACTGGACCTTATGATTCCTTCTAATTGATGACGCAAGGTTTAGTAACAAACCCCATTCCAGGAACGCAATTGTTCTTATTTAAAGATTATTTCGTATAGAAAAATATTTGTTAATTCATATTGTTTTCCACGTTAGGTCGGTAGCGGCAAAACATTTAATGTCAATGGAGGGGAAATAAGTTCGTAGATTAGTTAGTAAGTTACCTACACTCATTTTTATTTGGCGAAGGATGGAAAGGTAGAAGTACAAAAGTCTCCAATGACTGGGACTTATGTTTATACTCAATTGATTCACATGACGTTCATTTTTCAGATTCTAGGCCATCATTGTATACATTATAAAATAAGGAGATATGATATGATTGCCAATATGACAACTGTCCACCATAGTTAAAATAAGTGGATATAAGCAATATGTCACCGTACGGCCTTCACAATGAGAAAACCCAATATACCGTATGCATATTTCAAATGAATTTCAATAATTTTGAACATATATGAAGTTTAATCATTATTCAACATTTGATAGATCGTTATGCAATACATGTGTCACAAATGACCATTCGTATATATTCCTCTTGTCGTAACCAAAAAATCTGTTTTCTTTTCCTCGATTGTGACATGACCGCGAATTATTACTGGATTTTTAATTGCATGAACAACCGGACAGTGCCACCAGTGGAGCAGGAAAATGATTTTCCTCCTGGAGCAACTTAGATCATGCCTGGTATTTTTAGTGGAATTCGTGTTCCATCATTATCAGAGTAATGTTTTTTTATTGCTTTTTGTTTGTCATTTCGTCATTTCTCTTTTTTCGATGGTGTTGTCTTTTTATTGGCATAAAGGCTTATGATTGGCACGTGGTATCTTCTGTTGTTTCACATAGATGACTATATATTTTGAATTTTTGACATGAGAAACAATGAAAGAAACACCAGTAGTAAACTCTGGTTGATTTTTAGGAAACCAAGGCTGTGAAGGAGGATTTATAGATAAAAGCTACAAATTTATACGTGATAATCATGGAATTGACACTTGGAAATCATATCCCTATGATGCTAAGGTATAAATTTCTTTGATCAGAACAATTAAGTATAGGCTAAACGAGTTATCCATACTTCCATTACCATGAGTATGTCTTTACATCCTCTTCTGACTGCATGCATTTTAAAATTGTGTTTGAGGTTAAATTTTTCAATTGTGTTCATACTACACTATTTTTCTTCCAATTCAAAACAAACCTATACAAATATAATTTACCTTTTAATGTAGTGTGGGAGTATAATGAAATTATGACAGACGTTTTTCATACTTTGCAAAAATGTAGTTTATATCCTGCTTTTTCAAAACAAATAATAAAATTCAGAGGTCCTCGAACTTTTTTCAAGTTATTGGTTGGAAACAATTTACACATCTTACACAGGGAAAAGGCATTGTTTTGAAATAGAATAAAAACTAAATGACATAATTTTGATATGAAATATGGGAGGATAGCCCAAATAAAATGCAAAAAGAAAATTAGAAAATAAATTTGGATCATCAAAATTTTTCATACAATGAAACAATACCGGAGTAAATACTGTACTTTCTTTAGAAAATTCAATTATATGATTGATCTCCCCTTATAAGGTTAATCTTAATGCTTTTTGAATCAATCAAAACATATTCTGTATTTGTAACAACAGTCGTGATAATTAGATAAAATAACATAATTGTCTTCATTGCAAAGTCTTAAGAAGAAATTGAATTTCTACCTCAAAATAGTTATTTTAATAGGGGAGTACTGATTGTTTTCTGCTTTATTACAATAATTTTACAAAAATTACACTTTGATGTTCGTTTACATTAAAGAATATATTAAAATTTAATTTTTCCCAGAACGAAAAATGTCGTTTTAATAACGACACTATTGGAGCAACTTGCAGGGGATACACTGACATTAAAAAGGGCAATGAAGATGACCTGTATGTTGCTGTTGGCTCGATCGGTCCCGTGGCTGTCGCTATAGATGCTTATCAAGAGTCGTTCTCAATGTACAAGAGTGGAGTGTACGATGAACCTAAGTGTACTACAACAAGACTATCTCATACTTTACTTGTGACTGGTTACGGAAAATATAAAGGGAAAGAATATTGGTTAGCTAAAAATAGGTATAGTGGTTTTCTGTTATATTGCTTGACATTTGTTTCAGACATATGCGGTGTTTATTTGTAAGATGTGTATGCGTTTTCTGACAACACACTTGTCTGTTTTCATTTTATTTCCAAAAGTGTATGGGCAATTAAGTGAATCGTGTACAAATGTTATTATTAAACAGTCAGTTTTACATGTACACCAATGAATATTTTGTTGCAATTTTGCTTTGATTAAAAAAATATACATCAAATGTGATGTTTTGACGAAGGATCCGATTCATACAGCAATTTATATTGTTTTCAACGGCACTTGGAAAATGTGTGTTGTTTTATTTGTCAAGCCGAATAATCTTACATACAAATTTTACAGTTTTTGTAATAAACTTACCCTTTTAATAAGTTTCAGAGGATCAAACAACAAATACAATTGAGAATGGAAACGGGGAATGCGTTAAAGAGACAACAATCCGACCAAAGAGTAGAAACAGCTCAAGGCCACCAATGGGTCTTCAACACAACGAGACAATCCCGCACCCGGAGGACTGTAACCCTAAAACATCAATTGTTGTAACACACATTCGAACTACAAAAAATAACATCATATATATTCATAAGAGACACAGGAAGATACCAAAATGTAAGTGCAACAATTTAAAGTTTTAATTTCTAATTTTGTTTTTCAGTTGGGGTACTTCCTGGGGAATGAATGGTTACATTATGATGTCAAGAAATAAAGATAATCAGTGTGGTATAGCAAGCTTGGCCAGTTATCCATTAGTCTAATGGCTAACAAAGATTATTTACGCAGTCTAGTGGATCAGTAATACGGACGCTTACTTACTCACAACCGAACAATAACCTGTTATAAACTTATACCATTAGAATAATATGCGCTATATATGTTTATGGTATTTGAATATGAATCATTTATGGTAGATTAAGCAATAAATAAAATAGATTTTGTGATTGACAACATATTTGTTTTAGATAAGTAGATAGATGCTCTTAATATATCTAGACCGCTTCGGAAGTCTCGTGGTATCGTGTTCGCCTCGAACCCCGGTCGGGTCAAATCAAAGACTTTAAAATTGGTATTTTCTGCCTCTCTGCTAAGCACTCGGCATTAAGGAGTAAGAACAAATACTGGTCGACTCGGAGTCAGAATAATGTTTCCGGGTAAGGTGTCATGTCTAACTGCGGACTATTACATTGTGAACTAGCACGTTAAAAATCCGGCTCAGCGTTTCAGTCTAATACAAAGCAGGGTTAATATTCATATTACATTTACATGTTCTCGTCCTGAATATGTATATTAATTTGCAGCTGGACGTTAAGGAAGTTCGCTACTCTTGTTTTTGACATTTTGTCAGATATTAGGAATCCTCTAGTTTATCCATGTAGTGCCAATGAAAATCTTGCCCGCTAACCACTATTTTTCTTTTCACAATTTTATTGCATATAGTTCAAAAAGCCATTTTTGAAAATCTTATAAAATTCTTGTTATTTTTTCATAGTTTTTGAAGAGAAAAAGGTGCCATGTTAAATGTATGAAAAATCTAGAGAGAATCATTTCCCGCCGAAGTTTCAATTGACTATATCTCAAAAACAAACACACGGACCTATCACTTTTTTCTGCTTTTTAAGTTTCTTTGTATATATACTATCATTTTATAATAGTCTTTTAAAAAGCTTGATATTTTGAAACAGAGGAGCGAACATCCTTAAGCAGCCATTCATCATAATTGATATATCTGTGTTAGTACGTATATAAACAGGTCAGGAATAACCATTAATTGGTGGATTATACCTCAATTCAAGTATAATCCACCATTTGACATATAATGGTGTACACCAATTGAGATATAATGCAGTTTTTATCCCCAAAAAAATTTAAAGATACATTGGAGAATCTTTTTGCATTTCCCATAACAAGCTTTGGTGACCACTTAGTGATGACATGTAATTGATTCTGACACTTTGTGCTGCAATTTGTTAGAGAAACTTAAAAACTAATATGACCCTCCTTTTCCAACTTATACATTGTGAGTTTTCATCTATTAGTATTAAATCTTATTTTTGTTCTGTAATCTCTTCCTCTAACAAATTTTAAAGTGGGAACTGGTGCAGACTTAAGGAAACCAATTGTGAATATCTGTCAGTTGGTGGATTATACCTCAATTGAGGTATAATCCATTTTTTTTAAAACGCAGCAGAGGAAGTCAGAAGCAATTACATTTCACTAATGAGTATTCATCATAGCTTAAGATGGTATATGCAAAAAGATGCTCGAATATCTCTTTAAAAAAATTTATGATAAAAACTACATTATACCTCAATTCGTGTATCTCACTTTATGTCAAACGGTGGATTATACGTCAATTGAGGTATAACCCATCAATTAATGGTTATTCCTGACCTGATAAAGCAGAATAAATACGTAAATTTTCTGATTAATACCTATAATTACATTTTATATCAAGTCATTTCGAAATTGAAAATAATGAAAGGTTTCGATATGAAATCAAATATAAACGTGACATCTTGAATTTTTCTACTGTCAATTCCCATGCAGTGCTTGATTAGAAGAAAACCTGCGACTCTTTTCACAAAAAATCTTAAGAGTAAAAATACTCGTAAGTCATACAAATTTCAGTATAACTTACGATCAATTTTAATCGTAAGATTTTTTGTGAAAAGAGTCGCTGAATCTTCTGTCTCTGTATTATACCTTTTGGGTTTGTGTCATGCAGTTGATATGGAAGACCGTCTTTATGTTATATCGACTTCACACACATTGAAATTAACTCTTAGTTAAGTAATACACCTACAGAGTTATTTGGAAAACATAAAAGAATCATCACTTCACATATTTCATAGTCGCTTTTACATATTGTTTGCTTGTAACAATGTCAAAATCAACTAGCAAGAGACATGTTTTCTCTGTCAAGGATATCAAAATACCACTTTCGTCAGAATAATATTATTATCGCCTTAAATATTACCCCCTCAGGCAAAGTTGACCTTTAAGTTAGATGGGTTTGGCTATTATATTAACTCCTTTTTTGGTCATATAGCTTGGTTCTAATTCAGCATTGGTTTTCAATATTCGGCTTTGAGCGTTCCCGATGAAGGTAAATCCAGAAAAGCGCTTCGGACGCATGAAATTTATAAATGTTATATTTTTTTCTTTTTTTAAGTTCGAGAAATTCACTAATAGCTACGCTTTTGATATAGCATGGCATGACTGGTGGCGCACACAGATCCGAAGATAATTACTACGTTGACTCACAGATCTGAGGATGAATATCACGTTGACACAGATCCGAAGATGATTACCACGATGAGACACATATCCCATTCCGTTTAATGATAGGCGATTACGACTGTTTTTCTCCGATAATCGTTTTTTTTTTGTATTGAGACGTGCACTTCATTTTGTTATTCTACTATTCCAAGTATATGGATTGAAATGTAAACGAGGCTCTTTAGGTTGCATTTCTGTAAATATAGACAATGCAATTTCCCATAGGAACTCCCTTTGCGGCTAAAACTGTGCAACATTTACTATGAATTTTCGTAAAAAATCATATCCTAGAATGGAAAGCTGATATACACTACTATTTTATTCAAAGGTCAAAACATAGGGCTGTGCGGCATATTTTCAACATTTATATGCCCTGAACTTGTTAGAGTTTAAACTTATACTAAATTCTGTACTATCCCTACCCCCACTTTTTGCCTACTTCAGAATTCAATTTTTACCGCAACAATATGTTTTTATACTGGTAACAGTTCCAAGTTAGGTCTCTATGAGATGAAACCTAGAGATCATATCCGGGAACCAATACGTAAACAAATCAAGTTATCTATGCATATTATATATCACCCCTAAAGAGGCGTGGTTTGAGAAACAGCTGTATTTACAAAGTGCAACCTATAATGCGATAGTTGTTAACAAGTGTAATAAATTAGTTAAATGTTTTAGGTATTTATTATGTAAAATATTTTATATATAAATGAAATTTTATTAATGTAAGGTATACTTCTATTATAGTACAAATAGTTACAAAGTTTAATTATATGTAAGTGATCTATAGTTCAAAATAATTTAAAAGAAGTCGGTCCACAATAAATTTTGTATCTCATAAAACTCATTACTGCTCATTCGAAAACAGAATTTTGTCTGCAAAACAATAACAGTGAATAGGTACGTACCAATATGTTAACAGTTTCAAAAACTGAACAACTTTGGGAGTATAACCAAGAAAGTCAAAACAGAAATTGAGACTTATATAAATTTAACTGAGAAATATATCCACAAATGAAGAAGCCATCGGCACACCATTAACAAAGAAACGGAATTTGACAACGGGAAATAAAAATGTCTATTTTTTAATGATAGACAAGGACCTGGGGCCATATTGACCCTACAATCTAATGTTTTTCAAACTAATTTGGATTTTTCAGAATTAAATATTGAATGTATGAACAATAATAAAACAATGTTGTTTTGGATAAAAGATAAAAATTTACATCGTGATTGAGTTAGGCAGACATTGAATGACAATAAATTCAATAAAATAGGAATATCATGCACAATCTTGACCATTTGACAAGAACATTTTTAGAAATAATATGGTGCACATGTCACACATTATTTTTGTACTAAATTTTATATTCAAAACTATCTAAATATGTTGATTTCTATTACAGTTTATTAACGTGTACATTTCTTATGCACCAGGCATATTTAATTTATACAATAGTAGTGATCTCGAAATTCATAATGAATTTAAATGTCCGAAATATTTGTTTACACCTGAAACATGTTAGATTATAAATTTATATTTGTCAATACCTATGGTCAAGATTGAACTGAAATCTTACGGTTATTCAATATTTCTATTTGATCAATTATGTTTAATTCAATACACAAGCGTGTAAATAATTTCTCTTTGATAAACGGAATCAATCTGTTATCTAATTTCTGTTGACAAAATGACCGTTACTAACTTTGTTGTTAGCAACGCTATTTGATATCTAAAGAAAGATAAATTTTTATTAAGGGACTCCGTTTGGATATGCCAACGAGAGCACATGAACTGCGTTCGGATTTTCCATCGCAATCATGTATATTGTTTTTGGCTTAAAATAACTAATTTGTATCACTGATATTTTATATTTGGACTTTATTAAATGAATTTGGACTTTACCAATTTGTTTATGTTTATTGTATTGAACTGCCGACTTGTGTGTGAATAAAGAGCTAGTACCCCGCATTGTGAATCGTTCCCATAGACGGAATCCCACTCAAAGCCATTCCGGCAATATTTATCTGGAAACGTATCAAAATACTTTCTCATAAATTGGTGGAGTATCGAATCGATCTGAGGAACCTCTTGCAATACAACAAGCGAGTGGCATAGTAGGTTCGGGCGCCTATTCTTTGAAACAATGGATTGTGGATATCAAACGAAGAGATCAAAACATTCACACAACATACATGAGTCGACATACTACTGGATGCATATGCCGTGGCAACAACACTACCAGGGAATTCACAACCGAATACCTTCGGAATACAGTGTAAAGTCTATCAATCAAGATACATTGAACCGTTCAGCTAGAATAAAGAGACATGAAATCAAAAACGATTACACTCCGGAAAGAGACATATTATCTTTACGCAAACGAAGAAAACGAGAACTTAAATCGAGTTCTGCAAAACGGAGAGACATGCAACGACTGCATCACTTTAAAGAGAGAAAACATTTCGTGTCAGTTTTACCTTTCAACGAAATTAGTAACAATGAGCTTAGAAACGTTTTTCCTCAGAAATTTTACCAGACATTGGAAATTCAAAGGATCAAACAAGAAAATATCAATCTAAAACAACTAATTAAGGACGAGGAAAAGAAAATAGACAAACAAGACTTGGAATTCAAAAGACTTACAAATGAGCTGCAGCATCATAAAGATATCATAAATCAATATAAGTTTATGCTTCGGACATGGAAAAATTTACTTCCAGCTTACAGGAACAAAATGAAATACTTAAACAAAATCAAGAACTATTTTTATCTTTGTAACATTCTCCATACCAGAACCAGCAGATTCAAAATGAACTAGAAAGTTTAGAAATTGAACTTAATGATTCTAATCGCATGAAAAACTATTGGGAAGATCTTACACACATAAAACTTAGGGAATGCAATGAAAAGTACGCTGAAATAGATGGATTAGAACAAAAAATAAAACAATTACAGAGTGATAATTGTGGATTGATCAATACTATAAGGGAAATTGAAAACAACCAAAATCAGATGGCTTTACAACAGCAAAGACACACCAACCACAGAACTTTTTACACAAGGAACAGACAATCTCGGCGATATTGAACATTTATTAGTAATTGTTGTTTGACCTTAAATTCAGTGTTGTTTTTTTTTTAAATTCGGGACGAATTTTCTTGAAAAAGGGAATAGTTGTCACACATTATTTTTGTACTAAATTTTATATTCAAAACTATCTAAATATGTTGATTTCTATTACAGTTTATTAACGTGTACATTTCTTATGCACCAGGCATATTTAATTTATGCAATAGTAGTGATCTCGAAATTCATAATGAATTTAAATGTCCGAAATATTTGTTTACACCTGAAACATGTTAGATTATAAATTTATATTTGTCAATACTTATGGTCAAGATTGAACTGAAATCTTACGGTTATTCAATATTTCTATTTGATCAATTATGTTTAATTCAATACACAAGCGTGTAAATAATTTCTCTTTGATAAACGGAATCAATCTGTTATCTAATTTCTGTTGACAAAATGACCGTTACTAACTTTGTTGTTAGCAACGCTATTTGATATCTAAAGAAAGATAAATTTTTATTAAGGGACTCCGTTTGGATATGCCAACGAGAGCACATGAACTGCGTTCGGATTTTCCATCGCAATCATGTATATTGTTTTTGGCTTAAAATAACTAATTTGTATCACTGATATTTTATATTTGGACTTTATTAAATGAATTTGGACTTTACCAATTTGTTTATGTTTATTGTATTGAACTGCCGACTTGTGTGTGAATAAAGAGCTAGTACCCCGCATTGTGAATCGTTCCCATAGACGGAATCCCACTCAAAGCCATTCCGGCAATATTTATCTGGAAACGTATCAAAATACTTTCTCATAAATTGGTGGAGTATCGAATCGATCTGAGGAACCTCTTGCAATACAACAAGCGAGTGGCATAGTAGGTTCGGGCGCCTATTCTTTGAAACAATGGATTGTGGATATCAAACGAAGAGATCAAAACATTCACACAACATACATGAGTCGACATACTACTGGATGCATATGCCGTGGCAACAACACTACCAGGGAATTCACAACCGAATACCTTCGGAATACAGTGTAAAGTCTATCAATCAAGATACATTGAACCGTTCAGCTAGAATAAAGAGACATGAAATCAAAAACGATTACACTCCGGAAAGAGACATATTATCTTTACGCAAACGAAGAAAACGAGAACTTAAATCGAGTTCTGCAAAACGGAGAGACATGCAACGACTGCATCACTTTAAAGAGAGAAAACATTTCGTGTCAGTTTTACCTTTCAACGAAATTAGTAACAATGAGCTTAGAAACGTTTTTCCTCAGAAATTTTACCAGACATTGGAAATTCAAAGGATCAAACAAGAAAATATCAATCTAAAACAACTAATTAAGGACGAGGAAAAGAAAATAGACAAACAAGACTTGGAATTCAAAAGACTTACAAATGAGCTGCAGCATCATAAAGATATCATAAATCAATATAAGTTTATGCTTCGGACATGGAAAAATTTACTTCCAGCTTACAGGAACAAAATGAAATACTTAAACAAAATCAAGAACTATTTTTATCTTTGTAACATTCTCCATACCAGAACCAGCAGATTCAAAATGAACTAGAAAGTTTAGAAATTGAACTTAATGATTCTAATCGCATGAAAAACTATTGGGAAGATCTTACACACATAAAACTTAGGGAATGCAATGAAAAGTACGCTGAAATAGATGGATTAGAACAAAAAATAAAACAATTACAGAGTGATAATTGTGGATTGATCAATACTATAAGGGAAATTGAAAACAACCAAAATCAGATGGCTTTACAACAGCAAAGACACACCAACCACAGAACTTTTTACACAAGGAACAGACAATCTCGGCGATATTGAACATTTATTAGTAATTGTTGTTTGACCTTAAATTCAGTGTTGTTTTTTTTTTAAATTCGGGACGAATTTTCTTGAAAAAGGGAATAGTTGTCACACATTATTTTTGTACTAAATTTTATATTCAAAACTATCTAAATATGTTGATTTCTATTACAGTTTATTAACGTGTACATTTCTTATGCACCAGGCATATTTAATTTATGCAATAGTAGTGATCTCGAAATTCATAATGAATTTAAATGTCCGAAATATTTGTTTACACCTGAAACATGTTAGATTATAAATTTATATTTGTCAATACTTATGGTCAAGATTGAACTGAAATCTTACGGTTATTCAATATTTCTATTTGATCAATTATGTTTAATTCAATACACAAGCGTGTAAATAATTTCTCTTTGATAAACGGAATCAATCTGTTATCTAATTTCTGTTGACAAAATGACCGTTACTAACTTTGTTGTTAGCAACGCTATTTGGTATCTAAAGAAAGATAAATTTTTATTAAGGGACTCCGTTTGGATATGCCAACGAGAGCACATGAACTGCGTTCGGATTTTCCATCGCAATCATGTATATTGTTTTTGGCTTAAAATAACTAATTTGTATCACTGATATTTTATATTTGGACTTTATTAAATGAATTTGGACTTTACCAATTTGTTTATGTTTATTGTATTGAACTGCCGACTTGTGTGTGAATAAAGAGCTAGTACCCCGCATTGTGAATCGTTCCCATAGACGGAATCCCACTCAAAGCCACTCCGGCAATATTTATTAGGGAAAGTGATAAATACTTTCTCATACACAACCGTCGTCAATAAAGATATGTAAACAGTAAGTGTACATGTATTTTGTGTTTACTGTTCCGATAGCAAAAGAGTTTTTTTTTCTGTGAAGCTTGTGTTATTTATGTATAGATGAACGTTCTTGTATAACCTAAGAAGCCAAACCATAGTGGAAACCTTGTGAGGTTCAAAAGCAACTTTCAATTCAGTCATTATTAAAGATTCTTCATCCACGATTTTACCTTCAGTAGTAGTTGTATGACAGTATGAAATTACTCAAATATGTTTTCTAAGTTACAAACACAAACGCTTTCCTAGAGTATGTTAATATTTTCTATATACGAGGATTTGAAAGGAAGGATCGGGGGCTTCATCTCTGGGCTGATGTGCATAAAACCACCGAAGTTAAGATATCCAATCGTAGTACTAATTTATCGTAGGACATGTAGAAAAATCCGTCTATTCGGAACAAATCTTAACTTAAGTAGTTTTATGCATATCAGCCCTGTATTCTATATACATGTATATATATATACAAATGTTTAGACCATTTTTCTGTATTCTTTATATATTTTGCCAATTATTCTCTATTTTTTCATATTTAGCACCCCATTATTCTCTATTTACTTTTTTGGTCCATTTTCCTCTATTCTTTATATTTTTTGCCCACTATTCTCTATTCTGTAAACCTCCATCAAGATTCTCATATACCGTGTAAATAATACGATATTGTATAATTGAAATGAAAGGATATGGGGGTATCCATGCATGACAAAAAATCAGTTTATGCAAAAAAAAAAAAAAATTTAAAGCTATTTTCTTAATGTTTTATAAGATTCATGTATTTTGCGAGTAAGTAATATAAGGGTGTGTTATACGCCATCTACGCCCCCTGGATCCGCCACTGCATAATTTTTATCTGTTTGTTTATTACCTAGAACATGTGAAGAATATTAGTTGGAAGGAGTGAATGTATAAAGTTTGGTTAAAAGTAGTGACTGCACTTTCCGTTCTTCTAATTTTTTTATTATTTGTACACAGGACGTTAAGCAACCAACACTCAATCAATCTATCATTTGTTTGTATTTGCATATTTAATATTTTACTCTTTTCCCTCAGAATAAAAAGAGACATATAAAATTTAATTTGAAGTATGCACAGCATGTGTGTTGTGCTATGTTATAGGGGTCTTCATTGCTGTATTCTGTATCTGTTAAGACTATTTTCTCTTTTTCTAAATTGTGTTGCCCGTTATACTCCATTTTTTTATATTTTAGCAACCATTTATTACATGTATCTATTCTTTATATTAAAGTACCCCTTTTTTTCTCTTATCTTTAATTTGTTTGGCTTATTTTTCTCTGTTTTTACCATTATTCTCTTTCCCGTAAACCCCACCAAGAACATCATGTTATGGATCATAACAGTTTGAAATTACAATTGAATCATAACATCTTTAAATCCTACAAAGTAACTCTATCTGAATAATCAAAATGGACCCGAGTCATTTTTTCTACCTGTTTCATTGGTAGAAAGACGCGTCGGTCGAATAGATTTATGAGAGATATCAAAAGTAGTTCCACGTACAGTAACGTTTATCTCGGACCTACTACTCGTTCCCATGGTTGCAAGAACTTCATACTTTCCATCAGAAGAAACAACCTTACACTCTTTGCATGATTTGCCATTCTGGTAGACTTCCTTTGTAAAAATTATTTCATTGTCACTCTTGTCTTCCATCATTTTTCTAAACCACTTATCATCATGTATAGCGCAGGTATTGTTTGTTATTCCAACGGCTAGGGCATTTGAAGTAAAGTATGGTATTGTCCATGCCATGACAACACGTCTGTTTTTTAATTTCCAGGATATCAGCCCGCTGCATCCTCTTATACCAATAGCACTCTTGTGACTGACCTAACAAATAAAACAACATGTTTGAAAAACTAACAAATATTGAAAAAGATATAAAATCATTAACGCCAGAAGTTAAATAATATGTTTGGCACTGGATAACAATGTAAAAAGCGTATTGCAGTTAAACAAAATGAGTAATATAGTGGATAAAAACGAATGAGACTAATTAAATGCTTGTATCCGTGGAATATTCCGTTTTGGAACCACCAAACAAACACACACACCCAAATGTAATGTATTATAATAAAACAAAACAAAATAGCAAAAACAATAAACAATACAAAATCTTCGACTTGGATAACATGTACCTTTGCATTTATGAACATTTTAAAGTGCTGAAATTTAGGAAAACAATATAAGAATATAAGTGTTTCTCCGTGCTGTAGATTTTTGTGATATTTTGATACATATCTCGGAACAAAAAGATATTTAAACACATGCCATCTCAATTAACACCGGTCTCATAAGATGCATTCTGTGATAAATTTCATAAACGATACAGATTTTTTTTTCAAATCAAATTTATTCGTGATCCTCTTTTACAGAAATATTATATAACAGTCAACAAATTTTTTCCTCAGTCAAACCTGAAAAACTGGTCCAATTTCTGCTTCGGGTCGAAAGGACCAAGCCTTGAATAATTTACGTAGAAAACTATCAGTACTAATCAGAATGTAAGTTTCTGAACATATGCATACACATGTCAAAATAAATAGCTTTCCAGTTAACATTTGAACTGTGTCGGATAGAACTCGATCTTATGCAAGTGCAAATATACATGTACATGTATAAGACTTTGATAGATTTTGGACATTCAAATACGAAACAACAATGAATTTTAGTCTGTTTTGTAGGCTAAGGGTTCTTATATCAACTCAGTTTCCAAACAGTAACAAACTATGCATAGAGATGTTTGCTACCCAAAATAGGTTAACAGATGTATTGATGACGATGTAAAGCAATACAAATTGATTCTGACATTTTGGTTATAACTTAATAAGATTTTCATTTATTTTTAAAACATGATCTATTCGTTTGTGGGACAGCCAAATTTTCCGCAATATAGATAAGGAATTGTGGCACAGCAAAATCTTCCGCAATACAGGTAAGAAATTGTTGCTATTCTATATTGCATCAATTATTAATCAACTAAATGTGACATGTCACTGTAGTCTATCTGACTCTACAGTCGATCTGGGATCCAAATCTTGGCAGAACAGACAAATTGGAACAAATACAAACAACAGTGGGTAAGATTTCATTTGCTGAATCAAAGATTTAGATTATGTAGTAACCGAGATTTGAAAATCAAGGGTTTTGATTCTGCCTATTGTATTTTCGGTTTTTTTACAGCATATAATGCATTGTATTTAATGGATCTTACGACTGCTTGAACTGCTCCTGACCCTATAGACCTAGGTGGTACTGACAACATGCCTGTAAACGATGTATACTGAGGTGACGCTAATTCACTGTTGGTCCAATTCTCTACTGCAATCCCACATGTTATAGTTGTGTGTGCTCGCATCAAACTTTGGAGATCTGTTCCTTTAAGTGTTTGCCCAAGAATTAAGGATTTTTGCATTGTTTTTCCAAATTTACTCCAATCCACACGGCCTGAAAAGTGACAATAATGACAAGTGTCTCTTGAATGAAATTTATGTTAACTATGAATATGCCTAGAATTTTCTGTATTATATGTCATCTTTACCATATTCACAATTCGCGAAATGATATTTTATTTCCAAATATTTTGATGCGTTTCGATATAAATTATATCATATAGTCGTTATTGAAGGGAATACTAGTAATTGTATTTCGTTAGCAGTGGTTCTGTATTTGATATGAAATAAAAATATAATTAGTAGATTTTGTACGTCTAATGCATTTTTCTGGATATAGATATAAGAAGATGTGGTATGAGTGCCAGTGAGACAACTCTCCATCCAAGTCAAAATTTATAAAAGTAAACCATTATAGGTCAAAGTACGGTATTCAACACCGAGCCTTGGCTCACACCGAACAGCAAGCTATAAAGGGCCCCAAAAATTACTAGTGTAAAACCATTCAAACGGGAAAACCGACGGTCTAATCTATATAAAAAACGAGAAACGAGAAACACTTATGAACCACATCAACAAACGACAACTACTGAACATCAGGTTCCTGACTTGGGACAGGTGCAAACTATACCTTAATTAGGAACACTCCAATCAAAATATTTGAAAGCCAGGGATTTATAATACGTAGAAAGGTTAATTAGGATACCATGCTATTCGCCTAAGTCATGATGGCATACGGAAAACTTTCTAAGATATGGCATCTATCTTATCATTAAAAGAACTATTTCAATATTATCCACGTTAGCCGCATCATGACAGAAAAAAAAGCAAATTTTGTTGTTTTGTATTATCCGAGAAACATAAAATGTATGTGTAAGTGCTGCTGGAATGTAGTTACATAGGTAGGCAAAGTATAGCCGACATATGAAAATATTGACCATTTAAACAGTGACAGGAACGTGTCATCCTTACCGTTACAATTGTCAGTTTCAAACTCGTTACTTTTAGCGTTGTTTCCCATTTTTCTCCGAATTTTGATAGAATTTAATTTCATTAACAGTTTTCCGTCCAAATTCCACAAAAAGAACTAATATCAATGAATTTCAAATCAGTTTATTATGAGTTTATCTTTTAAGATAGATAACAAAATACAGTTAGTTGTCATATCATTGTTGATATCATTTGTGTTGGCAATATGTATTAGATGTTAGCTTCTCATATCTGAGGGGCGTTAGCCCCGATGATATATTTCGATTACATCAGATTTACATAGAAATAATAAATAAAAATTTTATTTTTTCTCTTGTTCTAAAAAGACCAATAAGTTATGATAAAACAGGAAAAGTGTCGTTATCTCAAATTTTCTAGATTCAGTAACACTTTGAGAAGATTTTTTGTAGTTATGGATTTTGAATGAAACCTTAGTTGCGTCTTTATTTCTATCATCAAATTGATACCTTATCACTGCTTTTGTATGACAATATGAATAGCTATACTATCTTGTATTTTCTGGTTTAACTGCCAAAATCTAACTTTTTTGCTGATAAATGATCATAATACTTCTATGTAAATAAATAATTATGTACTGCTTGATATATTAGTTATCACAAGTTCTTTATGCTAACAAACTTCATATTACTATGGTGTATTACCTCTTTCAACTTTTCCATTTCTTTCGTGGACGATTGTACAGCAATGCGGCCAGATTGTAAAACTATGGGTCTTTCTTTAAAAGATATGCATATAATAATGGCGTCTACTAATCAAAACAAAATTTGCAGAACATATCTGGCTTTGAAACCGCCATGATTACATATGGCGGCTAATTAGTTAACGGAAAAATTAGAGCTCGATTGTAATTCTATTCTTTGGATAATACCACTACTTATGAATAAGGAATTTATTAAAAAAAAATTATTTAGTACAATGGCAAATGTTTAACATTAGATCCCAAGTTGCAAATGGTCTTCCATACATTATTCGTGCAATTTTTGGTTCACCCTGGCTTGGGATTTCAAGAGAAATATATAAAAGCATTTGAAATTGATGACAGACGGCGGATGAAAAATCACAGGCGACAAAAGATGGCAATAGATCACATGGCATTTTAGAAGCATTGTTTCACATTATGAAATAAATCAATTTGAATGATATTTATTTACGAAGTTTCATATATGACTTGATTGTCGTACACTTTGTTGAAAGCAGCTTCATACTTTTTGAAAAGGCGAATCTGATACGTGCATTACTGGTAGCTATAGTTTTACGTGCATTACTGGTAGCTATAGTTTCACGTGCATAACTGGTAGGTATGGTTACATAGCTATAGTTTCACGTCAAATATGGTAGCTATAGTTTCACGTCAATTATGGTAGCTATAGTTTCACGTCAAATATGGTAGCTATAGTTTCACCTGCATTACTGGTAGCTATAGTTTCATGTGCATTACTGGTAGCTATAATTGAATTGTATGCTAAATGTCACGGGAATAACAACTTTAACATTGCAACCACGAAGTATTTTATGTTAATAAAATTATTTAAAAAACTGATGTGAAGTAATACATATGCATTGCTGTTCCAAAATATTCTAACGTGTACATGCACATTTTGGTTTTCTCTTGCTTAAGCTGTGCAGTGTGTTTGCCCCTTATAAATGGATCAACAGGAACCGTATTTGACTCAGTGATTATGTTTTTTTCAACAAACAATCAATAATATAATTTACGTAATTCCTAATCTGATAGTTCATGTTTATCCTTTTCAGAATCGTTTGGGTGATCTTTATTCGCAGTATAGTGAGATTCATTTGTACTATTGGAAATTTACATGTCATAGTTTATATAATTATGAAAGCTTTACATATTAACTCATTATCTTACCTTTATATATTCATTCATATCCGTGAAAGCCTATTTTTACATTTGAAGCTTGCAATAAAAAAATCCACCACATGTCCCCAAAGGTGCTCAATGAAAAAGCAAGAAAGTTCATGTTTCTCCCTAGTTATGAGGGTCTGGATGGGGTTTACAGAATAGAGAATGATGAGCATGTCATACATAAATAAAGGGAAAAAAAATAAGAATAGAAATTAATGGGGTGCTAAAATATCAAGAAAAGAGAAAAATGACATAAGAATTTAAAGAATACAGAACCTCAATTATTGGTCGCATTTGCTGGATAAAGTTGGGGGTAAAGCGTCCATGTATGTTATCTCAAAACATTTACAGCTCCTAATCTAAAAAAAATACGCCGCGAATCAATAAAAAGAAAGTGTAAACTTTACCTTTATCAACTTCATTTTCTAATTCTTGACAGCTACTGTCCTTTTCCATTCCTTGTCCAGATTTCATATATGTTTATATTTTATTAAAATCATTTGTCGTGACTAAGTCCAAAAAAAGTGTATATATAATTCAGATTGATAGTAGTTTATCTCATTAGCTTGATAACATTCACGGTAGGTATAGTGTCCGGCTAGGATCGTGGTTTTTCTAGTGAATCGGTCCATCGGTCCATTTTTTCTCGAGTGTAGATCGGGTTTTTTCGAGTGATAAAACATGCGATCAGGTCAATTAACTGCTATTTCGTAATTATAATAGTTTGTTACATGACTACCCATCTTATTTTGAATACTATACATGTTTTGAGCAACAAAGAAGCACAATTTCCTTGTATTTAACCAAAACATTCAGTGTCTAATATTGTCCGGGTTTTTTCGAGAGTAACTGTGAAACCGTCCTGGTTTTTAAATAAATAGTCCGGGTTTTTTTTAACGAAAATTTTAATAAGAAAAAAGTATACTTGATTCTAAAAAATGACTTTTCTAGTTTATAACTGTAATTTTAATTAATGAAAAATTATCTCAATAAATCACCAAACCATATAAATACGTTGATAAAAATTAACCTTTTTTAATTTAATGCAAATTTTCTGTTCGGAAAACGTTCTACCACAACTTTCTAGTATTAAATTAGAAAGTATTGGATCCTTTATAAAAAGGTCTTTAGAACATACTATGTTACATAGTGCAGGGGACTCGTAATCTTTTCAACTTCATTTCATGGTACTTTTGTTGTCACAGTTAATAATATTTTTCGTGGTGAACCCCGGAGTTTTTATACGGGACGTATTATGGTATACCGTCGTCCGTCCGCCTGTCCGACGTCAGCATGTAGGACAATAACTCAAAAACGCTGTAACCAATTTACATGAAACTTCGGTGAATTGTTTATATCTATTGAGGTATCCTCCCTTTCGAATTTATAAATTTTAGATTTTTCATTTTCGAGTTATGGGATTTTATTAAACGAACTAGAGGCTCTAAAGAGCCTGTGTCGCTCACCTTGTTCTATGTGCTGCAGTGCATATTAAACAAAGGACACTCTTCAACATTAAAGACAAGAATGGTGACTTGTTTGTAGATCTTACATTACTGAACATTCTTGCTGTTTACAGTTATCTCTATCTATAATGAACTTGGTCCAGTAGTTTCAGAGGAGAAGATTTTTGTAAAAGTTAACGAACGACGACGACGGACAACGACGGACGCCAAGTGATGAGAAAAGCTCACTTGGACCTTTTGGACCAGATGACCTAAACAAGGGTGATTTTACAGTTTTCGGACAATATTTTTAAAGTGCTTTGAGGAGTTTTCATCAAAAGTTGGTGACTGGTTTTTATAGATTAAGGTAACCTCTCTTTAGTTTTTCATAAATTTTTTATATAACATTGAAAAATTATTTAAAGATTTCATAACGAGTGAGAATGGATATCGCTTGATATCAACTCCAGTTATTTAATTTCAATATAATAATAAACGAGCCTTCGGCGAGTTTATTATTACTATTTGAATTAAATAACGAGAGTTGATATCCAGCGATATCCCATTCTCACAAGTTGTTAACTCTATTTTTCTTAAGGTCAACACTCTCATCGTGTTAAATTAAAAATTCCGCAAATCGTTGGTATAGTATTTTGCACACGAAATGTAACCTTTGAAGGTCATCAATGACCTAACGAATAGCCAATGGAAATGCCGTAATATCGTCTTATGATGCTGGATAAGCAAATCAAATTAACTCAAATTTTCGTATCCCTTTTTCGTATCACATTCCGTGCAGTGTGATACAAGAAATGTCTATTCATGCAAGAAATAGATAATAAGCCACAACCATAAGAGAATGAACTTTATTCTTTAAAAACGCGACGGGCGTATCATGCGCCCATGGCGCAGCTGTTTATTAAAAAACGGAGTAATAAACCTACTGGACAGCAGAGAAGAATCAGAAAAATGCTATGTAATAAAAAATATTCTACTAAAAGAGGTCTGCCCCCTGCCCCCACAAAAAATTTCATTAATAAAAAAAAAAAAAAAAAAAAAACCAATACACACATTTAATCCGACCAGTTTTTATTCCCACTGACAATAAAATTTGAATTAAATTTCATATATAGTTAACAATGAAATGAATATCTTAACAAACTATATGTACGTACGTCTCAATCCAAATTGTCTTTGCTTTCATTAGATTGTTGACATCATGAATATATACTGTACATGTAATTTATAAGATGTGACAAACAACAATATATACAAATGAACGATACTTGTTTACAAAGTGTAAGTGTTAGTACACCATTATCAAACTGATGAATGCATTGGTTTCGTGCCTTAAAAAGTACACAATTTGAACCATTTTTTTAATTTTTAAACTGAAATACACTGACACATAACATTTTAAGCTATAGGAAATTTGTATAATCACTCCATAAAACACGGACGCACTCGAAAAAGCCCGGACTGCTCTCGAAAAAACCCGAACACATAGAAATGAATTTAGTCTCAAAATGTCGTTTTCAATGCAATAACAAGAATTTTTGCAAAGTGTCTGTTTATCTAAGGATATATGGATTCCATGTATGTATTTCCATCGACTGTTGCATTGGTATGTGTATAAAAATGGCTTTATTCTGTTTTTTGGAATAAAAGCATTGTAAGGCTAAATTCAACTTTTTTAACGAAAAATAATGTCGGATTGATAATATCTTTTTATCTCAAATACTAACACACATTGTATATACTTGTATATTAAACTCAATCTTCTATATATCACGTCTTGTCAGAAAGGAAGTCTGTTTGTTTACATTTTTGATCATATTCACTCGAAAAAAAACCACGATCCTGGCCGGACACTATACCTACCGTGACATTTATAGTTGTATATTATTTATGATACCGATATGATTTATTTAAATTTAACGTATGTTAAAAACATAACTTGATTATTAATTTAAATTGGAAGCATACAATACTTCATTTATCATCTGAAAATGAACAAAATCTCGCAGAACATTTAACCCATCATAATAACTAAGTCTTATAAATGATGCCAATTAATTGAGGTAAAAATATGCAGCTTCGCTTTAGCTTTCCTAAATTTATCTGTATGTCAATACTTCTGATGGTGCCCAAGTTTTTTATCCTGAAAATGTACGTGGATTAGCTTATTACTGAACATGAGGGGCCTGATGGGTTATTTTCGTTCTTCGTGATCGGCGCATTTTCGCTATCGTGATCCGTTTTTCTACAGATTTTTTTTTTTTATATTTTCGTGATCCGTGATCATGGAAATTTATTTTCTGTGAATCGTGATTGACAAAAAATCAACTCGTGAATCGTGATGAGACCCCCCCCCTCCATTAGGCCCCTCGAACATCACTTTAAAACTATAAAATATCTGTTCTGGGTTAATCAAACCATTATTTATTGCTTACAATTTACACATTTCGCCGTTTCAAAATCTAAAGGACAATGGGTAATCTCTTTGTTCGTACAATGACCAAAAAAGATAATTACGTCATTGGTTAAATTTCCATTGATTAGGACTTTTTTTACCAATCACAACGTTTTGGTGTACACTTTTGAAAATATTACACAGAATGCATTAGATACTGAAACGGCGACTTGCTTATTCGGTTTATTTATACAACTGTTCACCATAAACAGTCGAGTTCTTATGGTCACTTCACTTCCTGTAACATGAATAATCTCGGACTTCATTTCGTGTCGACTCTGTTCATTGTTGAAGACCGTATATTAATATTTAGATTCTACATTTGAACTGGATAATTTGGCACACAATAGCCAGAATAAATAATAAGCAAAATATACCACATAATATATGTAACACGCAGAAACGTGTGCTTCCCCTCAAAAATGTCCAATCACCCAAACGTGTTCATATGACGTCACTGTACGCCACGCGGGGGTCTCAACATTGGATTTTGGGTACAGTTGTGCAGCTTGGATTTAAAAAACACCCCCATTCATATATTGAATAATTGTAAAATCCCTACCTATACATATATTTCACAGCGAAATCATAGCCCATTCATATATTTATCAGCTCAAATAGTACCTAAATATATCACAATTGGTCAATTACTACCTATTGATATATTTCCTCGGTAAAATTGCACCCCATTGATATATCTGACGTATCAAAAAAGGGACCCATTCCAGCGGCACGTATGTATATACCTTCATATAGGAAGAGACCCCTTCCCCCCCCCGTGCTGTACGCCCAACCATGTCTAGCTTGTATAGCAGAGACGCCAAAACGTCATTTTTATAAACTTCCAAACGAGTCTTCATTTATGAAAAATTAGTTTATGATATTGTTAGAAAACAATTAAAGTCGAGATCATTACAAAAACCTTAGACACAGTCTAACAGTGCACAAGATGAAAATATTTCATGCATATTCTGAATCAGAACTAGAACACTGTAACAAAATGTAATACAATTTCAAGTTTTTATAATTTGGGCTATTATTTATTCTTTGGTCAAGGAATTTCTTTGATTAAGATTTTCACTGTATTCCGGATTACGGATTCCTTGTAAAAAAGTACTATTATCAAGTAAGTATAATTATAGTTTTGATTATCCTTTCTCTGAGTTTTCTTACCATCTCTTATCTTTTGTAGACGAAACGAGCGTCTGGCGTACACCAATTTTAATCCTGGTATATGTGATAAGTATATTCACGATGTCTCCACTTTGGATTTTATTCTTGTAACTCAGTAATTCTGCATTAACTTCGTTTCATAGCGGTTTTTTCCTTTTGTTTTGTGTTTGGACTCCAGCGAAAATCCGATATTTTCAATTTGACTTCACAGAGAACATACTACCGCTAAAAGTTTTGAGTTGCTTTTGTGTCTTAAAGTGGACACGTTTCAGTGGATGAGAAATTGTTGAACACGTTTCGGTATGGCGGACATGTTTGGGGATAGACACTTTTATGAGTGTATCATAATACCAAAACTGATCTATTTCTTGACAAAATTGTAATAGTTTTCATCTGAAGAACCATTTGGCCAATTTCGATGAAATCTGTCCTCGATTAAAATATGTATGTTTAGTTTTACATTTTAGTATTTAAATTATATTCGATCACAATACCACCAAACCATAACGAACACTATTTGTGAAAAAGTAAAATAAATGCAGAATACCACAAAACCTGCCTGTGTCACGGAATAGAAGTTCCTTCATAATATAAGTTCAAAATGGAAACAATATTCTGGAATATTATTTCCACTGGAATAAATATTACAGTAAATGTTCCTAACGGAATAAATGGTATAGAATATTTGTTCCAACAGGAACATATATTATGACATTGTTTATAACAAAGTTTCCAGTGGAACTTCTGTTAGGCAGAACAAATATACGTTGACACCTGAACGATGTATTGCCCGTAAGGGTTGTACTAAGTAAACTTATAGATGGCAACAGTGTATGCTCATCATATCATTTCCATTCACGTTTGACTACTATGTTTTTTAATATAGTCCCTATACTGAAACTCGGATTCATATAGGATGGCCTTATGGATAATAAGTTGAATATGAATAAATAAATAGTCTTCCATTTGTATTACAAATTTTATAAAATTCTTACTTTAACCGTATAGATCTAGTAAAAACATCTGTATAACTTATGAAAATGTCAGAGGTCGCCATATTGTCATTTCGTTAAAATTCTATATTTAATGGAAATGTCTGCAATCGAATAAACTGCTAAAAATGGTCATAAAGATACATTTTTGTATAAATGGATGTTTTCTTGATAATTTAGTGTGATGCATGACTTTTCTGAGTTTGTAACAGCAAACGGTAAAATAGATAACTAATCATATTAATTATCTTCTGGAACTGCACAAAGCCATGTTTTTTTTACACAAGTCACGGTGTTACTGAACGAAATTTACCAGCCACCGATATTACAGTTTAAGAATGCATAACTTTTATACGAGCATGATAAAGTACTGTGATGTAGCTTTCAGTTACAGCAGATATCCATTGATTTTGGTGTTTAATATAGTTTTACTCTACCTTTATGTTGAGTAATTAGATTTTACAGAGACAAGTACAGTACTTATCAACAGTTAGCTGTACTTTGATTTTTCTTTATATCTTCGTTTTTCAACTGACCATCCCTAACATATGGGTTAATTTTGGATCAAAATTAATTTTACCCCGATGCTTGTATATTTTAACTATTGTGATTATATCTTACTGTTTTTGGTCATTAATTTGATTTTTTTACAATATGTTTCGACGTAAGACTGTTTTGACAGCTAGAAGTAAGTAGCATAGAAGTAAGTAGCATAAACACTTTTCATCTGAATTTTTATTTTTATGCAGTTGGATTGTTGTTGTCCTTATTACATAACCTGTGATCCCCCCAGGCCCCCCAAAAGAAAACCCCAACAAAATAACAAAAAACAAACGAAACAACACAAAACAACACAAAGCAAAGCAAAGAAAAAAGGACAAAAAAAATAATAATAAAAAGTAAAATATCATTAAGTTCTATGATGTTTTAAATATATATACAAAATATACTTTAAAAAAATGTACTTAAAACACAAATAGCAACTGTTATCAGTAAACGATATAAATTTAATCCCATAACCAAACGTATTCAACACGGCATAATATAAACTCGAGAAGTTTTCTCTATGCCATTAATTCATTCTTGCTTGGGATCTGTAATTTGTTATACAATTAAATTGTCTGCAATTTAAATAAATGTATTTAGCTCCAATCTCTTATGCCTAAATTCGGACGTGTAGTTCCATATCTTTCGAACACTGCCTGCCACAAGAAATATACAAAAACCGTTCATAATGCCACCAACACCACAGATGATGGCGGAATACGGGAACTGAAGAGGATTATCTGGTATACCAACCTCGTCAAGATTGGTATCAAACAGAACATATCTGTGTATCATCTTTCCAGCTGGTAACCATATCATTATGCCTGCAGATATATTTATTAATATTCAAAATTTTCATCGTTGTTTATTATGATAAAGAGATCGTTACAATGGATAAAAATATGGTAGATAAAACATAAACAAAACTTACGAAGCTTTTTTTTTTAAATTGTACGTAAAAAAATGATTTTATAACTGGACGAATGAAACTACATACATTTCGGGTACTTTCTTCCGATAATAGAAAATGTATAAATATATGAAAAATAAGTATAAAAATTAATAGTCACGATTGCCAATTTTATCATTGGAAACTGCTGAAACGTATGGATAAAGAAGTTACACAATCGTCCTATTACGAGTACCTAGAAATCATGGGACCAAACTCTCCAATAACAAAATACTTTGAACTATTCATTGTTTTTAAAATCTTCGAAAACAATTAAATTTCATGACTAACATATAGTTTCTCAAAACAGTTACTGGTAACAAACGTTGTTTTCCTTATAATTGAAATACATTTTGCTCGAAATAAAAAACGAAGGAGAACATATAAAGAGTGTGTTTGAATGAAAAAATAAAGCAGGATAAACAAACAAAGAGTGTGTTTAAATAAAAAAAATAAAAATAAGGAGAAACAAATTAAGAGTGTATTTAAATAAATAAAAACCGAAGGAGAAACATATAAAGAGTGTGTTTAAATAAAAAAAGAAGGAGACAAATCATCATAAAGAGTGTGATTAAATAAAAAGACAGAAAAAGAAATATATAAAGAGTATTTTTAAATAAAAATAAGAAAGAGAAACGTATAAAGAGTGTGTTAAAATTAAAAAAAAGACAAAGGATACAAATAATTTATAAGAGTTTTTTTGAATAAAAAAAGTAGAAGAAAAAAACAAATAAAGAGTGTGTTCAAATAAGAAAAAAAAAGATAAAAGAGGTGAAACAAACATAAAGGGTGTGCTTAAATAAAAAACCGAAGGAGAAACATATAAAGAGTGTGTTTAAATAAAAAAACAGAAGAAGAAACATATAAAGAGTGTGTTCAAATATAAAACCGAAGAAGAAACATATAAAGAGTGTGTTTAAATAAAAGACCGAAGGAGAAACATCTAAAGAGTGTGTTTAAATAAAAAAACCGAAGGAGAAACATAAAAAGAGTGTGTTTAAATAAAAAAAAACGATGGAGAAATATATAAAGAGTGTGTTTAAATAAAAAACCGAAGAAGAAACAAATAAAGAGTGTGTTCAAATAAAAAACCGAAGGAGAAACATATAAAGAGTGTGTTTAAATAAAAAACCGAAGGAGAAACATATAAAGAGTGTGTTTAAATACAAAAACCAAAGAAGAAACAAATAAAGAGTGTGTTCAAATAAAAAACCGAAGAAGAAACATATAAAGAGTGTGTTTAAATAAAAAACCGAAGAAGAAACAAATAAAGTGTGTGTTCAAATAAAAAACAGAAGAAGAAACATATAAAGAGTGTGTTTAAATAAAAAACCGAAGGAGAAACATATAAAGAGTGTGTTTAAATAAAAAACCGAAGGAGAAACATATAAAGAGTGTGTTTAGATAAAAAACCGAAGAAGAAACAAATAAAGAGTGTGTTCAAATAAAAAACCGAAGAAGAAACATATAAAGAGTGTGTTTAAATAAAAAACCGAAGAAGAAACAAATAAAGAGTGTGTTCAAATAAGAAAAAAAGATAAAAGAGGTGAAACAATATAAAGAGTGTGTTTAAATAAAAAACTGAAGGAAAAACATATAAAGAGTATGTTTAAATAAAAAACCGAAGAAGAAACAAATAAAGAGTGTGTTTAAATAAAAAACCAAAGAAGAAACATATAAAGAGTGTGTTCAAAAAAGAAAAAAAGATAAAAGAGGTGAAACAAACATAATGAGTGTGTTTAAATAAGAAAAAGAAGGAGACAAATAATTATAAAGAGTGTGATTAAATAAAAAAGACAGAAGAAGACATATATAAAGAGTGTGATTAAATAAAAAAGACAGAAGAAGAAATATATAAAGAGTGTGATTAAATAAAAAAGAAAGAAGGAGAAACACATAAAGAGTGTGATTAAATAAAAAAGAAAGAAGGAGAAACACATAAAGAGTGTGTTTAAATAAAAAAAAAGATGAAGAAACACATACTAGTAAAGAGTATGTTTAAATAAAAAAAAAAAAAAACAGAAGGAGGAACATATAAAGAGTGCGTTAAAAAAAAAAAAACAACAAACCTGAAAAAAGGAACATCAACGAAGCTGCAAATCCTGTCAGTTTTGGACTCTTTTCCTTGATATGAAGAAAACACAGGATACATGCAGACATGCTCAAAAGGATTCCACAACTGGTATACATTCGGAACTCTGTTAACCCAGTCATGTCCATTACTAAAACAGAAACCATACTGAAAATTTGTGGGTTATGTATAAATATATAAAAGATGAAAAAGGAGATTCGGGTTGGAACTGAACCAGAAAGCATCTAAACAACAAGGTGGTTTTTTTTCGCGAGCGATTTATTTTCAGGACTTTCGCAAGAAGAAAAAATTAGCAAAATTAAATCTACGAAGACAAAAAGTATCTAAACGCGAAATAAAGTATCCGCGAAAAATGATTGTTTGACCCTTAAACCAACCATTTTATGATATTAATTCTGACTCAAACGGCGATAACTTAAATATAGGGTTGAATCATACCCCCTTTTCCTGTAGTATTCCCCGCTGTTAACCTAAAAATAGTTCATGTAACAATGCCATATGCCATATGCCTTTGTCTTGAACAGGAACGAAATATTTCTTTGTAGACATTCAACATGCAGACAAAGACTAATCTCTTTATCGGGACTGATTTGAAAAAGAAATTCCGATAAAAATGTGTAAAGAAAGTTGAGAACTTTACAATCAGTAGAGAAAAGTAAAAAAAAAAATTGGCTCAGAGTGATTTCTACGGAAGCGTATTAGCGCCACACAATTTTTTTTTATATTTTTATTCCTATCTTTGTTATAACGCAAACCTTTGCGAAATAACGCAAACATCTTGATTTCAATTATTCATTAAGTTTTGTATATATGTCCGTCTGTCATTTAAATTTGGTTGTGATTTAGTTAAGAAAAGAACCATAAATACAAGGCCAAATCATTATAATAAATATGCATAGGAATAAGGGAATTCTTGAAGTGCAATTATACACAAATTAAGAATGGTTTGTGTATCATAAAAAGTATATAATTTAACAAGAATATAGATATGGTATAGGCATATTTTAATTGAATTGCCAAAATTTTGGAAATTTTGATAAAATAGATAAGAGCAAAAATAATGTCATACAATTGTGAAACTGTACGGAAGCGTATTAGCGCCACACATTTTTTTTTTAATATTTCTTCCTATTTTTGCGTTATAACGCAAACCTTTGCGATAAAACGCAAACCTTTGCAAAATAACGCAAACATTTGCGAAATAACGCAAACCGCATCTTAAAGTTACCTCACTATCTAGAAAGAAACGTTTTTTTTTCTTAATTTTGATGTAAGAAATCCTTTTTTAAAATTTCAGAATATGATAAAGATTCTTTGATAAAAAGATATAAAATTTTAATTTCAATCTAGTGAGGTAACTTTAAGATGCGTGGGTAGCAATTTGAATGGAGAGAACATAATTTGAATAATAAAACATCTTCATTTTATACATTTATTGCAAAAGGGTAGCTTGTTTGAATCTAATCAACCTTATACAATCCTCAAACGAGAGCTTACTTTAGAAGTATATTTATATTCGGCTATCGCTATATCAGCAGGGTTGATTTTTAGGCAGTTAAGCTGCCTTATGCGAGCACCCTAGATTTGTGTTCTACCCAATAAATGCTGAAATACGTGCCATTGTTATTATCTAGCTGGCTATTATGTTATTTATAACTAATTGGACATTTTTTTAATACTTTTATTTCTGGAATACAAAAAATATGACCAGAAAAACCTTAAATGATCGTCGAACTACCCAAAACTTTTGAAGTTGCACATATGAAGTAGTGCTCAATAGAAATCCGTACGTAGTTTATTATCCCCTGTGCTTTTGGCTACGATGTCAAAGAACAATTGTATGAAATATTTCATCGCGGAAAATCGGTAATTACAAGTTGTTTATATTTCCCAAATGGCAAAATGCGCAGGAATGTTGTTCATGTACAACAAATCTCTATGATAGAGGAAATAAAGTTATATAAGTGGGTGGTAATTTCTAACTTATCTTGCCAGATAAGGTTGTTGTTATTTTATGAATGAAACGAGGTCATGAAAACAGATGTGGAAATCGACGTTGATGGGGTGTTTTAAGTAATGTGGACAACTCGTCCCCGAGACAAGTCGGACCGAATCCACTCAAACCGTCTAAGAAGACAACTTTGACCGTTTGTCAGATTTACTTAGGGTTTCATAAAATATTAGACTAACATGTCTAGCGGAGCCATTTATCTTTTGTTTGTGCGTTGGGGTCTATTTAGGGGTATTTGGAGGGGCCTGAAGAAGGGAGGGGTTTACTATAGAACCCTATGGGATTTTATTTTTTAAAATTTTCAAATGACTATTTCTCGAAAACAGTAGGTGATAGACACATGCAGTCTTCAGTAATGAGAACAGGACAATACAAAAAATCAACCAAAATATAGGGTGAGTCCCTGGGGTTCATCCCATCCCCCTTTAATTTGAAAATGTACTTTTATCTTGTAAACCGTCGCGTACCCCACCCCTAAACAATATATATACTTGAATGGGACAATTAAAGAAATCAAATGAAAATAATTTGGGGGAGTCCCCAGTGTCGTCCCACCCCCTCCTGTTTGAGAACTTGGAAATGGTCAAGATCCCCACCCCTAAACCATATATATTCATGTATGGGACAATAAAACAAATCAAAAATGAAATATAGAGTGAGTCCCTGGGGTCACCCCAACCCCTCCTGTTTGAGAACTTGTAAACGGTCGAGATCCCCACCCCTAAACCATATATATTCATGTATGGGACAATATAACAAATCAAATGAAATATATGGGGAGTCCCTGGGGTCACCCCAACCCCTCCTGTTTGAGAACTTGGAAATGGTTGAGATCCCCACCCCTAAACCATATACATTCATGTATGGGACAATAAAACAAATCAAATGAAATATAGGGGGAGTCCCTAGGGACACCCCCGCCTCTCCTGTTTGAGAACTTGTAAACAGTCAAGATCCCCACCCCTAAACCATATATATTCATGTATGGGACAATATAACAAATCAAATGAAATGTATGGGGAGTTCCTCGGGTCACCCCACCCCCTCCTGTTTGAGAACTTGGAAATGGTCGAGATCCCCACCCCTAAACCATATATATTCATGTATGGGACAATAAAACAAATCAAATGAAATATAGGGGGAGTCCATGGGGACACCCCACTCCCTCTTGTTTGAGAACTTGTAAACAGTCAAGATCCCAACCCCTAAACCATATTTATTCATGTATGGGACAATATAACAAATCAAATGAAATATTTGGGGAGTCCCTGGGGTCACCCCACCCCCTCCTGTTTGAGAACTTGGAAATGGTAAAGATCCCCACCCCTAAACCATATATATTCATGTATGGGACAATAAAACAAATCAAAAATGAAATATAGAGTGAGTCCCTGGGATCACCCCACCCCCTCCTGTTTGAGAACTTGTAATCGGTCGAGATCCCCACCCCTAAACCATATATATTCATGTATGGGACAATATAACAAATCAAATGAAATATATGGGGAGTCCCTGGGGTCACCCCAACCCCTCCTGTTTGAGAACTTGGAAATGGTTGAGATCCCCACCCCTAAACCATATACATTCATGTATGGGACAATAAAACAAATCAAATGAAATATAGGGGGAGTCCCTAGGGACACCCCCGCCCCTCCTGTTTAAGAACTTGTAAACAGTAAAGATCCCCACCCCTAAACCATATATATTCATGTATGGGACAATATAACAAATCAAATGAAATGTATGGGGAGTTCCTCGGGTCACCCCACCCCCTCCTGTTTGAGAACTTGGAAATGGTCGAGATCCCCACCCTAAACCATATATATTCATGTATGGGACAATAAAACAAATCAAAAATGAAATATAGAGTGAGTCCCTGGGTTCACCCCAACCCCTCCTGTTTGAGAACTTGTAAACGGTCAAGATCCCCACCCCTAAACCATATATATTCATGTATGGGACAATATAACAAATCAAATGAAATATTTGGGGAGTCCCTGGGGTCACCCCACCCCCTCCTGTTTGAGAACTTGGAAATTGTCGAGATCCCCACCCCTAAACCATATGTATTCATGTATGGGACAATATAACAAATCAAATGAAATATAGGGGGAGTCCCTTGGGTCACCCCACCCCCTCCTGTTTGAGAACTTGGAAATGGTCGAGATCCCCACCCCTAAACCATATGTATTCATGTATGGGACAATATAACAAATCAAATGAAATATAGGGGGAGTCCCTGGGGTCACCCACCCCCTCCTGTTTGAGAACTTGTAAACGGTCGAGATACCCACACCTAAACCATATTTATTCCTGTTCATCATTTCAAAAAGATTTGAATGACATACAGGGTCAATCTCCTTGGTGTCACATATGCATATCACTTTACTAGACCAAACCAATATGAACTGGACTTTGCCCAATGTCAGGAGACCATGGGAATGACGAATTATGGGGGCTTTGTTTGGGAGACTTCGTAACGGCATCCTGTTACAATCATTTCTCGTTTATTATAAAAAAATTTTGATCCAAAAAATGAGTCTAGATTATTGAATTTACTTTAATTGTTTATTAAATTATTTCTGGGCCTATAATAATTTTCATTTATGGCTCATTTTAAAGAAAACATATAAATCTTTCAAGCAGTGTAAAGCCCGAGAATGTTTGACCAACTGTTTTATAATCACCTGTCATTTTATTCCAAACTTGGTATGGAGTAACATCATGCACTTGGGGGTGAAGATGGGGGTCATTTACATTGATATATGAGTTGCTTTTGAAAACCTTGATGAAATATTAATTAATTTGCCTTAATAATCAATTCATTTAATGAACATAAATGTACAATATACGAATGTTTAATGTTTGTTCTTTCAAATCTTAAAAGAAAATTGAAGCAACATTGCCACAGTTTTCATAATTACGTTTGCCTTGGTTTTTGGTTAACTGCCTACAGCGCTTACAGTGCTTTGATTTATTTTCTTCGGTATAACTTCAATTGACTTAATTTTCTTTGTAATATATATATATATATATATATATATATATATATATGTATTATCAAGTATATCATTTTTGGGGCCCTTTATAGCTTGCTATTCGGTGTGAGACAAGGTTCCGTGTTGAAGACCGTACTTTGACCTATAATGGATTACTTTTACAAATTGTGACTTGGATGTAGAGTTGTCTCATTAGCACTCATACCACGTCTTCTTATATCTATTATCCTGCTCATTATTAGTAAATGATAATTATGTTCTAAATATTCAAGCATTTTACTTTGCAATGAGTACAAATGGGGAAAAATTTTAATATATGCAGCCTCCTCAATTAATAACTGCTGCTTCCTTTGAATCTTGAATAAGAAATGAAATAAAACAAAAAAGGTTTGCGTTATATCGCAAAGGTTTGCGTTATAACGTAAAGGTTTGCATTATAACGCAAAGGTTTGCGTTATATCGCAAGGGTTTGCGTTATTTCGCAAATGTTTGCGTTATTTTGCAAAGGTTTGCGTTATAACGCAAATGTTTGCGTTATTTCGCAAAGGTTTGCGTAATAACTCAAAAATTGGGAAGAAATATTAAAAAAAAATATGTGGCGCTAATACGCTTCCGTAGATTTGGGCTAAATATATATATATATATATGACCTATCATATCAGTCAACTTATTGTGATAGGTGATTTGAAGGTATTCAGTACAGTGTATTGTAGTTTAAAAGACCCGCTCATTTATAGATTGCTTCCTGAAAATAGCACTTTATAAATCATGCGTCCCCGGCGATATTCTTGATAACTAAAAGGGACTGGGTTACGCGAACAACGTTCTCTTTTTCTCTAGCACGTAGTATGTTCGACAAGCTATAATATCATAGAATAAATGGTGTCAATGTTGACATAATGTGTAATACTGCTGGCTGTACTTATAAAATAAGCCAAGTATTTGTATCATTTCTATGTATTTCTTATAATTGATATAATAATACATTTATAATGTTTGAGTGTTTAAGTACTCACCATGTACGTTGTACATGTCTGATGAATATAATGAGGTCACACAGCCATCAGCTGTGCACATTTGTTGGAACCAAAGTCCTAGTCCTAATGAGGTCATAGAAATATTTGTCCATGATGAGTCAAAAGATTGTGACCAAGCCGAACCGGATATTACTGTCCAAAAAGGAGTGAATGTTCCTGTTATTATCAAGATGGTCGCTATGATGCCAGCAGTCAGAGCAATGTGTGCATACATGTCAGCATTATAAAGACTTTAAAAAAGCCAGAAAAATATAACTATTCTTTAGAAAAAAATCCATATAGTGTAGTATTCGATTGTGTTAATAAAACATTGTTACAGTAATTAGATTTGAGTCGACATTTATGTCTAAATAGTTTTATTTATTTTCTCAAACTCAATAGCGGCGCTCTAATCAAAACAGTGTGATAGCTAACTGAAGAAAAAAGAACATATAAACGGAAAATTTCGACAAGTTATGATAAATACTGCTTAGGCAATTTGCGGGTAAAGAAAATACGATAATTTGACAATTTATAAACAGTAAATTTACAGAAAATGAACAAATCATGATTGCCATTTCAGGTCACTTCAAATATGCTTGATACTGGTCACAATTGTTTTTTGTGAAATCTGAATGGATACATGTCCAAAACACACTGACCAAGGTTTAAATCTTATTATTGTATGTGAAATTTATTTTTAAAATTAAAAGTTTTTCTTAATTGTATTTACACAGTCATGTATATGCATAAAAGAAATAAAGTAACTATGAAATTAAACAATACGTACCCTTTGTTTTCAATATTTACTATAAATGACAAATAATGATAGGATTATTGATACAAATCTATTCACATTAAACAATATACAACCGGAGGATATTTTGGATACATTCCATCCGCGAAATATCAGATTAAACGTACGATACCCTCAAATATTTTGTCATTTTTCTACAGTTTGTTGCTTTCAGTAATATCATATATTATATATAGATTTCATATAAGGTCAAAATAAATGTGGTTGTGCGAACGCCTACAGTCTTAAACTTTTATACTTAAATTTTTCTTTTTTTTAATACAACAAATTTTTCGTAGGAGTCAACAATTCTGACCATTTAGAAAAAAATCCATACGTCATTTTTTCAGATTTTATGCAAATCTGTTTATTTTCATTTTTATGCGTTATAATTGAAAAAGAAAAACCATTCATTAGGTTATTTTCCTGAACGCGCAAATTCATTTTTAAAGATGAATATGCATAAGGTCAATCCCATTACATACCGTTAAGGACATGCATTAAAATACATCATGTTTTCATTCGTCAGCAAACAGGTAAATAATCATAAACAGCTAGGCTCTCCTCTAAAGGTCATACATAGTATGTCGTGGTCGTTTACTGCTTATCTTTTTAAAGGATAATGTTAGTTTAAGTTGATTTTATTCTTATAAGATTAAAGGCTAATGGATTGATCCGTTCTTGGAAAATAAGCAAATTACGCAAAAAATGGGTTTTTGAGGAGATGTGGTATGATTGCCAATGAGACAAATATCCTCCAAAGTTCAAATGAAGTGAATGTAAGCAATTAAAGGCAACCGTACGGCCTTCAACAATGAAAAACAAATTTCACAAACATAAACCAACGACAACCACTGAAATGCATGCTCCTGACTTGGGACAGGCACAAAAAGAACGTGGCGGGGTTAAACATGTTTTTCAGCGCTCAACCCTCCCCTTACCTGGGACAGTGGTGTAACAGTACAATTAACATAAGAACAAGTAACTTGTATTTATAATAATGCTTGTATATTTTTTACCTTAGATTTTGATTTTGATAAGCATGCCCTAGCACCTGAAGATTCGTTATTCCATATCAAATTTAATCCATTTTTGTATGAATAAAGGTGTGGATCAAGACTTTTGAAAAAGGTTGAGCCCGTGGCAAGCTAACATTTTAAGTTATACTCGTAACAATTGACTGTATTTATTATTATAATATTAGTTACATGGTGTGTTAGTGACCTAATACGATATATGGGGTCAGTAAATTCCATAGAGCGAAGCTCGAATCCCCATATGGAATTTACTGACCCCATATATATCGTCTTAGGTCACTAGCACACCGTGTAACGAATTTATCTTACTGACGATCTTCACATGTGGTATTTAGACTAGTCGGCTTTCAAAGTGATTAAATCTTCAATACTTAGTTTTAACATGTTTAAGAACCTACTTCTATTTGTCTTTACAAAAAAACAAATGCCAACAATAACACCATGTTAGCTTTAAATTTGTTTTTTGAACGTACTTTAATCGTTCATTATCAGTTTCTTCGTTTGTTTAAACCTTTCAGATTTCATTTTTGTTTTGAAAGGGAAATAACTCCTTACTAACCCTATATGGTTGCCAACCCTATATGGTAACTAACCATATATTTTTTAGGACACCCTATATCAAATGTATATAGTCACCACGTGTAGTCCATTAACCAATCATATCCTCATAAATCTATAGGAGGTAAGATAATATGTACCTCAATAAACCTCGAACCCTTGTCTCTTACATTTTTTTTAATTCCGCTTCTAATTAATATGATATGATTTTCCTAGATTAACTTTCTTTAACCCATTGATACTTCTATACACAAGGAGTTAAATTGGAATCACTACGCAAATATAAAAATTTTGATTGTCTAGGTTTTTGTGTTTATTTTCTTTGACTTACTTCTGAAACACTACATTTTTATTTTATTTTTAATTCCATTCGATGTGAATGTTTAATGCTGAATGCTGAAGCGGTTTTTCGAATAAAATGACTGAACAAATATAATGTTTATAATACAGATTTCATTCAAAAGTAACAAACGCTTAAGTAGAGCTTAGAACTTTGAATTCTTATTGATACATTAGTCGGAGAGGGGGGGGGGGGTCAGATTTATTTATTTTTTGGTGCTTTGTGTCTATTGTTTTACGCCTAGTGCCATCTTTTGAGTTAATCAAATTGCAACTGATTTTTACAGTGTGTTCTAATGTTACAATGTTACTCCACTGTCTCTGGTTATGGAAGAGGTTGAGTGCTCTAAAACATGTCCCAAGTCGAGAGCCAGTAGTTCTGTTATTATCGTTGGTTAATGTATGTCATATTTGTTTTTCGTAAATTGTTTTGTTATAAATAAGACCGTTAGTTTCTGTTTGCATAGTTTTCATTTTTAATGTCTAGGCCTTCTTAGTTTACTATATACTATATTGATTTTTCTCATTATTGAAGGCAATATGGTGGCCTATAATTGCTTATGTCCACCTCATTAAAACCTTTGTGGACAATTTTAGCAATGGCAATCATACCGCATCGCCGTATTGGTATATAAGAAGAAATTTGTTAGAATTAACAAAAAATGTTGAATATAATGATGTAAAATTCATGACGAGGACCATATGTTCATCGTTTATTAATTTTTATTACGTATTTTTAAAAGTAAAATACAAGGAAAACAAACTGCAGTTTCCAGTTGGAAAAAGTTGAGGACAGTATTTGGAGTATTGCCTTCTAAAACAAAGTAGAATTATCTTTTATTTATACAATATGCTTATTATTTGTATTTCTACACAATAAATGTATCCACTGTTTACTAGTATTTAACTATACGACTGAAAAAATCTTAAGTACTCGAACGCTCAAGATAGGACATCGCGCGCAAAAGTTAGTACTTCGTGCACACAAGTTGTAGTTTTATTTTTGCGTGGCACTCCGGGACTTCCGTAGCTTACAATATTCCAATATTTATCGTTAAATAACAAATCATAAGAAGATATTATTTTTGCACACACACACACACACACACACACACGCACACACACACGCGTATAGGTAGAACAGTAATATTTCTAGGACTATAGGGATTATGGTAGACTTTGTAGAATTTTGTAGAACTTTAACTACTTTACCTTCATTATTAACCTAGAACCAACACATACAGTGAGCTAGAGTACTCTTATAATAATATGCAAAAACAAATATGAATATGTACATGTATGATGAACGTTAACTTTTTCTTCTATCTTTATAAACCAATGACAACCAGTGCCTTTATGTCTTTTATCGGGCAGTGAATACAAAATTCTTTCAAATTCTCAAACATACATATTTTACTACACATGGTTCATATCTCAGCTTGAAAAATCAAAGTTCAGTAGATGCTGTATTTTCTGTAAAATCACAGTTTTCAGGTATATTGATCGAAGAAGGATACAACACGCGCCCCTGTGTCCATTTCTTGATAAATTGTGTAAATGATATCAGTGAAATTCAAAGAGAGAACGTCTTTTCTTAGATGGGTTATATAGAATGTTATTGCATGAATATTGGTGAATATTGTCCCGAGTATTTTGTTTGATTAGATTCGCGAGCTTGCAAGACATGTTTTTTACTAGAGATAATATTTGCAAATGTTCATGCAACAACCCTATTATTGTGCAGCAAATATGTATAAGAAGATGTGGTATGATTGCCTATGAGACAACCCTCCTTCCAAGTTTTAATTTGTAAAAGTAATCCATTATTGATCAAAGTACGACCGTCAACACGGACCCTTTGCCAAGCTTGAATAAAAACTGTTTAAAACACATTTCTCTGTGTGAATATATTTGGCATAGTGCAATATTGAACACAAATCCTTCTTTTGACTGTTGTCCATTTTGGTTTCAATCAACCAATGTGTATGGCTTTATACTGGAAAATAGAGGCGAAAGATACCGAAAGGAACATTTAAACTCGTAAATCGAAACAAATCTGACAACGCATCTTCTTCGGTAGGTCACATTCGTTGAAAGGGGGGATCAGATCGAGGCTACGATGATTGGAACATATCCTTCGCCATCTGTGAATTAGATATTCCATAATGGTCAACCAACTCGTGATGGCGTCCTTAAAATTTTCGAAGGGATGAAAACCAAAATTCACCTCTGGGAACTCCGTTTTTAAATCTTCATTGTGAGCAGTATACCTCTAGCAAGGAAATCATGATAGTAAACGCAACCCCTAAAACACCGTATCAACTGGGAGAACCACTCTGCATATGCAGGCGCTACTGGAGTGTTGCTATAATGGAATGGAAATTTAGTTTAAAAAAATCACGAAAATCCTCACCCAAGTTTAAACAGATAAAGTTTGATTTTAGGATATAAGCTGAACTCTGTTATCTTCAGTTCGATTTACCAAGCAACTTTACCCCTTTTGGCCTTGGGTTAGAAAAGATATGACAGTATCAGATAGAAAAACTTTATTTTGATGTAGAATAAAACAATTAAATACTATTTCTATAACATGTATAACATTCTTGTCCAAATATATTGAACATCACTAAGCAGCAGCAACTGTAAATAACATGAACTTATCTTACTAAAAGCAGTTAAGTACACATTTTGATTATGATATAGAACAAAGCCATAACAAAACGTAAATATTATATAAAAATAAAAAATAAAAACACCTTATGGCTATGGCATGTATATGTAAACACGTTTTCCTGATAGTCACATGACCAATTTATTCCAATATGATTTGTTGGTTTTTTTAAATATCAGTGACAAGTACCAACATTGATAAATAAATGAAAACATAATATTGTTTCGATCAATAGATCAATTAAAAGTTAGTATTAATCAACTGTTGTTTTTAAATAAGCAATTATATGGTGTCATCATACAAATTCGCTGGCCAGCAAGTTTAGCGTCGATTAGGTTTTATTCTCATTGCAAAAGCCACTTGATCAGAATTATAAGAAAGTCTGTCTTCTGAATTAAAAAATCCCATACTAGTACCATAGGTCTAGAATAACATGCTTTCATTTACATGGCGCATAGAAGAAACTTTCTCCTATTCTATCAAAAATTGTTGAATTGTACTAAAAGGCGGTCTGTCAATTTTTCTATAATTAGTTTTAAGAAAATCAGTTCAGTTTTTAAAGGTGAATTGAGATACCTATATTAGTCTTTATAAACTTAAAAGGGCATTGTAGAAAGATGAAATACTAATTGCAGTTCCTAGCCATTACTCAAGTTCGTTTGTTTACAATGCTTCCTAATAAACAACTCAAGAATATAAATTATTTAATAATTCTTGATATCCTTTTCTTTTAAAGGGAGCCATATAAGGCTTTAACTTTGCCAAAATGTTTGACATACATTAATATTTTTTTATACGTATAGTACTTGAAGAATAGAATCTGAAATGACTTTGGTATTGCTTATTTCATTTCATTTGCCCATTAACTATGTCTCTAACTTCTTGATAAACGTTATGAAAAGAAACTTTTTGAAAAGTGGATATAAGCATTGAATGAATCGCCTTCCACCTTTCGTCACCCCTGTTATAACACCCAGTTCAAAACGTCTAGCAAAGCGTAGGAGCACTATTTGTCATTGGTAATATTTGCTTGAACTGGTAGTTTAGAACAACACGATAACATTGAAATTTCGTTTTCCATGACTTTAGTGTATTCAATTTGCGGTGCAAGTTCAAAATAGCAGTCATCTAATCTTAAAGCGTCTAGGAATTGATAATATCCTTTTTTGCCTGTGAACATTAGTTTTTCCATAAGTTTCCTATTTTGTCACTTTGTGCTGGTGAAGCATCTATAATTTGTTTGTCATCGAAAGTCAATACTTCATTTGTGATCAGATGATCAACTATGTGCTGATGCGTTATACTGGACACGATATCAGTGTAGTTCTTTTGCAATCGAACGCGAAACACCGGGACTTTGAAGGTTGATGAATCTGAATAATAAAAATGACAAAAAATTAATTTTAGATTTATAAATCTAATAAAATAAAACACAATTTACAATCAAGGTATTAGTTATAACAAGTTACCAGCAAACTTGTTTGTCTGGTTATTTGATTATAGACTAGTGTCATATATTTCGTCATCAATACATATGGGACGATTTTAAACGAGTCAAACATTGTCAATGTTAAGTGCATTGTTTGTTTCACTTGTTAATTATCTGACTTGCTGTCGAACTGTGTTTATCTCATTTGTTCTATTGTGAACATTTCATTTTTATAACAACATTTCAACAGTAACACATAACAGTTGATAAAACATTCTAGTACCGAAGTTTTTCCTGTATGGTAGTCGGTACCTCTGCTTGCCATTTTATTTCATGGTTAATTGAGAAATTAATTAGAAGTATGAAAATCGAAATTAGTTAAAAAATCAATATTCCTTCAACATATTATGAAATAAACTTTGTAGAAAAAATTACATTTCATTTAACTGGATAAATGAACGCTGCTTAGTTTTACTATGGTGTAAACATTTTTATATATTATAACGGTAGAAAATATATATTTCGTTTCTTTATATATGCAACTAGTTACCTTGTTTATTCTTTTGAGATACATCAACATGTTCTAGACTTTCAATCAATTGTTGGTAATCATGTTTACGCAGTATCTCCAAAAAAGCAGAATAGAAATCCTGTCCTCTACGTATAATGATTTCTGTAAGCCTTTTTATTTGATGCTGTTGGTCAGGATATTGTTCAATATAACTTCTGTTATCTGTTGATATTAGACATTTACTTATCATGTCATCCAAAATCTCCCTTAAAGTTCCTATTTCATTAACTATCCTTTGGAAATGGTAATTTAGTTTAGCTTCCAGTTCAGTTGTTTCTTCAACTAAAATAAGAAAATACATGTGGTATGCATATATTTTATTAAAGATGTACAAGTTTGCGCAATCAATGAGTATTTCATCAATGTATTTTTCGACAAGTTTGAAAGTCATTTCAATTACATTTGTATTTGCATTAAGGTTACAATAATTAAAATGGTTAAAATCTATTTTTTTATATCATTGTAATCAATGATATTTACTTTTCGAAAACAGTGGCACGTAAATGCAACTCTACCTTATCTCATTTCAATTTCAATTACATTAACTATCCTTTGGAAATGGTAATTTAGTTTAGCTTCCGGTTCAGTTGTTTCTTCAACTAAAATAAGAAAATACATGTGGTATGCATATATTTTATTAAAGATGTACAAGTTTGCGCAATCAATGAGTATTTCATCAATGTATTTTTCGACAAGTTTGAAAGTCATTTGAATTACATTTGTATTTGCATTAAGGTTACAATAATTAAAATGGTTAAAATCTATTTTTTTTATATCATTGTAATCAATGATATTTACTTTTCGAAAACAGTGGCACGTAAATGCAACTCTACCTTATCTACTCATTGGTTTAATTAAAATTATAGTCTAAATAACCAATTCCACTAATTTTAAGGTAAATAAAAACGCACCTAAAACGGCGATATGGCTATTTTACCTTACGTACCATTACTGCTACGATACTATGATAGTCTTGTCACAGTCTAGTCACATTCCATGAACGGACAGAATTTACGTAGTCCATGGACACATTTGGTGCAACCGTGTTCTATGTGACCATATTTCCGCATATATTGTTCAATTGATTAATATCTTTTATCAATTTTTTGTTGGATTCTTGTGATATTCGATACCTCTTCGTGTTCAAAGTATTTATTAAACCCAATTAGCTTACCTTTCAATTTCAACTCATTGGTCTCTTTTGTCTTTCCATTCGAATATGTAAAGATATAAGAGATTTTGATTAAAGTATTTCTCGTACATGTGTACACATCTTTAGCATAGTAATATTGGTAACTATCAGTTCGATATTGACAAATTGAATTCTAAAAAGTGGTATACATACACATTAACGTATCAATGTTTGTTCCAATAGAATTTAAAACTGCTGAATTTCTAAATATAACCTCAAACTCATCATTATAATGTTTAAACTTACAAACGCAAAAAAAAAATATGGGGTTCAGAACATTTTTTTCGATGAAAGTTGTTCCTGTATATACAGTATTTTCGTTACTTGGAGACGAGCCAGTAACCCCAATAAACGGCCCTGTAAATGTGTATTTTTAAACTTCAATTATAGTATTTGTGAAATTATAATAATACAAATTGCACATCTTCTTCATATATCATAAATATATTAACCTTAAACAGGAATAGAATTCATTCAAGTCTTTTTATTCTAAAAAAAGTCTCCTTTTTCGATCCTTTTTTTATTTCATTTGTGGTGACCCCTCGAACAATGACATTCTGGCAAAACGTTTGTTGGCGAGGGTTGGCACAACTTTTAATTTAAAAAAAAACCTGTTATAAGTGTTACAAAATTATGCAAAAATACAGTTTAAACAAAATTTACATACATTTATCACGTCACAAATACATCACTAATAATGCTATTGGTAAAAATCTTTTTCGACTGAATCAATTGGACTTTTTTCACATATTTTCTCATCAAATTTCTCCCAGATTATCTCATTTAAATTCTTTTCAAGATTTTTAGGGTCAACATTTTGATTTTGAGTTCCAACAAAAATGTAAAAATACATACGCAAAACCAACAACCTAACATTTCTGTCGACTGGTGTGATTCGGCATGTTCATAGCAATAATACATTTCTGATTTCTTAAGTTGTACGACATCTACCATTCCGACTGGGTTTTTATAACTCCCACTCATACACTTTACTTTTAACATGTACACAACATTCATTTTGTATCGTCGAATTATTGCATTTACTGATAACTCTGCTTCTTGCCAAACTCGTTCGTTCAGTTTAACAGACGGCTCCTGCCAATACCAGACTTGAAATTGCACAACATTACGAAACACGCAAATTGCTAGCTTTATGCATCCCGATTCATCAAGATTGAATACACCCATGCCACGGTACAGTGCTAACTTCTTAACTGTGTTCGAAGGTTCAATGCTTATTGGGTAACGCCGCATGTATCCAACCAGCAAATGGTTAAAAAAAGCTGGAGGGAGAAAATGAAAATCCATGCATAACCAGGAACTCCGCCTACAATGATCATCGGCGACATTAAAATTTTCTACAATATTCCCAATTGGTTTTGATTTGATGAGACTAGGAACATAATAATCTGTTGACTCAGCGACAGAATTTAAGAAAACATCGCTGCGCTCATCGTCGGAAAGTTCCCCATCAGATGTTTTCCGGAGATGGTTGCGTTTCTGTTTTTTGTCTAGCTGTTGCTTTGGTGTAAACATTTTCTTGTAAAATTTACTGTCCTGGGACGTTGCCTGCATGCTTACAACGTTTGCATTTTGAACACTTGGTTTGAAATAGATCAATTTCGTTTGCGTTCTGAATTTCCGGTTCAACTTCTTTGCCGTGTTCGATGACATCAAAATACGAAATCACTGTTACGTTGTCCTTTGTCCGTAAAATATCTAGCCTTTGTTCAAGCTTAATCCAACGCACAGGAAGTTCCTGACCACATGTTTGTACTTTAGACGCATGTTTGAATATCATTTCCCGAAGTAAATCAAACTGTCTTTCTGATTTTCTCAAATTTGATAATAAAATAAATCTTTTATGTGTTTGCTTTTCACGTGACCCCCTAGAATTTCATTTAGTTGTTTTTCAATTTCCTTTTGCCTGGATTTTTCTTTCCCCTGAAATAAAAGCGAAAATGTCAGAAAACTCCTGTAATTCATAGTATGGGTTTAACTGAAACTTTCCCAATATTTCATATTAGCAAGAAACAGTAATATCTATGTATCAACCCATTTATATATAACTAAAAAGTAAAATCACAAAAATACTGAACTCCGAGGAAAATTCAAAAAGGAAAGTCCCTAATAAAATGGCAAAATCAAAAGCTCAAACACATCAAACAAATGGATAACAACTGTCATATTCCTGACTTGGTACAGGCATTTTCTTATGTAGAAAATTTTGGACTAAACCTGGTTTTAAAGCAAGCTAAACCTTTCACTTGTATGACAGTCGCATCAAAATTATATTGACAACGATGTGTGAACAAAACAAACACAATGGGTAAAAATGTCACAAATAGGGGTACAACAGCAACACGAACCCCACTAAAAACTGGGGGTGATCTCATGTGCTCTGGAAGGGTAAGCAGATCCTGCTCCAAAAGTGGCAACTTTATATATGTACTCATGTATACATCTATCAATCTGTCTATGTATCTAAATTTATCTTACCTCCTATACATTTCAAGGAATATGATTGGTTATAAACAACCGCGCGGAGACCGTGTATATTCCATATTGGGTTAGTAGGGTTCCATATTTGGTTAGTAGGCGGGGCTTATTTCAATACACGGTTAGTAGAGGTGTTACGTTCCTTTATAAAAACAACACGGTGTTGAGGAAAAATCTGAAAGGTTTCAACTGATGAAGAAATTGATGATGAACGATTGAAATTAATTCATAAAACACATTTAAAGCTAACAAGTTGTTAATGTTGGCATTTGTTTTTGTATAGACCAATAGAAGTATGTTCTTTATACTAACGGTATTCAAGACTTGATCACTTTGATAGGCCACTAGTCTAAATGCCACATGTTACGGTAGTCGGTAAGATAATTTCGTTACATAGTGTGCTAGTGACTTAATACGATGTATATGGGGTCAGTAAATTTCATATGGAATTTACTGACCCCATTTATATCGTATTAGGTTACTAGCACACTATGTAACTAATAATCTATGTATCTATATATATATATGCATCTATCTATTTATCGTTTTGTCTATGTCCTTTTGAGTTATTTATTTTTAACGAACTTACATTCAGGGTTTGCTAAGATGAAATTTGTTTGCAAGATTACGTCTCGCGTTTTTCCTGTCGTCCCTTATCTTATGTAAAGTTCTTATTCGTATTCATCACGGTGAACTGAACAAAAATCAGCAATAAATAATTCAAAAAAAATATTTCTAGACCAAATCATAAATCTGGGTTACATCTGATGCAACTTAAATGCTTTGCGGTATCGCAATAACTTCATCAACCTCGTTTATTTAGAGCAATTGGTCTTATAGTATTTTAATCCGACAGGGTAAGACCACGGTTCGTACTTGTTGCTGTAGACTTTTACGCGAAACGCGTCACTGTTTTTTTTTTATTAGGGTGCCGATCACCCGATAAAAATCAGACCCGCATCATCCAGCCCTCAAACTTTTCATCGACTTCAGAAAGCACTAAATGAGCAATGTCAAAGAATATCTCATTTGATTGATTCAATGTTTGCCTGGACCATGCCGACCAGTGTTAAACATAATGATGATCCTAACAAATATTTACACACCTTCTCATTAGATTTTTTTTATTGTTAATAATGTCCATAAAAGACACCAAGACTATCGCCATGCCAACCGCCCATACATTTGTAATGTATTTTTTTTACATATATAGTGAAATAAGGGATTTATTTCTGCCTGTATTGATTTTCCCTGATACAGAGTTAGACACGGAACAGATATACAGACGTGCAACAGCACAATTATAATAATGAAAATAAAGGTAAAATTATATTTCTGAAAATCTAAGAATTTTTCATTGACAAGCCGAGTCTCAATGTTAGTTAATGTCCTTTTATAACACACATTTTAATTTAAAGATTTGAAAAAGACAATCGATAAACAATGTATTAATTATCCAGTATACTGTAAATCGAGCAAGACGTTGTTTGCATGCTGTGTCGGGAAAAGTGCCCCCATTTTCGGTATAAGGTAATGATACAAAATACATTAATTGAGGTTCTATGACTAACACCTGCAGTAAAAATACACATAAGGAGTGTTGTATTAAACGACTGAATCCCTTTTTTAAAGGAGAAGACAATGTTCGATAAAGAATATCATGTGTTTGCTATAAATATAGATTCTACCACTGTATCGAGTGTGATAAGATATTTATCCACTCGACACAGTTAAATTTTCAAATTTAAAACGCGAGGCTCGCCGAGCGTTTTAAATGTTTAAAATTTAACTGCCGAGAGTGGATAAATATCGTATTGCACAAGATTTGGTGGTGGGACCGGTTTTTCAACGATAATTAGTCAAATTCAATCCTTACTTTTCGAATGATCTGCAAAAAAATATGTTCTTTCTATGTGACGTAATCAGGCATGGTCGCCTTTTTCCATGACGTCACAATAGGAAATTCAGAGAAAAGCAAGAAAAATTGACGTCATAATCAAATTTTGACCAATGAGGAACTGAGATCAAACGAACCACACGTTGATTGAATAAAAATAATCAATAAGTCAGGAAAAGGAGAAATTTGAAGATCTTATGAATCAAATAAATATAATTACTTCCTCTAGTTTGTCACTACATGTTCCTACTACAATAACTGATGGAAGATTCTGTTTAGATTTGTCTTCATCTGCTGATGGATGATCCTGTTTAGATTTGTCTTCACATACTTCATTTTCGCTGTAGCAATGAATAGCGTCCATCCAAAAGTTGACATACTCTGTAAAAAAATTAAAGTTTTATCATAATGAATTTAATCTACATTCAAATGCTAGAGATTTGTTTTATGACATAAAGATGTGTGTCATACATCTAAGCAACATAACAACATATATTAAAAACTAAACACATCACTAGTTCACACACAGACTTCAATAAGAAATGGAAAGACGTGTTGAAAATGGCATGTGTTAATTTTTTCTAAGTATAGACAATGCTTTCATTATGAATCCACTTACCCCCGATGTCTTTTAAAGGGATCTCCGCTAGATCTGGTAACGCATTATCCAGATCTTCCGCTATACCCTTTAAATCTTTACTTATATCTAAAACAAGTAGATATATGGCGTGCTTGTTCAGAAATGTTTGATGAGTGGCATAAAATTCGTACTGACCAGCAAAATCAAGCATGACTACCTCTGCGAAGTCATCCATCGATTCAGTAGAAAGTTTTAATCCATCAAAGTCTTTTAGCAGGCTTTCTTCTGACTTTTGAAATGCAATTCGAGTATTTCTTTCACTGTTTGATTTTGAACTCTCATTATTGTTTGGATTTTCTTTCACAGCTTTATGTTCTTTTCTATATAAACTATAACAATTCCTGTGTGTCTTTGTTGTCGACAAACAGGTATCATTTCTATCCAATGGTTGTTCTTTGACTGGAACATTCGTTTGATTATAGGATATTGTGGGACTGTCTGATTGTCTTGGTATCTGTTGCTTCCGTTGATAAAGGTTTTTATATAAGCGCCATTGTAGATTTTGTTTCGTATGATCAACTAATTCTTCAAAAAATAAAAAAAGAAAATGAGGTTTTAATGATATTTATTCGAAATTTAATTTGTGAAAATCTATTTAAATCGGAAACAGTTTGATGAACAGTATGTAGATCGATATAGATATATCTGCCTCTGAATATTGGTAATCGCAAGATCAATTCTTAGTATACATCAGCCGTGTAAGAAATTTTAAATATGTTTTCATTTGGTTGTTGTCTATTGGAGTGCCACAATGGCAAAAATAATAAACCGTGTCGGCAAGGTACAAAAAGGACTGTATATTCACGCAGAGTCACTGTTATAACTTAACCTTTGTAAACTGTGAAATATAGAAAGACATCAGTTCATATTGCACATAACTATTCTTTTTATATGCATATTTATGCATTTTCTGTTGTGTTGTAAATACTTAAGCTGCGTCAACTGTGACATATTAGAATTATACAAGCGTGGTTCGGTTTCTCATTTATAAAACGTCAAAGATTGGTTTCATTAAAACCAGAATAGATTGATTTTATTAATTGTACATCATTCTAATCATACCGATGAATATTATATGTTATCCGAAATATGTGTTGATGCTTGTATTTACTGCTTTCTTTTGTATTATTAGTGTAGTTTTGTACACTTTTTTTTCGCCGAATATATGTTTAATTTATTGTGTACAGTATTGTTTCTCATAACGACACAGCGCCATCGTAAGAAAGATCGTTGACTAATATCTAGACGTTTTACATATATATGTATAATATATATAGAGTCATTTGATATCAAGCATTCGTTTACATGCTTATCGGAAACTTTAATTTATGAAATTAAATGTTACGGAGGCAATACAGATTATATCAGTTAAACAGGATAGACATTACGCAAAAGATTTACTGTTCAACATATCGAACATCCAGAAACTAAGATGATTAACAGTGAACACCTTAATTTATGTGCAGCAAATGCATTACCAAATACTAATATTTATCCTTTATTCCAATGTGACGACTAATTTACGGAAGAAAAACGAGTAAATAAAGATAACATGTGCATAGACAAACACAAACCAAGCTTTAATAGAAAAAAGACAAAAGAAATATATATATATAAGGGTCATGCCCCCTTTCTATGTATTGTTAGGGACTATCGTGACGTAACTTGTCTATTGACTTCATTTACATTATCTTCCATGATCATCACACAGTTGTGAAACCGGTTGGAAATAAAGGTAGCTATCAAAGGACTTTTAGTGAATTTGAACTTATATATATATATATATATATTTACCATCAGAAAATATCCATGTGCCATCGCTCAGCCTAACTTTGCATTTGAGAACCATGATATTAATACCGTTAGTGCTTTTAACGTCCCTAATGTCCTTCTTCAACAGTCGTCGCATTAAACAAGTCTTGCCTACACCAAAGGGGCCAACAATCATTAAACGTATGCAATGTCTAGACTCCGTCCCGGCTTGTAATATGTCTTTGTAAAGAGCTCCTGCACTTTTCCCTATTTTCCAGATAACTGGTGGTGTTTGATCTTTTAATACAAAAAGCATAAATTAGATGAACAAAATACTAAGATGAGGTATTTTAATGCTATGAATGGAAATATTGATGTTATTGCAATTTTACCTCGTCTCTTTCATATGCAATATACTAGATTATCTATATTATAAATACTAACTTGCACTGTAATGAATTAACATAAGGGGTAGCTAATTGCTTGTGTAAAATTTCGGGTATCATGAAGTTAAGAAAATGTATACATTTGACTTTCAATTTTGCTTCAACAAAAGAACGTGAAAAAAATTTCGACCTTGCATCTTAGTTAGCTAAACCAGACGTCAGGACAAAATCATCTCTTGAAGACTATTTATTTGAAACATGGCATAATGTAATAGGGAAGTATGGGACATTTGTTAATTTAAGAGAGCCAAAGTCTTTGTGCAATAAATAAATAGTACCAATTTTTTTTATGAATAAAATGCGCATTTTGACAATCAATGTCTCTTCAGTGATGCGAGAGGCCAAAATATTTGAGAATCTATACCATAATACAAACGAAGACTGGTTAAAGCAAAAAGGACCTTAATTTTAGCAAAATCTGTACATGGAATAAGAGTTTTAAAGTAGAAAATTATACTTCTTAATTTAAAAATGATTTCAGAATTTTTCAACATCATTTTCAAGTTAACAATATTTGTATCTTCATGCCAGTACCTAAGTACAATGGGCTAGTGATACATTCAGGGATTAACATTCCACTGACAGAGGTATCAAGGCAGTGATATTTATATCATTAACGGTACAAACTGTACTGCACAAGATGCGCTTTTTTACAATCAATCAAACATCAGGAATGCTCGAGGCCATCAATATATAAAAATCCAAAGCTTTATTCAACCGTTGTAGACCTGATAAAACCCATCAAAGGACCACAAGTATAGCCAAATTCGGACAAGGAACCAGAGCATTGCATGAGGGAGATACAGTCCTTAATTTTTAACGATTTTGTAATGTTATAACAGCAAATTTCAATCAAACAATATCAAAATTTGTATACGAGTACCAGTTACTGATCTTGTAATAACCTCGGGAACTAAGAGTCTACCAGTAATGGAGTAGACAAAGTGGTTGTAATAACATAAGCAATAGCTATGTTATTGCAACTGAAGCGCATTTCGAAAATTAATGTCTCTTTGAAAAATCATAAAGGACATAAAGATAAACCAATTCTGGAAATGGAAATCAGAGCTTTGCATGAGGGATATATATAATAACTTTAAACTTAAAATCAAAATTTTGAAGAGCAATTTTAAATTGAACAATATTTGCACTTAGATGCCTATAGCAGGCACTTAATAAACCAATACAAAGTTTTTTTAAGCAAAACTTTTTTAAGAATTCCACTTGCCATGTCTGTAATTTTACTGAGACCTGCATATCACCTTAAGATGAAGATATTCAAACTAAGATTTCGATAAAATATTGATTAAAACACATTCCCAATCCATTCCTGTACACATTTGCAGAAATAATAATCATCTTTATCAGAACAACACTGAAAATATAATTATACCTGCTTCTTGCGAAAACATGAATAGTTTGAGTTTAGCTTTCAATTTCAACATCTCGTCTGTTTCAATTCCTTGATGAAATTTTTTGTCTATCTCTAAAAAGAAAGTTTTATAATTTAGTATTCCGACTCTCTTTAAAATCCAAGTCTTCCGTTTGGTGTTTTTTCAATTTATGTTGCTTATGGGGAAAAATCATGCGTATGTTCCTTATTTTCTTGCTTTCACAATATAAATCAAGGGATGTATTAACTGTCTGATTATAGTTAAAATATAAAATTAGATCATAATATTTAGAGCCATATACAAAACAATTGTCTTATTTAACAACCAACACAATCGTGTTTAATCTATTTCTGAACTATTTAAAGATAATTAGAAATTGCTTTTTCTGGTTCTGCATCTTGTACACATGTTGACAACTTCGTAGTCAAATTCTCTTTCGAAATAAGCCTTGTATTCATAATTAAAGTAAATTAACCTCATAGCACTTGATTTGAATGCACAAAATATATTGATTTTATTCATTAAAAAATGCATTGGTTTTGGTTAAGTTAACGAAAGTTATTTTTTTTCAAAATGGTTTATTTAAAGCGTTTTTTTTGGCATACTTTCATCGGAAGCGTTTTTAAAGCCACCCCCCCCCCCTTTTTATAAAAAAAAGCAAAACAATGTATCAGTATTTGAATACAAAAATAGAAATAGGATCAACAGGGACTTAAAAGAAATCAATACCTGAGAGAGTCAAAATTTTTATTACTTCATAATTTCTTTATTCATCAACGGACAACTTCAAGAACAGTATGATATAAATCATGCATGTAAGTGCCTAAACACTGACTACTGAGATAATGCTAGAATCAAGAAATAGTAGTCCTCCATCAAAGGTATCAAATCATTGAAAGTGAATGAAAATAATACCTTTATTATCAGTTTGGTTCTTTCAATGCACTTTTCTAGATTTGAAATAATTATGGAGCACCAAAACCAGAACATTTTGAGCTAATAATGTATACGTACTTGAATGTACTTGAGAAGCTAAATGGCTACAAGGTAGACATTGCTATAAACTCGGTTGTTAGCTGAGCATTGTGGAGGGTGACATTAATGATTAATTACTTGGAAAAACGTGAACAAAACTATTTTTGTTTTTTAAATGTTAACATTATTGTTCAAACAAATTTGAAAATATTTATTCTGATTTTTTTAATTCACTTGCTTAATGCATTTCTACTGAAAGTTAATGGATGGATGAAAAAAAAGTGAAGTGACACATATCAATAACATAAGCTGGACAATCAATGAGTTTTAATTGCATCAGAAAGTTAGATTTGGTACGATATGAATGAATAAAACAAAATGTAAATCCATAGACATATTACCAACGTTTGTAAATTTGAGAGAAAATGCGTTCTATTTCTCCATTTCCTTTTTAGTCATTCAAGTAATTACTTGAAATACCCCATCCTTTTATTTCTTACAGAGTGTTTTTTATTCAGGACGTTGGTTCAGTATGCGCGTGTTTGTAGTGAAATCATGCATCTGAGTGATTCTAATATATTCTTTACTGAAAAACAGTTCGAGCAGGGATAAGGAAATCTTAAATTTCTAAATATTGACTCGTATTGTTATTCATTTCTTTTGACTTTTTTTGGTTTAATGAATGATCTTTGATTTTATTTGTCAAATGTGTTCACATCTTTTAAAGGCTTGATAGCGATTAGGAGCTTGGTGGTTATTTGTTGTAGCCTTCCGAAGGCCTTATGTTTATTTTCGACGTAAATTCAACATTCTCTTTTAATTGTATGAAAATTAACAATTTTTTAAGACGAAACCGACAACTTATTTCTGCATAGGATATTGTTTCTTATCAATAACAAAAATTATTTAAACCATGGAATGAATTAAAATTTCTCTTCATATAAGTTATACGGAAAGAACTTTGTTTACTATATAAGACACAAAAAGTATATATCAACTTTGATAAACGTTTTAAAATGTCTGATTTTAATGTTTGACACCAGGACAGGACATATGACGTCATATTTGTATGTACTAAAGACTAAATCAACATTTTTATCAATTTAACACAAGGAGAATGTTTACCTTAAATGAACTATGTTTTTTCAATAATTCGTGAGAATTGAATATCAATATCAATTCTCGTTATTTAATTCAAATAGTACTGATAAAGACGTCCAAGGCTCGTATATCATTATATTGAAATTAAATAACTGTACTTGATACCATGCGATATCCAATCCTAACTCGTTATGAAACCTATAATTATATATAAAACTAGGAAACCATCAAAAGATGTAAATTTTCAAAAACATAATAGCTGAGTAAAATGTTTAAGATTCCGTGAAAAGTTGAGTAATTGTAAGGCTGTTTGATCTTTAAAAATATTTAGTTTTCTGTTTAGCCGAACGATCATTCAATTTCTCATTTATAATATCGATACACATTTTGATTGTATCCAATAGATCTCCATAATTTATGCTTTAAATTATAGTTTTGAGATGACTTTTGACTGAATGTATATTTAAATTGCAGAAAATAAATCGTATACCAATTTTATAACCACCAATCAATGATTAGGTTTTGAATTTTTGAGACAAACTGAATTATACGATTTAACTTACTTGTTATTATGTCCTTATCTGTGTAATGCGCCATAACTGATTTAATCAAATCATTTGCAATGACTTTTTGTTTGATATTCATCAGTGAACAGTACATGAGTGGCAGGCACACGCATTGTAAATTTTCCGTCTGTTCGGTCCAAAATTTTAACATTTGCCAGTACGGGTTTTTTATAATCTCTAAACACTCTTTTGGTAGTTTTAGTGCCGTTGGATCGTATCCAAGAGCAGTGCCAAATGATTTTAAGTCCAAAATTTGTAATGGCAATACCTTTTCTACTATGAAGTGACGAAATATCTGTTTTTCTAAAAAAAAAGTAAATCTTAGTCAGTTACGCTTTTTGTTTTATAGACATAAGAAGATACAGAAAACAAAAACAAAAACAAAAAAAACAAACTAAATATTGAGTGAATGGAACTCCATTATAAAGCAGTAATGAATTCAGATGCACTCGAATGATAGTTAGTTATAATTCTTTAATTTAGCTTCATGTTCAAATATTTCGTTAATATATATCTCAAATATTCTTTTTTCACAATCTTTGGTAGACAGATGGACAATTACACATATTACATGTAACTTGAAACATTCACATAAAAGCATTACCATGTTTCTTAAATATAGCATGTAATTCTGACTGCTCTTTTAGGCTTGCAAGCTCCTGAATTTGGTAGATTCTTCTATCCTTATCCTGTTCTGTGTTCTATTAAAAGAGAATATTCAGGTTTTACATATCAGGATAAAAATGAATGAAGTGACGTTAACGACTTATGGCAAGAAAATGAATTAAGGCGACAGTAGTTTACCGATGTCAAAATCTCGTAAATCGATTAAAAAGAGATAATTAAGGTAACGAACACTTACCGAGGTAATCGCTTGAATCCTAAGAGAACAAGAACGGGTCCCCTGATTGGGTTAGCGTACCCTGCTATGCATGCATCACCCGTACTTGTACAGTGTACGTAAATATGAATTTCATTTGTCAAGCTTTAGACACAGAGATGAAAGCGAGATTCGCCGGTCTTCTATCTTGATTCGTAGCGAGTACAAATATATTTTATAGTTTCATACACTGTTCGAATATTACTTTTATCCTTCAGTTTAACATTGAAATTAAATGAAATGTTGTTTCTCAGTCCATATCGTTGAATTCGTTTTTGAATGAAATTACCATAAATTGAGAATGGAAATGGGGAATGTGTCAAAGAGACAACAACCCGACCAAAGAGCAGAAATCAGCCGAAGGCCAACAATGGGTCTTCAACACAGCGAGAAAATCCCACACCCGGAGGCGGGCTTCAGCTGGCCCTTACACAAAATGTGTTTAATGAAAATGAACGTCACCCCTAACTCCAAAACATATAAATGAACTTAAATTAAAAAAACATGCAAGACTAACAAAGGCCAGAGGCTCATGACTTGGATGACTTAAACTTGTGCCGAATTGAGGACCTTAAATTGAATTGTAATGTTAACAGCAATTTGAACATAACAGTACGCTCGCAACAGAAGCAGAATACCACGAGACTATACACATCTAGTATTACGTTTACCGCTCCATTTTGTCTGTCAACCTGTATTTGTATAGTAGAAAGGTCAATGATTGTAGGATACAAGTATATACAGAGTAAGTAGATAAAGTTGATTTCGACCTAACAAAAATAATCCACATATTACTTGTTTTTCTTGCTTTTCTGGTAGAAGTTTATAGAGCATCCGTGTCCCTTTCTTCATTATTGTTGAAAATCCATCACCTGAAGAAAAAATATAATTTTTCAATTCAAATCAATGACTTCAAACTATAATTGGTCCTTATCTGCATGTGTTGATTCCTGTAAGGAACCTGGACAATGTATGTTTAAATCTGTTTTTAAGCATATAAGCGGGAGGTTTGGCTTGACATAAAACCAGTTTCAACCTACCATTTTTTCTTAAAATGTCCTGTACTAAGTCAGGAATCTGGCAGTTGTTATAAAATAATCCGGTTCTATGTATTTTTACGTTTGTTTTTGTAGCAGTTCAGTGTTTCTGTGATTCCGTTGGTTTCCTCTTATAGTTGATGTGTTACCTCGGTTTTAGTTTGTAACCCGGATTCGTTTTCGCTTAATCGATTTATGGCTATTGAACAGCGGTATACTACTGTTGCCTTTATTTAAATGATGTTTTAATTTTAGTTGAAATGTTGATCTTCTGAGGAATTGATTCATATCTTTTTTTTCCGATTTTGACGTGACATATATATTTTAAAAATTTATGTATACCTGTATGTCTTTATATCTTACATTAACTGTGTCTTATACAAATTACCGGAACGCGAGGACATAATTATATCCAATTGAACATTTGCAACTAAAAAAACTTTCAAAACATCATCATTCGAGGAGGTGCTAACTTATTATTAACTGAAAGCAACTTTGAAAAAAAATAAAAATGGGAACAGCAATGGGTTGGATGGCTTTACAAATTATTTTATATATTCTTTTGGACAAATGTTTTTACATTACTAAAATTCTGTATCATCTAATTTGAATATTCATGAGATTTAATTTTGATTGCTATCCACCTGTTTTTATACTGGTAAAATTCCACAGTTGTGTATCTATGATATGAAGCATGGGGATTATATCTGGGAACCAGTATATGATCAAAGCAAAGTATCTATGAGTAGTAAATGTCTCTCCAAAAGAGGTGGTTCTGTTAAACAAATGTATTGACAAAGTGAAATCTTGAAAATACTGAAAATATTGTAAGCCTAGTATATCAAGGCCCAACCAATAAATGTAATAACACCTCAAGATAAAGAGATTTTTAATGCTTGAACCGAATTACAAAATAAAACTCTTTCTGGAATAATGAAAATATTAGAATAAGAAAATCATCTGTTTTCTATAAAGACTAATATAATAAAGAACGGAAACGGGGAAAGCGTCAAAGAGACAAACATAAGCAGATAAAGGGATCTTTTTGATGCATCATCATATAGATGATGAGGTAAAACACATGACTTTTTAACGATGCCAAAATATTTATAAAATTAAGTCAAACTATCTTACTTATAAAAGGATAATTTCAGCAATGAAGGCGTATGCAAATATCTCAATAATAATAATATCTCTAAAGATGATCTTTGTATAATTGCCCAATTATTCCAATCAATATAGTATTTTTTTCATTACACAAAGATTCGAAGGATTGTTATATGTTTTATTAGAAAGATTGGTACCCAACGTAGCTGTGAAAACAAAAGGTCATTGCGATTCAACAAAATTTGTGATTGAAAAACGTTCATATAATGTCTAATTTTGCATTTAACACTAAGATAAAGTAAAGTGATAACTGTACTTTTTGCAAGATATTGAGCAGATATTGGGCAGATATTGTGGACATGCCTTCATATAACGAAACACTAGTTATAATTCCGGTAAACATGGATATGATGTTGTTTCGAAATTAAGGAAAAACAAGAAAAAACATGATAATATTTTTTTTAACAAAACTATGTTAAGATCAAGGAAATTTTATAGGACTCAAAAAGGATCGCTTATGTTATATTGCTGTTTTTATCGTGTGGACTAATGTGCATTACCATATATGTTATACATATTATAATGTTGCATGTTTTCTTGTGTTATTGTTTTGTTCTGGTTGGTGCTTATAACCAACTATATATGTTAAATAATTAATTGTGATTGTATAATTTTATGCAAAGGAAACCATCTTATTTTATGAAGTGTATCACATACTCTTTTTAAGACATATGTTAGCTGTAAATGTATAAATCGTTGCCACAAATCCAGATGTCTGTGTTTTATTTTTTTCTCTTTTTTGTTTTTGTTTTTGTTGTTTATTTATTTATTCAACGTATTGTTCCCTTTTTTCCCTCTTACTGTAAAATATAGTTTTTATGTATTGCACAATTCTATTGCAATAATAGATACATACATGTAATAGTATAGAATTAAGCTAACTAACAAGTACTAACAAGTACTAACTAGTTCTATATAATTATATACTATTAATGTTGATCGAGGTCAATTAAAGGTACGGATATTTTCTGTATTCGACTAACAACGATGAGATTATAATCTAGCACAAAATAAAAACTACAGTTTTTTCATGAAAAATGTATTCGTATTCTAATTCATGTATAATATTAGATATGCTTTAAAGAATTTTTATGAAGGCCATTTTATGAGGATTATTTATATTTGTTTGCGGTATACCATCTTTACTGCAAGTTTATTGTGTTCTGTTTGGTATTAAATTCATATTATTAAAGATCCATTTTGTTACATCTTGTGATCCGTTTATTTGGCAATCGCCAATTGCAGTCAGCAGGGTTTAAGAACACCAGTTGTTCGACCTGTTAGTCAAATGCGTTTTGTTAAAATATACTTTTTCACTCTTTTGGTCTTTTTGAAAATGTTGTTTGTGCTGTATTTAGACCCCTCTACCTCGAAATTTGTTTTACATGCACACGTATAAAACTTGTGGTTTTTATCCAACAAAATCATAGGATTGAACGTTATTTTCAATTAAGACTTGTATATATATATATATATATATATATATATACAAGTCTAAATTGTCAAATAAAATGATCACCAGATGTAACAACATGGATCATAAATATTAATTTAATATCAAACAGAAAACAATTAATGTCTCTTCAGTGATGTTAGGAATAGAAACGGTATTTGGAAGGCCATATAATTTACTTCAATTTAGGATAGATTCTTGAATTTTGAAGAGTCGAAATAGGATGAACGGATCATATAAACCCGAAGCCAAATATAATACAAGCCCAAACGAAAAAATATAAACAAGTTTAAATTGAAAACAACGTTCAAACCTATGATTGCGTTGGATAAAAACCGCAATTTTTATACGTGTGCATGCAAAACAAATTTCTTGGTAAAGGTGTATAAATACAGCACAAACAACATTTTCCAAAAGACCAAAAAAGTGACAAATATATTTTAACAAAACGCATTTGACTAACAGGTCGAACAACGGATGTTCATATAAGTCTAAACATGTGCACAACGGTACTTATATAAGATGGTTATATTCGAAGATGATGTTATAAAATCGTGTTGACAAATATTTCGGCTTAACAAATAGCCTACGTCAGTGTAAATATTTTTAACATTACTATATATATATAATGAGTACGTCTGAACAAGTGACTACTCTACCACAGATCCATCCATTGGATTACCAGTGAGGTGATACACGACTGAAAACACATTTTATATTCATGACTACTCAAAATATCAGCACAACAATGTTAAACCTGCAAATTTGTAATTATTGGTCTTCCCTTGCCGGGATTCGAACTCATGCTATTGGGATATCGAGACAACACCACCGGCACTGTGTCCATCGCTCTAGACCACTCGGCCACCTAGACTGAACTATAATTCAGCATTCGGTGGTGTAGTGTTACTTTCCTCGTCAGTAGAATCTAGAGTTGTAACTATATATATATATATATATATATACAAGTCTAAATTGAAAACAACGTTCCAACCTATGATTGCGTTGGATAAAAACCGCAATTTCTATACGTGTGCATGCAAAACAAATTTCTTGTTAAAGGGGTCTAAATACAGCACAAACAACATTTTCCAAAAGACCAAAAAAGTGAAAAAGTATATTTTAACAAAACGCATTTGACTAACAGGTCGAACAACAGATGTTCTTAAACCCTGCCGACTGCCATTGGCGATTGCCCAATAAACGGATCACAAGATGTTACAAAATAGATCTTTAAAAATTTATAAATTTAATACCAAACAGAAAACAATAAACATGTATATATATACATGTTAGTATTATATCGTGTTTATGATTAATGTTTAATAGGACAACAACAACTGCAGAACACAGTTTTAGCAGCTCATTAGTCTGAATCACTTACCAACGCTTCTTCTCTTTGAGTTACTATTTTCTCTACAGGCTAACTCCGCCTACAAATTAAAAATGAAATGGCAATTACAAGTGTGGTTTTAATTAACAGGTTGCATATGTGTGTCGGTTGTGCTTATATATTTTATGCAATAAACCAAGATAGAGATGATCATGCTATATGAATGTTCTTTATCATTATAAATTATATAAATTTTGATTCCAACTTCTTTACTTTGCGACCAATAATCATGATTATCTGTCAAACTTGCAAAAAAAAAACCCCAGATATATACATTTTTACAAAAACATTTTTCAATTAGCAAATGATACAAATGATAACAAATGATATAAAGCACTACACGTGTTATCAAGCAATTGTGTAGGGGCCTCGGTGGTCGAGTGGTTTAAGTAGTTACTACTGTAATCACTAGCAAGTCAACACCGAGGTTGTGAGTTCGAACCCCGCTCGTGCGGGTGCACTCGACTCCAATCTTAATTGTCTAGAATTGTCAGTTTTCCTATCGAAGGTCGATGGTTTTCTCCGGGCACTCCGGCTTCCTCCACCAATAAAAACTGGCCGCCACGAAATAGCCCAAATGCGGTGCTTAAAAGTGGCGTTAAAACATAAAATAATGACGCATAAAAACAGTACTTAGAGGGTCTATCTGCTGGATCAACAACATAGTTGTCATTGTCTCTGAATTCATGATCGAACGGCTTTGATCCGTTAAAGTAAAGTGTCAAGTGGCTTACGAATTACTCGTTTTATGGCATAATCCTGTACTGCTTACACCAGTTACCTAAATGGTATCTGTCTGTTGTTGGGCTGGATATTTCGATATTACAGGCCTTCTTCTAAAAAAATCTTTAAGTTATATATTGCTTTACAATGCGATTTTTTCCAGTAATAATATAACTATGACTTTATTTGAACGAGGACGATAAACAATAATAATTGGAAGGCATCAACTATATTTATTTGTCTCAATTTTGCTGATGTACTTTGGACTTACTACCATAAATATACCATATATTATGATTATTTTTATATGTAGTTTTGCCAATTAACACATTATAAAAAAAAAAAAAACAATTGGGAGGTTAGAAAATCTTGGATGCACTAGTTTTGTACAGATTGATGAAACAAACGACAGGTGTAGTTTTTTCTTTGAAGTAGCCATGTATGGTATTCTGCAAATATATTTGGATGGAAAATATTGTGCATATTAAAAACATTTAAAACCTTATTGAATATTTAACATTAAATTAAGAATTTTTGTATCATCTTTGGAAGTAATTTATACGATTAGAATAGCCAGTGGTTAAATATGCATATCATCATTGCAATTGATCTGTCCTAAGCAAAGTTTTTGTTATTGACGATTGTGTCGTGGACCTCTATAAATAGTGAATTAAGGTTTGATAATGATAACCAAACAGTTTAAGACAATTTTATAATGCATGTGTATATCATTGCCTCAAGAATATGCATATGATCTAGAAGTCTGGATACAAAATTAAAATTTAAATATCTTACTGCAAAGGCAGATATAGAAACCCCCCTCTACCACATTCACGCAACAAAAAACTAATACAATCCTACTTACTATTGCCATTAAGCACTCTGTAGCACCTTTTCTTGTTTTTAGAGAGACTTCCCGGTATTCCAGTTGGTGATGAGAACGAATGTACTCTATCGTTCTCTGAATGGCTGCAGTCGTCTCGATTGTATCTAAAACAATATAAAGTGCACTACTACTACATGTACTATGACATGTTTTGTTAAACTTGTCGGCCTTTACATATTATGATGTAATTATCCTTGTATCTTTTGTACATATCTAAAGACAGTCTGTGATTTTTTAATTCACTGTCATAGGCATATACTCTATAAATATAATTTGAAATTACAGTAAAGTCCCTGACGGCATCAAATACTGTTAACGTAGTAGATATGTTATAATTAGAAAGCGTTCGTGACAACCAAAGGTAACAATACATCAGTGAAACTTCCTCATTTTGGGATTGGATCTGTTTATTTTTACATGCGAGGCGAATGGTCGTTCAAGGATGTAACAATGGTTCTATGTTCATTTCTCGAGATATTTTTTTCAAAATCAAATCTTTGTGTTCAAACGATTATGGGTTGTAAATTAAAATGACATTGTAAGGTTATATGTAAACTTAAGTGTCTTGTTATATTCAAAACAAGTCACATTACATATATATAAAACACCTAGTTATATCTTCTAATTAACGTTAAATATATAGACTAATATTTTGAATGGAATTAATGGTAAAATAGTAATTCAAAAATGAATATTATTTAATCCTTTGATTTCTGGAAACGTTTATCATGCAATCGTTATGTTTTTTACAGTTTCATCACACAAAATTGTCAAGGTTAACGTTACATGACTATTATAATAAAGTAATCACGCTATAACGAAGAACACATCTTAAAGGGCGTATCAACTTTGTTAAACCTGAAATAGCATTGATAAATTTTAGATTGACAACATATTTGTTACGTTTACAGGAAATTTGTTTCAATCCACAATCGGCATTTCCATGGGAACAAACTGATTTTTCTCTTGGCGACATGAACATTTATTCATATGAGATATATCTCATACAAAAGATTGGTTAAAACAATGTAAAAAAAATCAAGCAATAAAGTTTAAGTTCCTCTTTATTATCGATGTCCTTTCACTAAATAATTTAAAGATGGTGATTATGTTAAACGCAACTATCCAATCGATCTTGAAATTAAGGAAACAACATTTACAGTTGAATCTGTCTCATATTTTGGCTTACATCTAGATAATAACATTGAAGCTACCGACCGGTTAGGAACAGAATTTTACGAAGAAAGAGACGATTTTTATTTTCCCAATTATGAAAAATCCATTTCTATTTAACAACATTACAACTACGCCTACGTATGGCGTATACATTTTTGTTTATATACATCTTCGTCGATACGCTTGTTTCGATTTCCTCTCATGATATAAATAAAAAGAGAGTAGATGCTTACAAAGAAGAAATTCAACAGAGTGTTACAAGTATCAAGTGGTGAAGTTGAAGTCATCCACTTGAGAATTTTACGGTCGCCAACAAGAGATAGTTGATCGTTATGGAATAAATGTTTTACTAACATGACTAATGACGATGATATGTCACATTTGTCGTAGCCACAATTCCATTCCCTTCCCCTCATTTGTGAATTTGTACTAGCATGTGTAGTGCAATTGGTGAAACAAAAAGAGCAGGATCTGCTTTTCGTTCCGGAGCATCCCAGTTATTGGTTGGGTTTGGGTTAAGAAGTCTTTGATTTTTTTTGTTGTCTTTTGCATTGGGGACTGTTGTTTGTGTATTAGTTGTTTTCGTTTTTGGCGAGGTTGGTGGTTATCCCTTCAGTATTACCTGCCATTTCTTTACATATTCGAATACGATATTTACTGTTCAATTTATAGTGTTAATTTCTTGAACATGAATTTTGCTAAAATGATTCATTAATATAGTTGCATTTTAATGGAAAATCTGTGAATATTTACAAACCTGATTGTACTCCCACTAGAAGAATTTTGGCAGTTCTTGCATATATAAAACATTCATCAATCCATCTGTCCTGTATATCACGTAATGTTTCAGGGTTATCAACATCAAATACTAGGAGCATCACTTCAGCTTGATCATAACCCATACGTCTAAGGTTATATAAGTTCAATGAATCCTAAGGATGCAAAATTTATCTAAACATTATCCTTTATAAAATGTTTTTTTTTTTCTTGTTGTGTTTGCATTTATCTCTATAAACACTAATACACTTTTAATATTTAACACCTAATCATTATTGTTGGTATATTCTGTCTCCGTTTTACTGCTCATATTATTATCATACACTTTGCAGGTAATACATTTGTTTTGTAAGATAGATGATTGGTCTTAATTAAAATCAATAGAATTTTTCAATAAATTCTTTTGTTGGCAAAAAGGGCTTCTGGCGTTCAAACCATAAGCCTTGCATCCTTGATGGGCTTTGTTCTTGTATAATTTTGATGTTATTTAAAGTATGGGTCACAACGCTTTTTTCAAGCCACATGTTGTTAAAAATTGACTGATTTGGTATTGATCATACATGAAACGACAAACTTAGTATGATAAAAAGGATACGAAACGATAGAACTATATGTTGCACTTCTGTGAGTATAGACAATGCAGTTTCCCATAGGAACTCCTTTTACGAGTAAAACTGTGCCACTTATACTATGAAGTTTCGTAAAAAAATATATATCCTGGAATGGAAAGATCATATGCACAACTGTTTTTATCAAAGGTCAAAACGTGTATTTATACTGGTAACATTCACAAGTTACTTCTCCATAGAGATTATATCTGGGAACCAGTGCGTAAACAAAACAAAATATCTATGAATATTGTATATCTCCTCAAAAGAGGCTTGGTTTGTGAAACAGCTGTATTTTCAAAATGCAACCTATACTAACATTTATTCAAATAGAGAAATCTTGAAAAACACTTTTTCTCACAACAGTACTTATTTATCGGAATCATAGCATAAAAGAAATCACTGCGTATACACTAACTATTCTTTTCCAGTATATTGTATACCTCCACCTCTGTTTAAATTTTAAAGAATTTGAAAACAAGATTTTAATTATTGTCAGCTTACCCTATGTGCATGTTTTCTGACATGAAAGGCTAGAAACTGTATGAATCTATTCTGATAACAAATTGAAAGCATTTCAGAATGCTATAAATGGAAAATTAGATTTTAATCATTCCAACACTGAAGATTACATTAAATAGTTCTGCCTCTATCTCCAGTCCGCATCTTACTGTATGCCTATTTATCTATAAATATTATCAATTTCTGGCTGAAATGGTCGGTTTAGAACTCTTATCTCAATATTATCATCTCTTACCATATATCTAACATAATTTGGCAAATATATTATGAAGTTACCAGTCTGATATATGAATTCACTAAAAGTTTTATAGACCTGACTGCTAAAATCTGTATTTTGCTTAACGTCAAAGCACAGTTATTGTCTTCTATACAAAAGACCTTTATAATGATAAAATCATATCTTTTAAAGGTAAATTTATCTGTTTTATGGCCCAGGGGTTAGGGTTGTTTCTCTGTTTTTTTTTTGGCGCTGGGGCCTCACATTTGCTAAATAATTCTGCTGTTTCTGTGAATATGGAAAATTTAGTACATTTTTAGGATAGAAAACAGTATTGATCATGTATTTGCGTATGTCTAGCTTGTTTATGTTTTAATGCCGCGGTCACAAGAAAGCACATTTAGGTGCTACGGCTTACACACATGTATGTGTTTGCAACAGGACAAAAACACCCCAACAACAATATTTATCAAGTATATAAGAGTTTCAATGACTGCGAAGAGTAAATATAAGCACTTCTGAATAATTTAAATTGTAATATGCATATTTTATTAATTTACTCTGCATACAGGGCTTTAGGTAAACTATTCGTACTGTTAACTGTGAATTTATGCTGAATCATCAGAGTAAAGGCCCAGGATTTTCTCAATCTTCGTGAAATATTCATAAAACTTTATATTTTAGTTAACTTCATTAAAATCTCAGATGATAAAACAGATTTGGTGAAATTCTACATGTTCTCTTTTTTTAACCAATCTAGGTTACATTTCTGTAAATATAGACAATGATTTCCCATACGAACTCCTTTTACGGCTAAAACTATATCACTTTATGCACTCCTATTTTTTTCAAAGGTCAGAACATAGTGCTGTGCGGCATATTATCAACATTTTTATACCCCGAACTAAAATTCTGTATTACACCTCCCTTCACTTTGGGTCTTCCTCTGAATTCAATTTGGTCGCTATCCATGTGTATTTATACTGGTAACATTCCAAAGTTATGTCTCTACGAGATGAAACATAGAGATTATATCTGGAAACTGGTACATAAACAAAACAAAATATCTATGAATATTATATATCTCCCAAAAAGAGGCGTGGTTTGAGAAACAGCTGTTTTTACAAAATGCAACATTTAAGATAAAATATGAGTAAATAATTCTAATAATAAGCTTTCAGAAAATTAAAAGACAAATTAGGGTCACGGGAGTTGTTTTCTTATTAGAACAGATAAATGCCCTACATATTTCTATAAAAAGAAAACATTTTATCACAGTAATATCCCTTAAAATAGCTAAGTTGGAATTATTTTGCAATCCGAGGCGATGGAAGACATCTGATTTAACTTGACTAATGTGTCATTATGTTTTTTAAACGTATTTTTTATTTTAAAACTTGTCTTTTGAGAGAGTGTGTCCAGATAACAAATCATAGATTGATAAAAAAAAATAAAATGCAAGATCATAATCCTAACGATATTTCTGTGTAGAAAACAATAGTTTAATAACTTCAGTTTAATGCCGAGATGAAAGCACGGTTAGTGATTAGGAAAAACGAACATATAATGGACCGTCAATACTACATATAAAGACGTAGAAAAGTCGTAGTCACAATTAGAATTTTATAAAATTTACAAACTCACAACAAAATGTGTTTATATTTCATATAAAAATTTCAAGGATCAAATTCTGGTGGCTCATTAGTTCAGTCAAATTGACGGACATCAGAGTCAAGAGAAAAATCAAGAAAAAGGTATAACTATATTGCTAGCTTCTGTCCATTCTTCTTGTGAAGAACTGTATGAAATATACCTCAGACATGTACGAATTACGGAAAGCGTCGGCGTACTGAATATCACTTTGTCCATTGGTCCGACAGAAAAACCTTCGCCTCCTAACAAAACACACGCCAAAAAAGAAATCAATAAACCAATAATGCATCTAGATTATTTCAGATGCAGAGATAAACAAAGAAATAACACCAATAAAGAACAAGGTAACTCGGGAAACGTAATAACCTGTATGCTCTTCGAATTGTCATCTATCATGCATAAAACTACCACATTAAGGATGCTTCCGGGAAAAACTAAATGCAGAAAACCTTAAAAGAAGTATTAACAAAACAACCAAACTTCAAGATAATCCGGGCTATGTCCTGTCCGGTATGTTCTTTGTATTGTTGTCTATAGTACATAAACTCTCAATATTGGGATCCCCTCGGGGAATACAATCGTTTAGCAGAAACGTTTCCTCTAGGAAAAGACATCATACCGACTTGGTTTTAGTTAAACAAGTATTAAACTCCAATGTAATCCCGGTAGTCCTAGTCTCGTGGTACAGCTATTTCCGTATGTAGAAAATGGTTGATTGAAACTGGTTTGATGGCTAGCTAAACCTCTCACTTGTATGACAGTAGCATAAAATTCCATTATATTGACAACAATATGTGAGCAAAACAAACAAACATAATAGGTAAAAATGTCAAAAATTGGAGAACAGCAGTTAGCATTGTGTTATTATCTTAATCACCATAAAACAAATAACTATGTTTACAAAGAAAAACACAATAGCATGTAGACACTCTATAGACAAAGCACATAAGCAAAAATAGAAAAAAAGAATACAAAAAGTGACCATGCATTAATACAATGCCGGGATGTAGAAATACGGATTCACGCCAAAAGGAAATAACTTAAAATGGACTAAATAGTGAAGGTGAAAAATATACCAAGACACTAATAAACACTATAACACGTAATTAAGATGATAAACAACGTCAATACCTAGAATCTATACTTTAAGACCAACATGTAATATTTGTTAAGTTGATACGGAATATGTATCAACAAGGTCTTGGTATCTTCAAATGAACGTTTTTTTTAGGAAAAGGATGAGACGTCTTTAGCAGAAGTCTGAGTAGCAGCTGCAAGCTCTTGAAAATGCATTAGCGTTATTTAACAAATTTCGGAGATAAAATATAACGATTTCCGATTGTCTCTAACTAGGATACCGATTAGTATTTTGTAAAGATTGGATGGACTCTCTTATCAAAATATATATAGGTAAATTTAATCTCCTTCGTCGTCAACTGTTATGAGAGTTGTAAACCAAACTTCAATTTTTTTAATTTCATACGATTAGGATGATTAGGTGACAAAGAATATCAACTTGAATATCTCTATTTATAAAAGTCTGATTGTCTTGTATCAACTTTGATGTTTATCAGTTGTTGCAGGAACATGACTCTAAATATTTTATGATTACATTATAAAAGTAGATATGTGTATGTTTAGTTTGCATAATAAAAACTATATATTCCCCAAAACTTAATATAGTATACACTGTAACAGAAAATGACGGAAAACAATTTAATCGAGAAAAATGCAAAATGATTTGTTTCCATTAACTTTACTTTGGTATAAACTTCATTCATTATCTAGTTTTAAAGGGGCATTAGCTGTCAATTCATGTTCACCGATCAGACCAAAATTCTCATATTTGAATAGTTAGTTAGGAATCGAAACGGTATTTGGAAAGCCATACAATTTACCTAAATTTAGGATAGACTCTTGAATTTTTAGGAGTCAAAATAGGATGAAAGGATCATATAAACCCGAAGGCAAATATAATACAAGCCCAAACGACAAATATAAATAAGTCTAAATTGAAAACAACGTTCAAATCTATGATTGCGTTGGATAAAAACCGCAATATTTATACGTGTTTATGCAAAACAAATTTCTTATTAGAGGGGTCTAAATACAGCACAAACAACATTTTCCAAAAGACCAAAATAGTGAAAAGGTATATTTTAACAAAACGCATTTGACTAACAGGTCGAACAACAAATGTTCTAAAACCCTGCTGACTGCCATTGGCGATTGCCAAATAAACGGATCACATATGTAATAAATGGATCTTAATTATAAATTTAATACTAAACAGAGAACAATAAACTTGCGGAAAAGATGGTATACCGCAAACAAAAGGTGCAAAGGTTTTTGTACATCATATCCGGATTTCCGCAATTAATGTCTCTTCAGTGATGTTAGGAATCGAAACGGTATTTGGAAAGCCATACAATTTACCTCAATTTAGGATAGACTCTTGAATTTTGGGGAGTCAAAATAGGATGAACGGATCATATAAACCCGAAGGCAAATATAATACAAGCCCAAACGAAAAAATATACATAAGTCTAAATTGAAAACAACGTTCAAACCTATGATTGCGTTGGATAAAAACCGCAATTTTTATACGTGTTTATACGAAACAAATTTCTTATTAGAGGGGTCTAAATACAGCACAAACAACATTTTCCAAAAGACCAAAATAGTGAAAAGGTATATTTTAACAAAACGCATTTGACTAACAGGTCGAACAACAAATGTTCTAAAACCCTGCTGACTGCCATTGGCGATTGCCAAATAAACGGATCACATATGTAATAAATGTATCTTAATTATAAATTTAATACTAAACAGAGAACAATAAACTTGCGGAAAAGATGGTATACCGCAAACAAAAGGTGCAAAGGTTTTTGTACATCATATCCGGATTTCCGCAATTAATGTCTCTTCAGTGATGTTAGGAATCGAAACGGTATTTGGAAAGCCATACAATTTACTTAAATTTAGGATAGACTCTTGAATTTTGGGGAGTCAAAATAGGATGAACGGATCATATAAACCCGAAGGCAAATATAATACAAGCCCAAACGAAAAAATATAAATAAGTCTAAATTGAAAACAACGTTCAAACCTATGATTGCGTTGGATAAAAACCGCAATTTTTATACGTGTTTATGCAAAACAAATTTCTTATTAGAGGGGTCTAAATACAGCACAAACAACATTTTCCAAAAGACCAAAATAGTGAAAAGGTATATTTTAACAAAACGCATTTGACTAACAGGTCGAACAACAAATGTTCTAAAACCCTGCTGACTGCCATTGGCGATTGCCAAATAAACGGATCACATATGTAATAAATGGATCTTAATTATAAATTTAATACTAAACAGAGAACAATAAACTTGCGGAAAAGATGGTATACCGCAAACAAAAGGTGCAAAGGTTTTTGTACATATTATCCGGATTTCCACAATTAATGTCTCTTCAGCGATGTTAGGAATCGAAACGGTATTTGGAAAGCCATAAAATTTACCTCAATTTAGGATGGACTCTTGAATTTTGGGGAGTCAAAATAGGATGAACGGATCATATAAACCCGAAGGCAAATATAATACAAGCCCAAACGAAAAAATATAAATAAGTCTAAATTGAAAACAACGTTCAAACCTATGATTGCGTTGGATAAAAACCGCAATTTTTATACGTGTGCATGCAAAACAAATTTCTTGTTAGAGCAGTCAAAATACAGCACAAACAACATTTTCCAAAAGACAAAAAAAAGTGAAAAAGTATATATATGTATAAGTGTTGATGAATATGGTGTTTATGATTATATTATATTTATTGTGAAATGTTGGTTTCAATGGTATATTAGAAACATTTTGGATTTCAAATTGTTGATCAAATGTCTAGCCAAGGGAAATAGCTGTTGTTAAAAACAGTTCCTGAATTGATGAACTAAAATAGATAGATACAGAAATAGGTCTACGTTGGTTATGACTCGGTCGAGTATGGTACAGACTAGGTCGAGTATGGTTCAGACTAGGTCGAGTATGGTTCAGACTAGGTCGAGCATGGTTCAGACACATATAAAATGGTTAAGTACTAGTCGGGTAAAGGTCGAGTACAAATTCAGACGGTAGTTATGGTTCAGACTACAGTCGAGTAATATCGAGTAAAATTCAGACCAATTCAGACTGGTCGAGTAAAAATCAGTACAGTCGAGTAAAGAATTAACTTACGATGATATCATACACTTGATATAGTTGACGTTTTGTCTGTGATATCTCTTTAGTACAGATATAGGCCATTTCAGGCTTTTTTCTGGTTTATAGTGGTAGCTTATTCTACTATTGAAAAGGAGTGTTTAGCCATTGTTTGGGCTATACAAAAGTTCCAAAGGTATTTATACGGTAGAGAATTTATACTTGAGACTGATCACCAGACACTTACTTATCTAAATAAAAAGAAAGTAGCGAATGCTAGATTTATGAGATGGGCATTGGCTTTACAACCTTACAGATTTAGAATTGTAGCAGTTAAAGGTAAATATAATATTAGTGCAGATTATCTCAGTAGAGTTTAAGTTGTAAAGATTACAGTGTTTTGATTTATAATGAATGGTAAGTAGTGACAATTTTATGGTTCTAGTTTTTATTTTGTTAAACAGTCTAAATACCACAGTACTAGATTTGAGTTGCTGAGAAACCGTGATGTTGTGGGCAGGATACGTCGGGCCATAACACCTTTAATAGGTATAAGATGTGAGGCGACATGACCTGATAATGATCCTTAAGGGTCATTTGGTATTTTATTTGGACCTGGTCATGAGTTGAGTACTGTCCGTTAGTGTCGATAGTATGATTAGTTTGTCTTTTGAATTTGGACTAGTGTATTTGTGAATGATTTTTGTTTATAAATCTATTTCTGGTTAAAATTGTTACATAATCAGTACTCAGTACTTCTTTTGGTGGGGAGGAACACAGGGTGACTTTCTTTACTCGTATATGTATAGTCATTTTGGTTGGTTAATTCTATTTCAATTTGCAGACCGTCAGTATCTTATAAATTGTATATTCTGCAAACTTCAGTGTATAATACATTTTACATCTAATTAATAAGGTGGTGTCCACTTTTTACTTTGGCATTTCCCTGTAAATTCGTCGAACGGATTGAGTATCACGTGATACCTGTTCTTAATGAGCAGAGTAGTCATTATCAGGTAACACCTTAACGAGTAAAGCTGTGGTCGGTGTAAATATGTTTAAAATTTAGTTTGCAATGTGGCGTGCTTGCACTCATTGGATTTCTGAGGTAGGATTCAATTTATTGTTATTGTTAATATTTATTTGCGCTAAAATATCAGTTTTATACTAGTACTTCAACGCAAATATATGATATCTATTTACATCTTAATTTCCGACATTGTAATTTTATCAATGAAATAAGTTAATGTTCTATATAATGATAGTTAAGAACGTGTGTATGCTTCCGCCGATAGAAATACGCGATTATCCAAACCGTTAGTATTTTATGTAAGTTTGCTTACGATAATGCAATGTTGAATGTATCTCCACATGCAGATCATATGCGCAACCCATTTTCAGATGAAATGAATATAGATTAAAATGAGTTAGACTTTAGTCTTACAAGCCAATAATTAAGCCGCGATGTGTTTTTGTTTTTTGTTTTTTTGGTTATTTTGACGACACTGAACCAAACTGACTGAAAAATAGCGAAATGGTATTTTCTACAAAACTAAGTTAATTGATTGCCTAATTCGTAACCAAAGACCCATTAAAAATTCGATCGTTTTTTACATGACCTACTAGAAGAAATAAATGTATTCCTTGCTCATTAAAAAGACATGTGTTGATTTTATGTTTTTTTATGCAATGCAATTACTATTTCTTTTTTGGTCTCAAAATAAATGTTTCTACGAGATTTTACAAGATTAAGCATAACTATGATTTGACTTACGACTATCCGTTACAATTCGTAAGTTTACGATCGAATCTACAACAAAATCTTAGAAACGATTTTTTATGAAACGCTCAAAATTGTACGATTGTCGTACAAAGTTTAGCGAAACGCTGGCCTGATACCGTCGCATTTTTAGCATTTAATAAAAACAAGAATAATATCTGAATTAACAGTAAATAGATTATTGTTTCATTTACTTAAAACTTTGTTTTTTTATGGCTGATTATTGTATGTGCGTGTTTTGGTTCATTTTGGTAAACAAAACTTTCTTTTGATAATATGTATCATAGTATTCCTTAAAGTACTCACCGTATCTTCCGAACTGAATATTAGTATTTCAATGTTAAAGTCTGCAGTAATTGCTAGATTGCATGTTAAATAACTCTTCATTTTGTTATGAATATTTGCCAATTCGTCATATTTACATTTATCTTCTGAGAGAACACCAAGGAGTTCGGTCTTTTTAGATTGACAGTTTCCTAAGCACAGAACTTTTATTACATTCATTTCGTTATTTTAATTAGGTTCATACGCTCTGAAATAAAAAAGAAATATCTAAAATACATTTCAAATACATGTACTGTGACAAGTTTATTTGTGCAAACTTTACAAACGCCGATAACGCGTTACGGAACGGACACTTAATGACATATAGGAAGATTACACTACTTAATAAAAAATGAATTCAATACTATAAGTTGTGCAGTCATATTTTGAGAGAGAAGAAAAAACAGTAATGATCATGGTCATAATTTTGATCGTTTATTTGGGATAAATAAAATGATCAGAAAATAGATTTTTTTCATTTGATTGTTGCCTAGGTAAGTTATAGATAATGCATATTTTAAGGTGTTTTTTGTCGTTTATCACAAAGGGGGGTGTCAGTATTGATCAAAGGAAGACGACCGTAGGGAGGTCTTTCTTTGTGCAATCCTGACTTTGCGAGGTGTGTATACAACAAGAAACACCTTAAGATATGCATTATCTGACTTATATACCGTCAAAATATTATTTTCTGCAAAGATTTCTATGAACTGTTTCCTATTTTACCAATCACATTGAAGTGGGATATTCTTTTCTTAAACGTTTAAGTATAACAAAGCCCTACGGCTCATTTTAATTTGAAATAAACCTCACTAATTAATCTAGATACATGTATAAACGTAAGACATCACTGTTCAGTTACAATATAAGTGGTATAGTAATTGCATCAGCAAGAACCAACTGCATTGTTAAGCTGTACGAAAAATACAAGTCACTTTGTAAGTAATTTATTATTTAATCTATATAAAAGGGGTGCTGTGATTTTTTTTTTCATTTTTTATCGCGGAAAAGCAGATTATGTTTTCAACAATTTTTAACGATCTTTTAAGAATGATTGTTTTCTCTCCTTTGTCTGGTAACACATTTTTTTCTTCAAAAATTAAGAATCAGGATAAAATATCATACCCCCTTTTAAAGAACGTGGCTGTTCCCCTGTACAAAAAATGGGAATATTTTGTCATCTAATAGAGGGAAGGGTATTTGTTTCAGCCTAATAAGGAAATAATTTTTTCTGCCTATTTTTTTTAATGTGTTAAAAATAGAAAATTGTACAATAAACCCCAATTGGCAACAACTCACAGATTAAATATTTTATTGAGCTGTAGTTTGCATTTTGATCAGGGAAAAAATGACCCACCGCGGTTCATTATTTATGCCTTGAAGCACATTTCATTGAAACTTAGATTCGCCCAGGTTGTTTCTTCAAAAGAATTGTACAGGTATAACCTTTCTACATGCCAATTTTCAACATACCTTTAAAATCTTATAAGAAAGAACAGACCCCCCGAACTAAAGTACCACTAAAAATAACCCCTGGTTTTCTGGAAATCTTTAATTAGTATACAGCGGAGCGCATTAATCCTCAATGTTTAATGCAAACTCATAGACAAGTACATTTTGGCTCAAAATTATCTTGATATTTTGCAAAGATAACCACTCGATATTCGACGGCCAATCCAATATAGAAAATATCTCCCACAACAACGGTGCTATACCATCAATTGCATGTGACTAGTGCAGGATGAAACATCAAGTAACAAAGACAAAATCTAATAACACGAATAAAATTATGTTCTTAGCCACAAGATTACCATCAAAAGGTGATTTCTTGGAGACCAGTTGCATATGACCGATTCATAAGGAAGCAAGTGCCAACAAATTTAAAGGCTTTTGGTATTGACACATAACCATATATAATCTGATTCTGATTTTAATAAAGATAAACAGAATAACCTAGTGTATGACTCATTTATTTTTGTTATTATATCGCTATGTCATAAAAAAAAAACTATAAATATAATACAGACGTTCTAATTCATGACATGTTGTTTGAGTCTGTTCTCTGAACTGCAAAACGTTATATGGTTGAGTGAGGTAGCATTGGCGGATCCAGGGGGTGTTTCGGGGGGTTAGAGCACCCCCCTTGTCTTCCGTTAATTATGTGAACGTTTTATGGTGTTCCGGTGTTGGAACACCCCCTTTCGAAATGGCTGGATCAGCGCATGTGTAGCAATGTTAAAACGTTATTATTGTACCGAGTAAATCAATAATCAATTTTTTGAGATGGTCCCTAATTTGAATGTCTCAACTGTAGACTCTCGACTCTCAATTGCCAACAATAGTTATTTATCTGACATGTCTAATTGTACTATGCTGATTTTGTTTTTATTTGTTAATTAAAAATATAAAACACACAGAGGCCATGAGCATGGCTATCAATTCATGTACTTAACTAAAACAAAGCAAAATAGTTTCATGTTTTTCTCCAAACCTAACACTTGGGTATCCTTTCAGTCGATCTAATATAGCTTTAACACTATTTTCAACAAGAGGCTCATGTAATCCAAATGGTTTCAAAACAGTTTTTGTTCGTGTTTGATCTTTTAGATCAAGAAATGTATATGTGAATTCCAAAGAGCACTAACACGCAAAATATATGTCGGCCTATTTATTTGTGACTTCTGAACACTGTTTTTGTGGAACTGCCAACCAAATGTAATTAATAAAATAGAGAAAAGTAAGTGCTTGTTGATTATGGAGTCCGAAAAAAAAAAATATGTGACGAAATACTCACATAATCATATTCAAATGTATCTAGTCTTGTAATCCATACAGAAAACCAATGTCCTGATGTTTGCTCGAAACAATAAACGAAAACCAGATATGGCAAAAAGCAACCAACAACAACCACTAAATTTACAGACTCCAATTTGAGACTGTAACATGATCAATGGATTAAACATATTTGTGAGAGCTCATATCTCCTTTAACGTGGAAGAGTGGTGTAGCAGCACAACATTAAATAATTGTAAGCATCGTGCAACTCTGCACTAATCGCATTAAACCTTAGCAAAAAAGAAAACCACAAAAACCACAATGTATCGACCGTAAGGTACTCGATATAGAATTTTAAATCTTACCAAAATATACCAGGGCAATTAAATTCCTTTAATGTAATTTGGGATCATATATCCTTCTCGACATACAAAACGTTACGAATTCGTAACACTCTATTTTGAATTTAACATATGACAAAAGATTTGATTTAGGTTTTTGTAGTGTCATAACTTTCAATATAAGGTCAATTAAAGATCTGCGATTTTGAACAACTTTAAATTGAAACGGAAATATATATCACAGTTAACATTGTATGAAGTCATAAGTTGAATACATTTTGTTTTACTTGTTGACAGAATTTGTCAATACATTTATCTCTTTTTTAACATAACAAAGAACTAGCAAATAAGTAATATTGATAATTCTACAATGATTTAAAATTATTCCAACTTATAAATTACAAACGATTTAAAATTCATATAAAAAAGAAAGGGAATTATGTCTCCGTTAAAATCGTATGCTGTCATAAGTTGAATTGAAGTTTATCTTTTTTGAAAAAATTGTCAGAATTTTTCAAATACATCTAAATAAATGTTTATCTTGTGTATTTCTTCAAATAAAACATGTTTTAAACATAATGATTGGTAATTGAAATCATCATAAATTTATGAGCCAAATTGTGAATCAAATATGCTGTTATAATAGTAAGGTAAGACACGTTGAATATAACGTAGGTTTTTATCGTGCTTAGCTAGTTTGACACACCTGTTTTGGAGCTATTTTATGTTATTGCATCAACTAATTCTGCTAAAACATTATATATTGGTGAATATAGTTGATTTTGATCATTGAATGGGGAATACACAGTAATTTAAAAACACCTTGAATTCTAAATCAAATATTATAAATACTATAAATATGCATATAACATCCTCAGTTGTTCACACGATTTGTGAGAAATATGTATTTTGATTTTTAAATATAACTGACAATTTGTTCTGAAGCAAAGGATACCTGCAGTTTAGTTCAAAGTACAAAATTGCAAATGATGATCACAGTGTCCTTCACAAAAAAAACCAAACAAAAAAATACAGACATTTTACGCCATTTCAATTAAGTATTTTGAAAGATAATTCCAATCAGTGATAATCGATACAAAATGACCACTTAACATATCCACTGTTTTCGTGGAACTATCAAACCAAATATAATTACTTTAATATAGAGTTAAAGTAAATGTTTATTGATTATATATTCCGCAAGATAAACTCATTATGTATATCAGGATTTTGACGCAAGACGCGCGTTCTGTATGAAAAACTCATTAGTGACGCTCAAATCAATAATTATATTATAATGTCAAATAAAGCACGAAGAATGTGACGAAATACCCTCAATCATATTCAAATGTTTCCAGTACTAAAACAATCCAAGGGAAAAACCAAAATGTTTAAATCAATAAACGAAAAACAATTATGGCAGACAACAACCAACAACAAGCACTGAATTCACTAGCTTCTGATTTAGTACAGGCAAGGAAATTGTAGCGGACTATTTATGTTAATAAGCGCTGAGTATCGATCTAACTTGGGACGGTGGAGTAAAAACACAACAAAGGAACAGACTTGAAACATCAGTTGGAAAGAACTTTACCCAGGAAATCTGCACCGAATAAAACACCACATGTACGAATACAAGAGTAGAGTACTCTATTACAAAGTCAGGAATATGACAGTTGTTATCCATTCATTTGTTGTGTTTGAGCTTTTGATTTTGCCATTTACTTAGGGACTTTCCGTTTAGAAATTGTGTCGGAGTTCGGTATTTTCGTTGTTATTTTACTTTTTTATGGACAATTTTAAACTTACAAAATTACTTCAGGGCTTCTAAATTCCTTGAATATTTGAGATCAACTACTGTTCTAAATCTACAAAGCATCCTGAAGTCGTAACCCTCCATTTTGAATTTCCCATGTAACAGGACATTAAATGTGGGTTTTGGAAGGGTCCTATATTTAAACATAAGGTCAGATAAAAACCAACGAGTTAAAAGACAATATGAATAGAAATGACATTCTGTCATGGAAAACATTGTATGAAGTCATAGGTTGAATTAAAGTTCATTTAGATGAAATGTAGCACACGGATTGTTTGGATTCACTTTGAACAATTAATGTGTTTATTTGTCTCGTGTTACACAATCTGTTTTGAAAATTGTATACCTTAGCGGCAATCTATACATTAACGGAACTTTAATCTTTTGTGCGGATTACATATATTATTGCAAAAAAAAAACAACAACCAAACCATATATTCATGTAGAATTTGAAAATAAGTCGGCATTACTAACGTATTAAATTGTCGAAAAGTATAATGTTTGGAAGAAATCATGAGTACGTTTTCATATTTAGGCCAGCTTTACAACTAAACAAATGAAATGATATGTTGATAAGTTATTATGTATCCCTACTTAAACTTAATAAGCTCGATAACAAAGAGACCAATTTATTTTTTCTACAGCAATATGTGGTTAGTTCCGTTATTTTTTATTTGTCACACTGATTAAGTTATGACACTATGATTGGTTGATGATATGCATTGCTTCGTTATTTGCAATTATATCATTATTTGATTAATTTGATAACTTAGATTTTTATATGACTATAAATTTATTCATTTCTCATTGGCTAAAAACGCAAAGAATCCTCGTTGATAAAACGTTATATCCAGCGCAGGAAAAAGCACAAGATGTTAAAATAAGATTTGGAATAGCTAACATGTACCCTATAAGTAGATATTTCCTAGGAAAGGTCAATAAGGTAGGTTTATTAAGTTATGCACATTCTCACTTTTCTTTTCGATGTTTTCTTTTTTTATGATCAATCTTATTGAATATTTCAACTGATTAAAGTTCAGCAACTGTCAAAGCATATGATATTTTTCAGTGAAAAAGAAGCAGTGAAATATCTTGGGCAAATGCTAGAAATTGGAGATGAATGAAACAGTAATATAATAAAACAATTGTTGACTTTTGATATCAGTTTATCAACCCTATATATAAGACACTAACTCTCGGCTGTTCACCTCGGTAAATATCATATTTCTTTGGTTGATAGACCATTGTATCAACCTCATCAATAGATAATAATTGCATAGTATTGGCTCAATTGCAGGGAAACACTGTTAAAATCAAGTTCTCAATCCCTGAAGTAGAAAACGAGGTTGAAATTGTATATATAAGATCATAATAGTTAGTAAGGTAGTTTCTCGTCTTTATTATTTATAACATGTAAATATTTGTAAGTTAATAAAAAGTAGAATCAAATACATGAACATCAAATCACGTTCTTTACCGTTGATTCAAATTTGTTTCATGTCTTTCTCAATCGCCAATATATTCGAAGACCTCAGTTGATCAAATGTGGCATCAACAAAATTTTCTAGAAGCAGATGCTCGTGTATTTTAATAGCATGAATACATTTAGAAAAATAATTGTTCAGATACTTGTTTTTATTGGTTAGTTGTTGATATCTAAGATATGAAAACGGATAAGTAAATGAACATGCTACGAATAAAAAAAATATAAGGAGATGTGGTATGATTGCCAATGAGACAACTATCCCCCAAAGTTTTAAACGAGTTGAATGTAAGCAAGTATAGGCAACCGTACGGACTGCAACAATGAGCAAAACTCATACTATATAGACGGCTTCGGCGATAAAGGCCCTTACAAGAATAATATAAAGCAATTCAATTGGAAAAACAACGGCTTAATTTATAACAAAACAATTTACGAAAATACAAACATGACAGACTTAAACCGACGACAACAACTGCACTACAGGCTTTTGACTTGGGACAGGCACATAAAGAATGTAAGGGGGGGACATGTTTTTGAGCGCTCAACTACCTCCCTTAGCCTAGGACAGTGGTGTAACAGCACAGCATAAAAACAAACTATCAACGTCAGTTGAAAAAGACTTAACTCATCAGATCGATACAAAGCAGAAAAACAAAAAAACACAGACCGAACGTGGCAGGATTTTTATCTACCCCTCATCCCTTAAAAGATACTAAGTACAGATCTGTTAGTACTCGCAGGTCCTGACAGCTAGTTCAAAGGCAATAACAACTATTAAAATAATCATGTATCTAATACTTAAAATATATATCAGTACACATCCATCATCCAATGGATTTAGTGTAAAGACGTCATAAACAGTCAGAGAAAAACATGACGAGAGACTGTGACGAAATACTCTCAATCATATTCAAATGTGTCCAGTGCTAAAGCAATCCAAGGGGAGAACCAATATGTTTAAATCAATAAACGAAAAACAAGTATGGCAGACAACAACCAACAACAACCACTGAATTTACAAGCTCCCGACTTGGGACAGACACGGAATAATGTAGCAGATTAATAATGTTAATAAGCGCTCAGTTTTCAATTACTTGTGACGGTGGAGTAATAGCACAACCAAAGAACAAAGTTTAAACATCAGGTGGAAAAAACTTTACCCATGAAATCTGCACCAAGGTCATTTAACACCACATGTACCGATATAAGAGTAGCGTACTATATTTGACAATTTTAAACTTACCAAATCACAAATTCTAAATTCCTTGAATATTTATTAAGATCAACTACCGTTCTAAATCTACAAAGCGTCCTGAAGTCGTAACCCTCCATTTTGAATTTCATGTCCCATGTAACAGGAGATCTAATGTGGGTTTCTGAAGGGTCCTATATTTTAATAGAAGGTTAGATAAAAATCTGCGATTTAAAAGACAATATGAATAGAAATGACATTCTGTCATGCTAAACATTGTATGAAGTCATAGGTTGAATTAAAGTTCATTTAAATGAAATGTAGCACAAGGATTGTTTGGATTCACTTTGAACAATTATTGATTTATTTGTCTCGTGTTACACAATCTTATTTAAAATTGTGTACCTTAGCGGCTATCTATACATTAACGGCTCCAACTTGAATCTATTGTGCGTTTTACATATTTCATTGTAAAAACAAAGAAACCATACATCCATGTAGAATTTGAAAATAAGTCAGCATTACTAACGTATTAAATTTTCAAACAATATAATGTTTGAAAGAACTCATGAGTACATTTTCATATTTAGGCCAGGTTTAATCAACAAAACAAATCAAATGATCGTGATATGTTGACAAGTTATCTTTTTTAAAGATGTTTTGCCTCCTTACTAAAATGGCTCGATAACAAAGACACCAATTTACTTTTCTACAGGAATATGTGGTTTGTTCCGTTATTTTCTATCTGTCACACTGATTAAGTTATGACATTATGATCGGTTGACGAGATGCATTGCATCGTTATTTGCCATTATACCAATATTCAATTAATTTAATAATTTAGATTCTTATATAACTATAAATTAGTTGTTTTCTCATTGGCTAAAAGCACAAATATTTTCTTTGATAAAACGTTATATTCACTGCAAGAAAAATCACGAACGGTTATAATAAGATTTGGAATAGCTTACATGTTCCCTATAAATAGATTTTTCCTAATAAAGGTCAATAACGTAGGCTTATTAAGTTATGCACATTGTCACTTTTCTTATTTCTTTTCGATGTTATCTTTTTTTAATAAATCTTATTGAATATTTCAACTTATTAAAGTTCAGTAACTGTCAACGCAGATAATATGTTAAGTGGAAAAGGAGCAGTGAAATATCTTGAGCAAATACTAGAAATTGGAGATAGATGAAACAGTAATATAACAAAACAATTGTTGACTTTTGATATCAGTTTATCAACCCCATATATAAGACATTAACTCTCGGCCGTTGACCTCGGTAAATATCATATTTCTGGGGTTGATAAATCATTGTATCAACCTCTTCAAAAGTTAATAATTGTATAGTATCGTGTTTGGCTCAATTGCAAGTAAAAACTGTATAAATCAAGTTCTAAATCTCTGAAATAGAAAACAAGGTTTAAATTGTATATTATATAAAATCATAATAGTTAGTAAGGTAGTTTCTCGTCTCTTTTATTTATAATATGTAGATATTTGTAAGTTAATAAAAAAAAAAGGATCAAATGCATGAACATCAAATCATGTTCTTTACCTTTGATTCAAATGTGTTTCATGTCTTTCTTAAACGCCAATATATTCGAAGACCTCAGTTGATCTAATATGGCATCAACAAAATTTTCAAGAACAAGATGGTCGTGTAATTCAAAAGCATGAATAAATTTTGAAAAGTAATTGTTCAGATACTTGTTTTTTGTTTGTTAGTTGTTGATATCTAAGATAAGAAAATTGGTAAGAAAATGAACATACTAAAAATAAAAAAAAAAGGGAATGTGGTATGATTGCCAATGAGACAACTATCGACCAAAATTCAAATGAGTTGGATGTAAACAATTATAAGCAACCGTACGGCGTGCAACAATAAGCAAAACTCATACCGTATAGTCGGCTGCGGCTATAATAGGCCCCAACAAGAATAATATGAAACAATTCAATTGAGAAAACTAACGGCCTAATTTATAACAAAATACAAAGTTTACGAAAATACCAATATGACAGACTTGAACCAACGACAACCACTGCAGTCTTCTGACTTGAAACAGGAACTAAAAGATTTTGGTGAGTTTAAACATGTTTGCGAGCGCTCAACTACCTCCCCTTAACCAAGGACAGTGGTGTAACAGCACAACTTAAGAAAAAACTATCAAAGTCAGTTGAAAAAGGCTTAACTCATCAGATCGATACAAAGCAGAAAAACATCAAACAAAAAACACAGACCGGACGTGGCAGGGTATTTATCTATCCGTCATCCTTAGAAAGATAATAAGTACAGATCTGTTAGTACTTGCAGTTCCTGACATCTAGTTCAAAGGCAATAACTACTCTCAGATCTGTACTTAGTGTCTTTTTGTTTTTAGGGTGTATAAGTACCTTCGCACGTCCACTTTGTTTTTTTGTTAGATGTATTTCTATTTGTATCCATCTGATAGGTTAAGTCATTTTCAACTGATTTTTATAGTTTATTCTTATGTTGTACTGTTACAAAACTGTCCCAGGGTTGAGCGTACACGAACATGTTTACCCCAGCCACAATCTTTATGTGCCAAGTCAGGAGCCTGTAGTTCATTAGTAGTTTATGGTTCATGTCTGTCATATTTGATTTCCGTTAATTGTTTTGTTATAAATTAGGCCGTTAGTTTCCTCAATTGAATTTTTTCTTATTTTTCATGTCGGGGCCTTTTGTAGCCGACCATACGGTATGAGTTTTTCTCATTGTTGAATGCCGTACGGTTGCCTATAATTGCGTTCTTCCACTTCATTTGAACTTTGGTGGATAGTTGTCTCATTGGCAATCATACCACATCTCCTTATTTTTATATTAAAATACTCATGTATCTTAGATTAAAATATCTATCAGTAAACATCCATCATCCAATGGATTTAGTGCAAAGACGTCATTAACAGTCAGAGAAAAACATGACCTTGTGCTATGCCAAGATATAGGTATCGACAGATTGTAGCACCTTGAAAGTACATATGTGTATAACAATAGTATTTAGTATGGTTTTAATCTACTGAAAACAAAATCAATATTTATACCAATAAAAACAATATTCAAAGATTTAATTACGGTGTTGAATTGGTGGCCTTTTAGAATAAGTTTATTTAAAGGATTGATAAGTTTACCCAGATTGTATCTAAATTTCCAGGCTCAATTAACACCATCACCTTAAAATTTAGGATGTGCTATTCCGTTTGAAATAAGTTTTCTACAGGTACAGCCAAATTGGCAAACCAAATCTTTGTATCTATGGAAAAATTCAGTAACGGCTTTTGGTAATTTGTGGTAACGAAATCCCTGAATTAATGATTTACTAGTAATACATAGATAACGCTTATTGAAATCCAAAACGTCACTACAAACTCGGGCATACCGAAAGAGTTGGGATATTTAAACACCGTAAGAAATTCACCGTCCAAAAAAGGAAAACTAGCAATACGGAAAAAAGTCACCCCTTTAGTCGTAAATTTCTGTGTAGAGTTTCTTGTGTAACACTGAAATATCTAAATCTAGGAAAGGACCGTTATTGCTGTTTATACTTGATTTATTCAAAATAAGTTCCTTTGAGTACATTGTAGCAGTATATTTAAAGAATTCTTGATTATTTAACGAAAAAATATCATCAAGATTTTGGTAAATGTTGTTGAATTTATCAATTAAATGGAATTTAGACGGTTTTTTACTGAGATTGCCCATAAACTGTGATTCATAACAGTGTAGGAACAAGTCTGCTATTAAAGCACAATTGGTGCCCATAGAAATACCTACAACCTGTCGTAGAACTGTACTGCCGAAACGTACATAAATGTTGTCAAGGAGAAAATTTACGGCATTAATCATCTCTAGTAAGTATATTTTGTATATTTACCATTCTCATTTGAGAAAAAGGCTTTATGTGAGTTTCAGCAAATAAATTTGCAATCAGATTTATAAAACGACCATTAAATAGGAAAACTTTTGTTTGAAAAAATTGTGAGAAAATGTAGTATAAAGAGTGGAAAAGTCAAAACTGTCAAACGAATCAAAAGGATCATTAAAAGCACGTAATTTATCTAAAACATTCAAAGAATTTTTTACACTCGAAAAATTGTTGATTCCACTTTTTTCAAATGTTTTATTACAAAAATTAATGAGAATTTCTTTGGTAGTAGGTAATGAACTCGTTACAAGCACCGAAAGATTAGTAGTAGAACACTTACTAGATGCGGAGATGAAACGATATTTTACGGGTTTTGTGTATTTTAGGTAAGCAATACATAGTGGGACATTCAAATGTTCAGAGGAGGCCTTAAGCTGAGCTGTGGTAGTGACACGATTGTTTACTATATGACTCTCTGTGGAGCGTGCGACCTTGAATGTAGTTGAATGTATAATTTCATTCTTAAGGACTTCCGTATAGTATTTACGTCATACCACTACCACATTGGTGGCTGCTTTGTCGGCAGATACGAACACAAAACGCTTTGCGAGTACTTTTTTAATCCTAGATTTTGGCGCATTATTTACACTTTTATTTATTTCTAATTTATTTTCGAAATGTGATATGCGTTTATTAACAATATTCAGACATTTATTTAATAAGGAATCAAGTGACCTTTTGTCAGATTTCTCCAGTTACCACCATTGTTACAATACTTAATAACCTGATGACACTCTTCAATAATTAATCTTTAACGGTGGACGATATTTTGGTTCTTTTTACAGAAAGTTTATAACCTCTCGGTCTTGAAGGATGTTGAGGTCCCCTGTAATTACATGGCCATAGGGATCATATCTAAGCTTCGATGTTTCACAGTCTCTTGTTGAAGGAGCATTATTTTCTATACTGACGTCTCATGTAGCTGACGTATAATTAATAATTAAACTTCAGCTAGATTTTGGTAAACGAGTAAGAAAGGGTAGGTGGCCCAATGTTATTAAAATATAGAGGTACAAAGTTGTGAACGGTAGAGTCATGAAAAATACTGGACTAATTAATAAAATCAATACCTCTAATAATCAATGCTTTTTTTAGAAAATACTTTTTATGACCTTCAGGTTTGTCAATTTGAGGGAGCAGTCTTTGTTGACAAAAAGCTTTAATAATACGTGTACACTCATATTTTGGACTGATAAACGATATTGTATC